ATTTAGTAGACACAGATTAAAAACAAAGGAGGAAAGGAAAGAGTGAAAAGAAAATGGTGGGGGAAAAGGTTAAAAGTCAAAGGATAATCCAAGACATCAGTGTGTGAAAGACAGAACAGAGAAGCATAAATAATTATAGCTGTGTTTTCATTGATCACATAATTATACGAAAAGGAATTCCAACAATAAATTTGCTTAATGCCATGGCAATTTTGAAAAAAACTCATGTTTTTTTCTTTAAGTTTTAAGATGAGGTTGTTTTTCAACCGTATGGAAATTAGTGTGTTTTGCAAAAAAAAAAAAAAAAAACAAACAAAAAAACTTTTTTTTCACTTGATGTGTTAAACAACCAGCAGGTTGCTACAGGCGGAAAAGACGAAGTCGACGACAGGAAGTGGTAAGAGGAGGATGATTTTAATGGCTTAACGCGCGAACAAACTTAATCGTGTGATTTGAATTGCGTTTCTTGTTCAATGAAAACGCAGCGACGGCGAAATTGAGTTTTTTCGAATGTCAACAAAGCGGAATATCTGCAACGTTTTTGGAAACGCAGCCAATGTCGCTCTGCGATGGACCGGCGGCCTGCTTCTCATCCAATGAACGCTGAGATAGGCTGCAGCCCCGCCCCCAAGAAACTGCGAGGTTAAGCGGGTTCACAAGGACACATGGTTGGATCAGGGTTATGGATGTTTCATTTTCATAAACTGTTTGATAAACTGGATTCACAATAAATCCAAACTTCTACACCTGATTGAATTGTTTGTTGTGCAATTACTTCTTACTGCACTAAGAAACTTCAAATAAGCCCCCAGTGAATGTGATATTTCATAATGAGTGTATAATGTTCTGACCTTACACGGAAAGGTCATGCCGATCCTGGCATGGATCGGCTGACATGCCGGGATCGGCTGGTCCATTTCATCTCAGGAGCCAAATCTCCAGCTTGTTTCCTCTTTCCTATGTTTTAAATGTTGCATTTTTAATGAAATTGACAAGCAACACACAAACACACCCATGCGCTTCTTTTTCCAGCTGCAGGTCATCTGCTCTGATCTTCCTCCCTCCAGCCCCCCTCACTCTCAGATAATCAACGGAGCGCAGATGGAATAATTACACAGATGATTTCTGTTGCCTGAAACAAAATCCTCAAGAGCGGGGGCATGTGAACGTCAAAATAACCTGCGATTACGATAATGCGTGCATGTGTTTCACTGTTACAAGTCGTGAGAGGAGCAACAAAGACTTTTTATTCTTTTGTCTGTCACGGAGCAGGCTCACTATTTATATCCATGATGCACAAGTGTTGAGCTCAGATAATAGAGCACAATTCCACCGTACTCCCTGGAAATGGCCGTAATGACACCAAACTGCCTCCCCTGTCCTCACATGTTGTCAACAACCTTCAGAGCAGATGAACTGCAGATTATCTGTCATTTGGTTTGTGTCATTATGTCGTATTTCACAAACATTCCTTCCACATTGTGAAAAATCAAAACATGCTGTTTTTCTTGGGGTTGTGTTTGGTTTGTAGACAAAATGACAGTGAAAATAAATTCTTGAGAGGGAATGAAGAAATCGGCCACCTTGTTCTGTATGTCTGCAAATCTTAGAGCCAAATCTGGGGCTGAGTCTCTGACACCGCAGCTGAAAAACATATAGACATAAATGTACTAAAATGTGATTTAGTAAATATATTCAGATCAGAACATTTATTTTAAGAGAGCTATTTTGAAACAGCTTCTGCCAATTGAAATACAATTAAATTTCAGTTTAAAGTGTACATTGTGTGCAGAAGTGGAAATAATCCATATGCACTTATTTTACTTTAAATATATTTGAACTTCTGTGCTTATTTTATGCCTGAGTGACACATTTCAATGACATTTAAAGTGTATTTGTAATGGTTTCACTTTGAACTTACATTAAAATACAATACATTCTGAATATATTAAAACTCTCAATAACTCCTTATAAATATTTTATAAAATATTTATTTATCTTTTTATTTTATCTTGCATAGCAGAATATAACATGCAGAGTGCACAACTTCTTAGAAAAATGTTCTAAATAAATATCATTATTCCAGATGTCATTGCGTCGTCTTTAAAGGGCCAGCTCATCTTACGTTCAGCACCTGTTTCTTCTTGAACTTCCATCACATGGTGTAGTAAAAGGAAGGTGTTGCTCACCTGTTATCTGCTGCCTAAATTCAGATGCATTGCACTTTATTTTTTCCTTTACTTTTTTTTTTTTTTTTTTACAGATAAAAGGTATCCAGTTAGGAAAATTTAACTGATCTCTACAGAACTGGATCCACAGATCTGTAACTAGAGTCATCACTTCAAAACGTAACACGGACAATTTGTTTCACAGCCTGAATATAAATCTTGCTGGTTCATCTAACTATCACTAAACTTGAACTTCAATATGATAACGGCAAAAAAAAAACCCAACAGACTGCCATCCACACCTGTGTGCTTCCTGCAGCAATTCCCCACATATCTGGCTCTAGTTAGAGAGAGAGAGTGTGTGTGTAGGTGTGTGCGTGTGTGTGTGTGTGTGTGTGTGTGTGTGTGTGTGTGTGTGTGTGTGTGTGTGTGTGTGTGTGCGTGTGTGTGGAGGGGGGACAAGAGAGGGACCAACCAGTCTGCAGTCAATTTCACACTAAATGCTCCGTGTGCTGGAGGGTAAAAAGAAAAAAAGAAAGAAAGATTTGATAAGCTTCTCCCTGGGGACATTAATGATACAAATTTCTTGTGCTGGATGGTTGCACAGCAGCTTCTGGTCACATCCAGCCTCCATGCCTCATCACCCTGATAAACCTCTCACAGATTCAGAGCTTTTAATAGCAGCACATCTTCAGATCTCCAGTCCCATGGCAGTCAGACTGAACAGGTTCTTTATACTCCAGCCTCAGTGGAGATGGGGAGGGTGACCACTTACACAAAATTCAATTCATTTACTGCTATGTAGTCGTAGAAAGGCCCAACATTGCTTCGATGTATTATTTGGTGTACAAAATGGGTTTTTATGCATGTTGGGACTCCATCCTAAATGGGTTTTTGCCTGTGATAAATGCTGGGATGCAGGCACGTGCAGAGGAGGGGGCACAAGGGGCCGGAGCCCCTGCCCCTTTTATCCTTGATGCCCCTGGTGTCCTTTTTGATGTTTTTATTTTTTCTTTTTCAATATTTTAATATTGAAATATTTTATCTGTATGTCAGAAGGCCTGCTTGTGCCCCTCAGCAATAATATTAACTAAATATAATAATTGATCAAAATAAGCTAGTCTGGCTGCCCTCAGTCTAATGACGCTGAGAGTCCATGGTGAGGAGGGGGTCAGATCTGTGACTCTAACTACAAAATATTCATACCAATGTGTGAATATTTTGTTCATTTTTAAACCTGTTCAAATTATAAACCTTATAGAATGATTAAAAAACTATATTTACAGTAAATGAATGGTTTAATTATACCATTCTCAATCTGAACTCAATATTTAACTATTAAAATCCCAGTTTTAATCCGTAGCCTCCTGAAATGTACACCTCCAACATCCGTCATGATTAATCCTTTGCCTCAAATGATTTAGTTATCATTTGAGGCAGTTCTGCATTGTTAACTATTAACCCTATTAAAGGGTTAATAGTTAACAATGCAGAACTGATCTGACCGTTTTCATAGCAACGATCAGAAGCAAGACATTCCCCCAGAACCACAGTGATCTCATCGCAGCTATGACCTCACTGTCTATGAGGTCATAGTTACATAGATCAAAGAGCTTCTAGGGTTATAAATGCTTCAGTCTCAAAATATCAGGTAGGAGACCAGCAACTCTTTGACACTTTGTTTCTTTCAACAATTTTTACAATGGAAAACGTTTTAGTGACCCTGTTTTTCCCCCTCTCTTTTGGCGCAGGATACCTGATTACAACTGGTGTGAGGAAGGTGTGCAACAAACTCCTTCCTCACATCAAGTTTGAAACAAACCATCAAGACGACTGCAACAATTACGATGAATTTGATGCCTTTGTCTTCAATCCTCCTCCAGCTGGACAACAAACCTCCCTGGCCGGGGAAACCTCAGAAGACAACAATGCTGTAGAGACAATTGACGAGGATTGCGTGAGTTTTCAGCCTGAACCGGCTGAAAACTCACCATCCGGTTTGACGGGAAAGGGATCAGATGTCGCTGATCCCAAAGAAGAAACTTCCCCGGCTGGGGAAGAAAATGAACATCGGTGCCCTGACCATTCGACGTCGAATCTGAAATCAAGCGATAAGAAGAAATCGGTGCATTTCGCTGAGCTGCCTGTACCTTACAAATATCAAAGACCTGGCTGCTACATCTGTTATGAGGAGGCAAAAAAGAGACTCAGGCAACAACCTGAAGAAGAAGACCCATGTTGTTGTGCTGTATGACATACAGTCAACATACAGCACAACATGTTATCGTTGCTGCAGCATCTTGTTGGAAACGTTGGAGGAGCTTAGCTTCCTCCAGTCTGCTCCAGTCTCCAGTACAAAGAGATTTTGTGGACATTAGATAATAGATGGATGATGGAAACATTTTTTTAAACTTGTTTATATGAATGGGCTCTTTGCACCTGCCGCGCTGACGTCACAACTGCATGCCCAAATGCGGCTCTTTTTTTTTGCTTTCAGTTACTATAACTGCTATAAAAGTCAAAGTCGTACTTAAGACACAAATAAAACAATACTATGCACTTTGTTTACGTGTTCATGAATTTCCAAGCGATCCTGAATTACGACGGCTTGTAAATATTCGTTGCTACCAGTTGAAGCTAACGCCGCACAACAAAGTTTGCAGCCTTCATTTCACTCCGGATCAGCTTCTTCAGCCTAAAGACGAAGGTAAAGGAGCCGTCCTGTGTTATTAACATTAAATCGCTTCTGTATTCAGCCTGAAAGAGCGAGTGTTTGGGAACGAGAGAGCAGAGCCGGACAGCCGAGCAACTGATCCGCCTGTACACACCGCTGTACACACCGCTGTACACACCATCCTAATGAGCCTGGGCTCCTTGTGCTTCGTCGGGCTGCAAGCAAAAAGCCTGAACTGTAATAAGGTACAAACATTGTCCGATAGAATGGATGAGAAATGTTTAGATACTTAAATAGCAGATTTTTACAAGAAAAATGTCCGAGAATATTGCCTACTAGCATAAGCTAAAGCTAATGTTAGCCACAAAGTTTAAAGAAAGTAAAACTCACCTACTGTGAATGTATAACGAGGCGAACATCTTAAAACCTTTCTCCGGCTTACTTGTTGGGGTTTCGGATCGATGTACATTATTAATTGTTACCTTGGAAAAGCCCGGCAAATGCCCGGTGTAAAGTACCGTTTTCAACAGATCGGAAACATTTGAGCCGTTTTTCCGAACGCGGAAGCTCAGGTGCAAATAGCCCAATATTCTTAGTATATAATTAATGTAATTCTTAGTAATACAGTAATTATCATATTGCAGAGTACTATACTAAAATGACTCTAATAAATCATAACAAGTATTGTTAATAACAACAATAATAAATAATTATCAATATAAATATTAATAATTAGTAATATTTATATTGATAATTATTATTACTGTTGATTATGATAGAAGCAACAAAGTCATTGTAATTCAATATTGTTTTTTTTTAAATAATAATAATAGTAATATTGATATCGCCACACACACACACACACAAAAACAGAATATCCAGTCCATTACAGTTTTATGATTTCATGGCTTGATGTTTATTTTGTGATTATTGATAAGTGATCGCCGTGGTAGATTAGCTAACGCTCTGCTGACGGTCTGTCAGAGTTGGTGTTTAAGTCGCCTTTTTTATTTTCTATCTGAACTGAAACACAGAGTTGACATGACGCCGGCTCCGCCCCCTGGAGGAAGTAGAGCAGTCCTCCTACAACCACACAGTTATTAGGTGAGTCTGAATTCAGGGTCTGCATTCTTCCAAGGACGGATTTGTAGGCCGATTGCGTCATAGCCTGTCCGAATGTGAAGACTCCTTCAAATTCGTCCTTCTTTTCCCCAAATTTGAAGAGACGGGTCCGGCGTGTCCTTCACGGCCCAATTCATTGCGGGTCCCAACCAGGCGTTCATGCAGAGCGTCGATGGTTGTGAAGAGCGGCAAATTATATAGCTATTCCACACTTTAAGTGACACAACGTGATTTGGTACAACGTTTTTATCTGCTCGGTTCATCAATAGGCTACGTCAGAGCAATACGTTGCTCTGACATTTTCAGACATGTCTGCTGCCTCTGTGTGCACTTTTTTAACTTTGCGCCCCTGCCCCTCCAAAGGTCTCTGCACGGCCCTGCTGGGATGTACTGCTTTATCAGCTTGAGTAGGTTAGGAGCTAAATCCTGCAGGGGGTTCTGAGTGCAATGAGTAACAGGAAGGCTGACGTAAAAATGGGATACAATGCAACATGACTGTTCTGACTGCAGAAAACTATGGGATACATTTCCAACTGAGAACCTCAATGCAGTGGCAAATAAGTTTTATTTTGAGTGAAGATTAGAATTGTGCCATTCACACTGCCATGAAAAAGTCTGACGTGGGTCACATAATGGATTTGCCTGGTGTGTGGAGGCAGACGTAGATCTATAATGGACTGTATGAAGTGTTTTCCAGGCACATTTTGTAGCACATTCAAGAAACTTTTTTACTTCAGTTTGTATAAAAATGCTGTATAAAATATGACTGAAAAGAAATTTGACTTTGTGATTTAACAACTTGGAATTGGACCTCTGTCTCTTTAAGAAACTCCTACTGTTTCTTAAACTCCGGCTTCTGCAAGGCACCACAACATGGCTCCTTTATTAACTCTTTAATAATATTTTGACCTGATTTGCCCTAACAAGTAGCTCTTATAATGAGCTCAGGTGGTGCACAGTTCCACCAGGTGCTTGCTAATTGCTGCTGGCTAGTCTAAAGGAGCTGAGTTGGGGAGTTGCGGAAACCAGCAGCACCGTGGAGGAGCTGCGCCTCAAAGGCGGCGGTCGGTTCTTCCAGGCGTTTTTACATAGTTGAATGGTTGCCGCGGGAGATTGACGGATTTGTCAAAGATGAAGAAATCAAGGCAGCACTCCACGTATGTTTTTGACTAATGACTAACATTCTAGCATGACTTAAAGCTAATGAAAAGACAATTCTACTTGACACAAGCCATCTAGCAAGTGTTGAATTTCAAAGCCTGGCAGAAATGTATTCATTTACATGTTGCCCTGGGTTCTGTAAAAAAAAAAATCATACAAAAAAAAAAAAGACGCACACACAACAAATCAAACGCAGCACATTCTGGGGTTTCATGCTGCATAAAACTTTAGAACTGTCCTTTGTTTTTTGTGTGTGTTTGTTTCTGGTCTGGTCTGTGTCTCCCAGTGATTCTCTAAAAGATCATGGCAGCACAGCCCTGTATTTATTGACCTGCCAGTGCAGCATGGTGAGAGATTTGCTATGTGTGGCTGTCGACTGAAACAGCGTCCTGCCTACAGCTCTCAGCTCTGCGCCGGCTTTGCCCATTATTGACCCCATGACAGAAAGAAAGGGTCTGCTGCTCTGCGCTGACTTTATTCCACTCAATAGTTTGCCGGAGCTCCACTGGCGTGTTTTCACTGCGACTCCATGAACATCAAAAGTCGTTTCTCCTCTCTGTCACTCAGGCTAACAACTAAACAAGGTAGGCTGGCACTTATTCCAAACAACTTTATTATTTTCTGTTTAATCCTATTTGTTTGTTCTGTTTGCCTTTGTGAGAGTGTTGCATTTTCTTAGTTTGTTTCTTCAGAAATGGTTTCCAGTTTGGATTTAGGCATTTTGGAGAATAACACTAAAGAAAACCTGAATTCTTTTGGCATCTCTTTTGGTAAACTGCTAAGTTTGACACAGATAAGGAAAATTATCTTTAAGGTGGTGGACGTACAGCAGCCAATCAGAGGAACACACATGATATTGATGTTTTTGAATGAAAATGAGTGAGTTTACGGTAAGAAAATAACCTTTCAGCCAATAGAAATGATGAATCAGCTTAATCACTCTTTATTTGGTGAGATTTCTGTTAAGGTTTTAACTGCTAAGAGGCTCATTTAACCAAAAATAAATAAGTTTTAACAAGATGTCAGACAACCAAATGCCATTCATTCCCAATATTATAATTAAAAATTCAGAGAAGAAACAGGTCATACGTAACTAATCAGATGTTTTATAAACTCAAATGAGATTTAAAATGCTTTAAAGTTGCACTTGATGTCTACTTTCACAAACTCAGTTAAACGCAGAAACAAATTTATAGAACACAAAAGTTCATTTTTTCTTTCTTGCGTTTTTTGTTACTTCTCAATTCCCTTACCTTTAAACATGGGACCCGCCCACTGTTTGAACTTTTTTATGCAATTTGAAACGACTCAAACTAAAAGTTTTTACATCCATAGGATGCAAAGTGATGTCAGCTGGTATTTCACAACCACATTTTCACCAGACAACATTGTTCAGTTTGTTGCTTTGTTTGATTTTACTGCACTAAAGCTAAGCAGGTTGAGGCCGCTCGCCTTATAAATCCGCTAGACCGGCTGAAACTTCTCCGTCTGTCTGTGGAGTGAAGTAAACATTTAGATTTTGCAACAAGCCAAACAGCATCAAAAATGATACCTTCCGGTGCGCTTCCTGGTTTTATCTGAAATCAGCCAACGAATTTCACCAGCAACATCAGATCGCCTTCCTTTAGCATTGTCACACGTGCATTGTTGAGTTGAGAGAATCCAAACTGAACATTTTTCTTCATACAAATCTCAACATTTATTACTTTTTAACTAAAGCCCCAGTATCCCAGAGGTACAAGTTTCATTTTTGAGTTGCTTTAAATCTATTAAGTTTGCTTAAATAGAGAGTTTTGCTGTTCACCTGAGATAATTTTTTTCACTTTTCAACAAATTCACTGCTGTCTAACATCTATTATGAACGTCTCAATGATACGTTGAAATGTAAAGTTAAATAATTGTTTCAACTCAAAGACCTTCTTAAGTGTGAGATCTTTAAGCAAACACTTTTAGAGGGCAATTCTTACTTACTAAGCTAATTTCATGTATAACTTTATGATTTAACTCTTGTAAAAACACATCGTCCTCACTCATAATCTTAAACAGACTGTTGTACAAGCCATTAAACTTTGTGAAGGTTCAGGTGAAGTTACATCACTGAAAGCGTTCTCCAACAATGATCAAGTTTTGTTGTCATTTCAGTTTCCATGATTGCTTTTAGATGAGGTTCAAAGTGTAAAACACCACGCTGATCTTTCCAGCACATTTCTCCAAGGTGTAAAAGCCTCAATTACTCGACAAATTAACCCGCTGTGCCTCGTGCGGATGTTTGGGAATACCTCCGTGCTGGCAGGCCACATGACAGCAAGGCCTCGTGCTCTCATTCATGCACCAGTGGGGATTATTTCCAGGGCGAGCCCATCGATCCGCTTGTGATGGGGTGGTGGTGGGGTGGCCTGCAGCGCTCACTCCAGCTGCCCACTGGGTGTGAAGGACACTGATGTGACAGCACTAATTACAGAGGCAGGAAGCCAGAGCTACAATCCTCCACGGCAGCAGCTCAGGCAGAGCTCCGCCGGGTCAGAACCTCCCTCCACCAGCCGCTTCACACCTCTCACCCCTCCAGGGTGGCGTTTCCAGCATCCCACAGCCAAAACACAATGAGACACGCAGCGCTAACTCACGGCATTCAAACCAGCAGAAAAGAAACAAATGTGGGTTTGATCCATAAATTATTTTGTTTTAAAAAAAAAACTAAAAGTTGATGGTTTTGTTTAAATTTTTTATAGCGTAATTAAAGTTGTGTATTGTGCAACATTTACCCCCACCGACGTTAAAGTAACACAACTATTTATCTTTATGCGGTTCATGAGTGTCGGTAAACTTCTTACTGTAACTGTTAAGTTCTGGCCAAAAAAGTCAGAAAAGGTGAGTCAAATCAAAGATAAGAAGAAAACCATTTTAAAATGTGTAAAGATGTTTTTTTGCAGATTTAAATGTGACAGTTGTGTGAAGAAGTTTACATTTATAGAGAGTTTTCTGCAATCATCAAATGCTCAAAACTATACAGGAAAAAATATGATAAGAGATGCCTGTACCTCAAGAGCCTAGAATGTGATTTAACTAAGTCAGGCTAAGATCTATTTTCATTCCTGTTGCCAATAAAAAAATTATCTTTTAGCATCACAGAACCGGCCGTTACTCAAAACAATGGGAAAGTTATCAAAACCTTTTTCTTAACTTTGTTGAGATCCTTGGGCTTTCCCTGCGGTTTGTACGTATACAAAAGTTGGGAAAGTGTTTCGGAGTCATTTCTAACCAAGTGTAGATTACAAATGTTTCAGTAAGTCTATGTAACACAAGCATGTGTCAGAAGTCTTGAAGACCCGAATCCTTTGAGGAGAGAACAATTTCTTCAGGAACATTCAAGGCAAATTCTGCCATGGAGTTGAAACTTTCCTCTGTTCACACTGAGCCCAGTTTTATTTCAAAGTGTCAGCCGTGAAGCTAAAGTCAAATTTCAACCCTAACTGAATTATGGAGATACACACAATAACAAGCTCAGAGAAAGATTGATCTGCTTGGCTACAACAAAGAGAATTAGGGAGAAGTCAAAGCGACGCTTTCAAACCTTGGAACACTGAATCAAATGTGAAGCACGGTCAGGATAGCATCATGCTGTGAATGAGAAGCTGCAGGGAGAACTTCACCTTCAAGTTCTTGAACTTTAACTAAGAGTGTAGAAATTCCAAATGAAGCAGGCTAACCTTAAATATCTGCATTACGCTGGTCCTGAACCTTGAACAAGATTACGAACTCTTCTAATTCTGTCGTGAATTCAGAAAAGTTCAAATTCAAAAATTATTTATTAATTCCAAACATTGTTGTAACTCATTAATTTAGATTAACTCATTAATTTAGATTAATGAGTTAATATAGAGTAACTCATTAATTTCGATTAATTAGTTAATTTAAATTAATTAACTCATTAATCTAAATGAGTTTAGATTACAATAACAGTTTAGACATACAATAGCAAGAGTTATTGTAGATCAGGGGTGTTAAACTCCAGTCCTCAAGGTTCCGCTGTCCTGCAGTTTTTAGATGTGCCACAGGTAGAAAACTCTGGAATGAAATGGTTTAATTCCCTCCTCCTTGTGTCGGTCAGTTCTCCACAGCTTTAATAATTATTCTATTCCGGTGTGGTGCAGCAGAGGAACATCTAGAAGTTGCAGGGCAATGGCCCTCCAGGACTGGAGTTTGACATTTGTGTTGCAGATCTTTCCTGTTGGTAGAAAAAAATCTCTTATAGCAGTCTGTATTACAGCAAATCTGAAGAATCCTCTGACTGAAGATACTTTGTTTTCTCAAGATAGAGTGAAGACGATGGTCCGGATTGCCATTATTTTCTTGATTTTATGAAGAATTCTTCTTTGCATCATCATCTCTGGAGAATCCACAGTCATCCCCAGAACAGAACCAGAGCAGAATCAGAGCAGAACCAGAAGAGAACCAGAGCAGAATCAGAGCAGAACCAAAACAAAACCAGAAGAGAACCAGAGCAGAATCAGAGCAGAACCAGAACAGAACCAGAGCAGAATCAGAGCAGAACCAGAACAGAACCAGAGCAGAATCAGAGCAGAACCAGAAGAGAACCAGAGCAGAATCAGAGCAGAACCAAAACAAAACCAGAAGAGAACCAGAGCAGAATCAGAGCAGAACCAGAACAGAACCAGAGCAGAATCAGAGCAGAACCAAGAGAACCAGAGCAGAACCAGAACAGAACCAGAAGAGAACCAGAGCAGAATCAGAGCAGAACCAGAACAGAACCAGAAGAGAACCAGAGCAGAATCAGAGCAGAACCAGAACAGAACCAGAAGAGAACCAGAGCAGAATCAGAGCAGAACCAGAACAGAACTAGCTTTCTTTATCAGATTGTTGGGTCTTTTTACATTGTTGGCTTTGATGCTGCTGATGATGAAGAACGGTCAAATCCAAACAGAATTTGATTAGAAGTTTGGTCAAGGTATAAATTTGAGCCTGTAACTATATTTTTATACTCTGTGTGAATAGTCAGTTCAAAGTTATGAGGCACATTATCATTTTCTCAAAAAAAATCTGTTTAATGTTTTACTATCATCTATATTTGCTAGTTGCATCAGTAGAAAGCCATGTTGACTCAGTTGCAGTAAAATCATTATAGCACCACACCTGAGTTTCCCATTAGATAACATCATTTCACTTCTGATCTGAAAAAAGAAACATTCACTTTTCAAAATGTTTCCTCCAACAGCCTCTCATCCCCAGAGAGGTTTTGCTGTTTTTGAAGAGCAGCATCTTGCTTTTTGTTTTCCTGACATTCAGTGTCCTTGATGGTTGACTCTCAGCCATTAAGACCAGCCAAGGTGAGAAAGAGAGAGAGAGAGAGACTGGTGATTTCTCAGAAGTGACCCTGGTTGTTGTTATCTCTCAGAGTGCTAGAGGTCCATCTTTTGGAGTGTTTGCTACCTGAACACTGATGATCACACAGAGGCAGCGTTCACACACAGGGAGCCAGTCAGTGGACTGAACGGAGGATACTTTTGCCTCCTGTGTTGATTGAGCGGCAATTCTTTTTTTCTGAAACAGAAATAAACCCTTTTTTTGACTCACTTCGCTTCCATTGACTATATTAATGTGCAATTTGACATTTTGAAAGTAAATTTGCTTCTAGGAAACAAGCCAATTAAAAGAAAACAAAACATATTTTTGATTAAAAGAAGTTTGGCCAAGACAAAAGTGGGTTTTATTGGGCCTTTCGAAATTGTTTTTTCTTTCTTTCGCGAAACAGTGGAAACACGAGTTACACGATCAGCAACCGAGTGTTGCCACTGGCGCAAACCACGAAGAAGACAACAGGAAGTAGTTGGAGGATGATGGCACTGCATGTTTTTTTCTTACTGACCAACTTCTTCACGTGTGATTTTAACTGCCTTTCTTATTAAACAAAAACACAGCAATTGAGGAATTCTATTTTTTGGCATTAATGGGAAATTGACAACGTTTTGCACACAGCAAGTTTTTAATGGAATACACAGAGTGGAAATCAGACTTGACTTACTTTCAATTTTTTATATTTGATCATTCTAGAAAGTTTTTATTAAATTCTGGTATTTTAGCTGAGGTAAAATTAGAACTTACTCGAAATGTACATATCTGTAGTAATTCAGGAATTGACTTCAGATTCACTGCCATGGAATTTGAGATTATATTCAGTACAGTGAGTGAAAAGAACAGTTCAGAGAAGGTAAATATGAAAATAAAGATTTTATTTTCTCGACACCTCCACCAGCAGGAACATGGTGGCCTTGTTCCTCGCTGGTGGCCCTCAGTGGGTGAACTGGTGGCACGTGCGATACGTTACCATCGCATTTGTTTTAATTATGTGCATTTTTATTGACATACCCTCGCTCCTAATTATTTTCCCATTGATCTGCATGGCAGTGCTGCAGCAAGCAGGTCAGTGAGCGAGAGCTGCTGCTGGTGGTAATGCAGCTGGAGGTCATGTCCCAGATATGGCGCTCTCGCACACATATACACACTTTGCATGGACTTCCATTCATCTTTTCATTCATTTCTATAGCCTAACCTTAACCCTTACCTTAAATCTAACCTAAACTCAATTCACTCTTAAACCTAACCCCTAACCCACAACCAACAAGGAGTGCTGGGTTCTTACATTGCAGCATTTGTTAGAAAAATGGGTCATTCAATGTGAGAAATGTCAAAACACACACGCATATCATTGAAAAAACACGTGCCAAAAAGGTCAAAGTTTGTGGATGACTCTGTCCTGTTCCAAATGACCAGATGCTGTTACAGAAAGCAAGAATCATAGAGGCCTAGATGAGCCAGGCCACTGACCTCTTCCAGAAACTGGACGGTTAGATTAAAACGTGATTATCTTTCTAATATTACTATCACCTGTGACCAGCCCAAATACTCTCATGTCTTCTTATCAAGTCAAATTTCTTTTTTTAAATGGTTTTTGGAGCCTGAACAGGTTTTCCAGTGTTCAGTACAGACCAGATTCTGAAACTCCAATAGAGTTTAAGAAAAATCTTATTAACACACAGATCATATTCATTCATCAAAATGCAACATTTTCTGTTTTTTTTTCTTTGTTTTAATTTGTGTGTTGTTTTTTATTTTATTAATGTACTGTATTTTAAAGTACTAAGTAATGTACTTAGTACATTACTAAGTAATGTACTAAGTATTTTGTACTCTAATGTAAAAATAAAATTAATCTTTTTTTTTTTTTAAAGAAACAAATAATCTTACAGATGTGCAAGCGAAAAGCTGAACAGGTGTAGACTTCTTTAAGTCTTTTGTTCAAGCGAGACTTGGAAAACCACAAGCTGCATTTACATTACAAATGTGCACAAAACTTTGCCGATATGCTACCAATGTAGTGTTGTTTCCATTAAATAAGAAAAACTTCTGACATCGTCTTCCGGTCGTCTTCTTCTTCGTGGTTTGCGTCAGTGGCATGACAGTTTTGCCAAATGAATCGATGTCGATGCGGCTGGGATACCACCTCGTTTTAGCACCAACACGTTTGGTCGACAGCTGAGCGCTTCCTCTGAATCGGCGGGTTTCCATGAAGCAAATTCATTTTCGGAATATCAAAACGTGCAATTGTGTGGTCAGCAGAAACGCAGCTAGTCTTTGGTTAGCCACGAAGCTGTGTGTACATAGGTATTAACCATGCTACTATAGCTAAGGGTGAATCTACAAGTGTCTAAATAAAGTAATTTTAAACTTGTCAGGATGGACCATGGAGACAGAGGGATGAGGGTGTCTGACCTTCGCTATGAGGAAGAGGATGGTGAGTCTGTCTGCATGTGTGGCTCCCTGCAAACACACCAACTGGAGTCCAAACCTCCAGTTTGTTTGTTAAAATTGTGTTGAATTGGCTATTTGACAATGTAGTTTTAGACTGTGAGCAACTGAACCTCATATAGGTTACATCATCCAAAACATAACATGCAAAAGAATTACGACATCCGAATGTCTGTGCATTTTTATTTTTTAACATATTTGGACATGTGGACATTTAAAATAAATCAAAACCTTCTGTAAAATAGTAAAAATGCTGCCTGGGCACAATAGTTTAGCTGGAATCACACACGGCTGTATCACATCAGGCACCGAAAACATGATTATTCATCATTTTGAAGGAGGCTTACTGTATTTAAACATTACACCTGCAGTTTGGTATGCTCCCAACTGCTGAGGTCAGAGAGAACACCATGTTGAGATTCAAAGAGCCTTCAGAAGGAACATTGTTGCCTTTTATGAGCCTCTCAAGAGATCAAGTGAGGTCTAATTTCAAATCAGCCTTTCCACTGCATGGAAATCATTCTGCAAGAGGGGGATGTTAAAAACAAGCACCATGTCCAGTTCCAGCTGTTCACCCCGCAGGCTGGCCGCAGGATGCTACAGTAAAGCTTAAACTGTTGTCACTAAGCCTCCAGCTGACTCTTATGTTTGACTTTAAATGTGCCACCAAAAGGATGAGAAGAAGTTTAACATTCATTAGACGAAAGAAAGGAGGAAAAAAAACATAACTTTCTAGAAGAAAAAAAGAAACAACAGAACAACTAAAGTTTGCCCGGATTTATGTAATAATGTCCTTATGAATTGAACAGGGGGAACATGTTAGGCATGAACTCAAAATAAGAAACAAGAAAAGTACATGATAGCAACTGGAAAGCGAATGTGTCAACCAAGAACTGGTCCTGAGCCTAGTCAAAGCCCAGATCTGGATGTCTGGACTGAACATCCCAGTGGTGATAATGTTATTTACAAAGGTGTTGGTGTGTCCTACCTTTTTTTTTTTATCAGCTAGAAATCAATTGATGATGTTTAGCTGTGATCAAATCACTTCCTTTATTCAACTTTTTTTTAAAAAAACAGTTGTGCTTTATAAAACATTTTGCAATTTTGCAGTTATAGTGAAACATGACTGCATTTAAACATTTAGCCAAGTGAAAACATTGCTAAGTTGTATATTATATTATATCATATTATATTATATTATATTATATTATATTATATTATATTATATTATATTTATATTTCTGGCGCAATGTTAAATTCTAATCAACGAACCGTGTTCCTCCACAGACCATCAATCCGTCTACATCGGCGTCCCCGTATCGCGTGGGTTACGCCGCAAACGGAGGCGACGGCGTTCGAGTCGAGAGGCTCAGGAAATGGAGAGGGACAGACACTACGGCCACAACAGACAACACGACCATGACCGCTACAGAGACATAGACATTGAGGAAGGACTTATGGACTCAGCTGAGCAGAGTCTCCAAGACATCAACCGCACAAGTAAGAGCGATCAAACAAACAAAGACGGTTCCTCTAGAAGGCAGGCCACAGGACGCCAAAATACATCTCCAAAAACCTTAAAATGTCACTAGACTCACAGCTGACTTACTCTTGCTGTAAACTTCCATTCAGGGAAGATGGCAGTCTAAATTTTGTTTTCAAGCAGCTGTAGAAATGATTTTTACTGATTGATCTTTCAACAACCAGCTACATTGTGCATGTAATATGTTCCCAAATCAGACACAAGAACTAGAATCAGGGTAAAGTCTGTTCATACCTCCATCTGACCCTTCAAGCGATTTATGCGTACCAAAGGCCATATTTTATAGAGAGCAGCCTCGACTGCACTGTGTCAAATAACCCACACTAATTGAAAGACCTGCTCACCTGCGGAGATGCTGCACCAGGAACTACTGAGGGATACAACATGGAAACCTCTGAGGAGTTACACTGAATGCAACTTTCTTCTTCTATGCTTTTGTAACACAGTTGAGAAGGGTACAATATGTTTTAGGTAGATGGGCCAATAGGTTCGGCTGTCGGAGCACGATGGGTGTTTAAATGACACACATACACAGTTGAGTGAATTTAAAAAACAATTAGCTTTAGTAACATGAATCATAAACTCACAAGTGGACAAGACATACAATTAAGAAAATAAAATTACACACAATAAAATACATGAAATAAAAACAACAATACTTGGCCAAGTGCTAAATATCACATTTAAATCTATTGGGTGCACCCTGGTAGTTTGCGCTCTAATCTCTTTTAGATGACAAATGAATCAAATTAAATCCTGGTTCAGGTCTCACTCAACATGGGAGGAAATCCAGATCTTTCTAAGTCCAGGTGGGAAGGCTCGCCATCAAAGTCAGTAGGGGAATCCACTCCAGGAACAATCCAGGAGAAGAGAAGAAAAAGCAAAAAAAACAAAAACAACACAACAAAAAAAAAACCTGATCTGTCAACAGACAAGACCAGCAGAAACATAGAATTATTATTAAACCATTCTAGCTTATTATGTTTCATAACTGTTCGAAAAATCCTTTTCCAAGAACAATAATAAAACATTACATTTTACACAAACTCAGCAAAGGTTCACGTTTTAATAACTAAGTAGGTCAAATAAAGATCATTATTTGACAACAAGATAAAAGAACAAAAACCAAATGAAAGGTACAAAATATGCTCACCGATCTCAGTGCGGCACGTTCAAAACAACTAGACAGGGACTCTCATTCCAGACACGGAGGGCACTAGACAGTGTAAAATGCATATTTTTTAAGTTTTAACTTAAAGAAAATGAATTAAGTAAAATAAAAATACATTATTATATAGGCTTTACCTTCAGTTGAACTGAAAACAACTGCCAATCAACTGCCAGAAAGTGCAACAGTTCCAACTGATCTTAGTGGTTCTAACAGCAGAAAAACTGAAGTTCAGTTTTCTGAAACTTATCACTCTTTCTAACTTATAAGTTGGATTTAAACAATAACTATTTACAAAAAAAATTCCTTCAAAGTCAATAAATGATATTAGAAAGAAACCAAAAGACTCTCACTCTGGCTCAGCTGTCTGATCAGGGTTGGATCTCCCGCTCACAATCAACGCTGCCAACACGGGAAAGAAGGTGGAGCCTCTGTGGCATTCCACTCTCTGATTGGTCTAAACATTCATGGGAATCAAACTTCCCATTGGCCAGGCAGACTACCCCGCCTACCCAATCTCTATTTCCCAAAAGACTATCCCCACTTTATGTGGGTTACACCTTTCTGTTCAGTTCCAGTCAATCATGGAAGTCATAGTAACTCTGGTTCTTCCTGTTAAAGTACAGTTGTTCCTTCCTCCTGTTGCCCGTTTCTTGCTCTAGATGGGAGTCGACTTAATGATGAAAAATATGAGGTTGTTGTTTTCAAAAGGTACTTTTAAACTGACAAACAAGACTCATCAGGACATATTGTGATTTATTAAATATGACCATATTTCTTAAAATACACTTATGATACTTCTGATCCAACAAGCAGCCATAATTACATAAATATATATCATTATGTTTTTATTCAGACAACTTAATACTGTTTCTACAAATAACGAATATGGATCAGTTGAGCTCGTCTCAGTGAGATAGTTAGTGAATTATAGATGTCTTAGTCATAATAACTCTGACCATACTGAGTATTTCTTCCTGTTGTTTACCTGCAGCAGCAGCTCAGTGTGTTTACTGAGCTCAGCTGGTGTTCAGGTCAAGTTTTCATTTTAAATAAAGAAAGGCTTTTTGTCACGCTTTGGATATGATTTTACTCCCTTCTGGGCCTTTTACAGTAAGCAGCAGGAGGCTGAGACACAGCCTGAGAGGGATTGCTTCTTCTTTTGTCACTGACATGGCAGCGGATCGCTTTCAAATACTTGGAGTGTTGGTGAATTGCGGTTTTATTTAGCAATTTTCAAAATGCATGTGGTGCAATAAGTGGTAAAACAGCAGAGGTACCTGATCCGACGAACCCGATGCAAGCGGCAGCTTTTTAAAATGTTCTGCCTGTCGTACAAAAATGACATAAATCTACAAAACAACCACTGAAAAATTGTGAATTATTATGATTTTTTTCCAGCTTTGTGTCTTCCTCTGAATAGATGAAATCTGTAATTTCAACAAACTAAACAATGTTCAGTTTGTGTCCGTTGGACTAGAAATACCTGTGAGCAAATTTCTTATAATTTCACTTCATGATTGAAATCATCATCATCTGAAAACTTCCTGTTGTGTTTACTCACATTATCTGTGATCTTAAAAATTATTTGATGATGCAAGTGCACAAAAAAAACAAAAACAATAGAATCCTACAATAGCAGAAAAAAACAATAACAAGCAGGGATACTGTTAATCTAATTTCAGTAATTCGGTAAACAAAAACAGTATTTTTCTTCATAAAATAAATAAATATAGAGTAACTTACCACTCGATAACATTGTTCCATAACATTGTTTATTTCCAGCAGAATGTTTGTATAACATTATGACATGCTGGTTCATGGCTGCCTTGCAGATGTCCTCCTGGAACCCTTTAATTCAACTTAATTCAGTTTATTTATAAAGCACCAATTAACAACTAAAGTCATCCCAAGGCAAGCAAGTCCAATTTACGTAAAATATTGAACAATCCAATCATGTACACAGATACAAATTCAATTGCAAACAATCCAATCCTAATGAGCTACTAAAGCTTTCTATAAGCATATTAAGCTCTGTAGAAGAAATGATTGCTTTCTGACTGGTTTTTGAACATCTTACATAAGTTATTTTCTGTGACGCAGTGTCTCCAGCAGCAGAGCGACTACGCTACATCCTGAATGAAGACGACGACATGCCCACACCAACGCTCTTCACAGAGATGGATACTTTGCAGCGAGAAGGAGACGAGCTGGAGTGGAAGGAGTCGGCCAGGTGTGCGTCCACGCCCAAAACACACATCACACACACGCACATGTTTACGTGGCGATCTTTGTGGGGACGTTCCATTGACTTACATTCATTTCTACAGCTTAAACCTTACCCTTATGGTAATCCTAACCAAAACTCATTTCACACCTTAGTCCTCAATCTGACCCCTGACCCAAAAGCAGTGTTTCCCCTTCTGGGGACCAGGCTTCGGACCCCACAAAATGCTTTGGAACAAAGTGCTGAACCGATGCAAGGAGATGAAAACCATAATAAAACAAATAAAATGAAAAGGAAACATCAAATAAATAAATAAAACTGTAAGTTCAGGATAAAGACTCATGAGACACAGTGAACAGTCCTGAAGTTAACTTTAAAAATGTCCACTGAACAAGCCTGGCTAATGTCTTGTCACACAAAGATGTGGCATGAAAGGAAAACCCATTTGCTCAGAATTTCTTTTGAACAATGGAACAGTGACCAACATATTGATGATCAATAAGAACTATTTATTGTTCCTTTATTAGGTAACTGCTTATTTGTGACTGCATCACACAGCAATCAAAGCCCACAAACAAAAATGCTGCTCTTGAAAAACATACCAATTTTACAAATACCTCTTTATGATTTATATCACTAATCTGCACACAGCAACTGCATCTAATCATATTTTCAAATGTATTAATATTTATTCATGCAAACACTGGGAAATAAGGGAACATTGTAAATTGGAATATGTCTTGACATTAATAAATAAAAATTCTTATCTTGATAAATGATAAACGATACAATAAATGGCCACCTGTGCAAGAGCAAAATATCCAAGAAGCTTGAAGAATGAACTGAGGTCACCCAAGCTGCCCTTTCAGTGGACCACTGCCTGCTGAGCAGAGGGAACCCAAACAGCACATGTTGAAAACCTCAGTGACTTTTAACATTTTGTCCTTTGCTGATTCACTTTTTCTTTTGGTACGTTTATATCTGCAGGTGGGTGAAGTTTGAGGAAAAGGTGGAAGAGGGAGGCGAGAGATGGAGTAAACCCCACGTGTCCACGCTGTCCCTGCACAGTCTTTTTGAGCTCAGGACTTGTCTCCAAACAGGGACGGTGCTGCTGGACCTGGATGGCTACTCGTTGCCTCAGATAATTGGTGAGACGTCTTCCTGAAAGATGGGACAAAATTCCTCCCCACACACACACAAAAAAATTATATATATATCTATATATATATATATATATATCTATATATATATATATATATATATATATATATATATATATATATATATATATATATATATATATATATATATATATAAATCCCTTGTGGTCTGTTATTGTTTGATAAATTATCAATGTTTATCAATTTGTTGTTGTTTGTTTGTTGCTTCGTAGCCAAACACATTCAAAATGTGTATTAAAGTATGCATATAATATTTATCATGCGTACTTTGTGTTATTTGTCTGAAAAGATTCTCAGTCTTGCCTAATAGGAAGTATTTTCTGTCCTAACCAAATCTAGCTAACGCTAGTGGAGCTTGTCAGTAAACATGTTACTTGCTAGTAGCTCAATAGTATTTTTTTATTTAGTTATGTGCCATAAAATGGCACAATATGGCTGTAAAATCTCAAAACATATAATCAAAAAGAGGATTTGAAGTTAGAATAACTGAATGTTGCCAAGTTGTGGGATAAAATCTATTTCAGCTCTTCCAACAGGGCCGGTCCAACGTCATTTGTGGGCTTAAGCAGAACTGGATTTGGGGCCTGCCCTCCAGCTGTCAGGACAGATTTTTTTAAGTGTGGTAACAGGGAGTGGAGCTTAAACTAATCAATTATAGCAACTGCTTCAGGCAGCAGCAAATAAGAGAAGCTTATCGTGAGAGTGGCCCAGTCTCAGTACCTCATTAACCAACCACGAGGTTTGGGCATAAATGGCAACTATAGACTTGTTGATAGTAGAGTACCTAATCCTAGTAATCAAGTTTTTAATATTATCTTGAAAGTTTTTCTTTCTATGACATCAGTTTGTCGTTGACCAGCCTTTCTTTTAATCCACCAAAACTCGTAATGACTTCTTCATTGAGTTCTTCTCTTTTCTGAGAGCTAGAAATCTTTTGTTATGAGAAAAACCTTTTTGTGGTGGCGAGCTTTGATGGAGTGTCACGTTTCACAAGCCTTCTGTTTTTCTGAAGCAGCATTCAATCTGAAGGAGAGAAATCAGTCAATGTTTTTCTGCTCGGAACACTGATTAATTCCTTCACCATCAAGGCTTTGTATGTCTGAGTAAAAGCTATTTATCTCATGGGAACTGAACTCGTGTCTGTGCAGATGACATAATTGAGAGACAGATAGAAGAGGGCATGTTATCGCCTGAGCTCAGGGAGAAGATCAGCTTTGTGCTCTTGAGGAAACACCGACATCAGACCAAGAAGCCGATTCACCGCTCACTGGCCGACATGGGCAAGTCCGGCTCCTCTGCAAGTGAGTGTTCCTACTGGTACCAAAAACCTGCAGTCTGACTCAGCAAGGCCTGACTAAACCTTTTGCTTTACACAGGATAATGTTCTACCCCATATATGCTACAATCATTAGATTATCTTCACCAAAGTTAAGTTTATTATTAAAGCTTAGATGAGCTAAATAAGCTAAATAAGTTACTCAAGATGACTAAAAGACACAAAAATATATTTTAGGAAATTTGCTCTTATTATCATGATTAACAACACAAAACTTCTGTCCGTAATGCCAGCTTCAGTCGGGATTTAATAGTGATTTTTTTTTCCTCCCTAAGTAATGTGTTTATTCAGCTCTGTCACCAACAGCAACTAGAGCCGGTGCCTGCTTATCCTTAAAAGGTCTTGAATTCATTTACCTAAAATGAATGTCTTAAATTAATTTAAAAATGTAAATACACTAGTCGCAGGTCTCACATTTTGTCATGTCAGAGCTACCTAATCTCATACATTATATGTAAGTATTTTTGTATTGCCTTGTTGCTAAAAATGTGCTGCATAGATAAAATTACCTTTACCTTTAATCAGCTTTGCCTTCTATCAGGCAAAGGTTTGAGTGGTGTGCAGGCATCTTCATCTTGCGTCATATTTTGTGGCTCGAGGCAGTTCAAGCTCCCGGTAACAAGCTGCTAAAAGTTTCATGCCAGCGCCCAAAATTTTCTAGCTTGTTACAAAACTAGAAAGCAAGTATCAGCAGCTTGTTACTGGTAACTGTAACTCCTTTATTTGTCCATCTTAAATTGTGTTTGTAATGTTCTGAAAACGGTCTTTAAATGTCTTAAACTTGATTTGATAAAACCTGCTAAAACCCTGCGAGACGTTTTGTGCAGACATTCACTATGCATGTTTATTGTTCTTGTTGAATGGGTCCCTGCTCTCCAGCAGCCAGCAGGGCTCATATCCTCCACAGGGGACACATTAATGTTTGATGAGTTAATTATCACTGTAACATTTCCCCATCTCATCAGGGCAAAGCACATGCTGCTCAGTAAATCAGACAACATCACCTTCAACTATTTAGCTTCTGTTTTCCTCTGTGCCTGCTTCCCCGCCGCTGTCAGGTCGGAGCGTACCGCCCCGAGGTGGAATGGGTCCGGCTCCAGGTCAGGGTCAAGGGCCGAACTTTAACCGATCCACAGAGGATCTACGAGTTAAGCAGCAAGCTGCTAACTACGGACGCCTACGTGAGTGCTGCTTTGCTACGATCAGTTTTCATTAGACGTTTTTTCCGAAGTCCTAAAACGTTGAAAAAATGTAATTTCAGTTACAGTGCCTAGACTCGGAGTGAAATACACCAAAAATACAACATTTACAAGAAGATTCTTGCAAAATGGAACTCAATAAAGGAACACAAATACTTTTGTAAGCCCCTGTTAACTGATGGGACAAAAGGGTAACATTTTGAAATGTGTGCATCTTGTTACATCTAGCTTACAATTATACAACACTTAGTGTGTCCGTGTTAAAATGTTTCCTTAATAGACTGTATCACTGCAAACCAAGCAATAAACGTAAGCGCTACACAACACAATGGGAAACTTGATGTAGACTTGTGTTTTCAGTGAGTGTTTTTCCCTTCCAGGTCATGATCAGAGCAGAAGTATGAATGACATTGCCGACACTCCCAGCACAGACCAGGTGACTTCACAAACCAACTGCTTACTGTGTAGAAATCCAATCACTAAATCCTGATATGTACCAAAAGCATTTCGAGTTTATATTTCTGAATTGGTCTAATTTTATGTTAGCATACAAGCTGTACTCAATTTGCTGCTCTGCCTTATGGGAGAAATCACCCGCCTCTTGTCTCAGTTGCCTCATTGACGATTCCTCTTTCATTCCAGTTGTTGTAAAAAGCGGGATAGAAAGCGTGCAAACACACACGGAACCGATCCAATGATGCGCTTTAAACCCAGAGAGACATGCTGGGGCAGTCGCGGGGGCGTGCTGTTGTTGTGGGGATCAGGCTGCTGAGCTTTGAAATAGACAGGTCATGATTAGGTGTCGCTCTCTGGGAGGGATGAAGTAGAAAACAAAAAACTGAATGAGGATTTGTTTCAGAGAGTACGACACGGGTTATGAGCGGTCTTTGTCAGCCCAGCCAAAGGAGCAAGGATTTCTGCGACCAGTGTTTAAATTGGAGTTACAGTCGTACAGTCGGTCACATGCAACAATGGACGAGTGATTTTTTTTATTTATTTATTTTCCGTCACTGTGTGTTTGTGTGTCAGCATCAATATCAAGCCGGAGCGGGGAGGACCATGGATCTCATTGTCCGGTCCGCGTGCCTAGTGCTCACATGTAGTCACAGATCGAGGCTGTGGATTATTGGCCAAAGCTTCCCAGTTATCGAGCGTCTTTCAGGCTTTGCCCAATTTCCTGCCGCACCTTGACGCGCGGCCAGGCAGGTCAGCCTGGACAAGCACGGCTGTGTCAGCCATCATTGTTTGACCTCATTCATTTGTTCTCAGGGGTCGTTTGGCTCAGAAAGCCACACAGGGCTACAGTTTGTCACTGCTGAATGTAGAGAACTTCCACGAAAACAAGCGACCGATAAAAAGTTTCTACTTTTGGGTTGTTATTTAGAGATATGGTAACTGTAGCAGCCATTAAAAACAAAAATTAATGACATTTTAAATTAACTTTGTATTTATTTATTTTTGTTTAGTTCATATTTAGATCATAAAAAACATGTAAACCACTGTGAAGTGGAATAATAACGACACTGTTTTCAAAAGGTTTTAGTAATGACACATTGAAAAGTGTGGCATACACTGTTACTTTGGACAAATCTGCTTGTAATACTAGTAACAAACGATCTATTTATTTAAGTGGGTCAGAGTATAAACGTTAAATATATACATGCATCACTTTTCTTTTATTTCATAACTGTCTTGCTGGTTCATATTGTAAAATCCCAATGAAAAGAGAGGAACGACTGAGAGGAATGCCAAGGTGTGTGTAAGCCTGTCGCACTAAGCAATTAATCAGTTAATCACACAATGAATCGAAATGAGCTCAATGATTTACATTTGGATGATTCATATTTTTGGTTTTCTTCTCCCATTTTGTTTATTGCTTTTGGTTGTTGTCTTTTATTTAGGATATTTAAAATATCATCCAGTTCCAATTTTAAGTGTTCTTTACACAGTTACGTTTTACTGATCTTTGAGAGTGAGAACTTGCATTATGATGCCCTTATCAAACAAAACAACGACACGACCGTTTATCGCAACAATTGTTGGAGCAATTTACCGTCTAGAAAATGTTGCTGTTGTGACAGGCCTGGTGTGTGAATACTTTTGGAAGGCACTGTTAACAAAAAAGGCTATAATGTAGATTTCGTCATAAATATATGACCACATATATGTTAACTTTAGAAACACATGTCACATTGTTGCCACCTGACAGTTATATCTCAACATGCTCCCACATTTTCCTTCCTTTTTTGCCACAGCTAAAAACAAATTCATGAAGAAAATCCCCAGAGACGCCGAGGCATCCAACGTGTTAGTGGGTGAAGTGGACTTCCTGAACAAACCCTTCGTCGCCTTCGTCCGTCTGGCTCAGGCCACGACGCTCGGAGGGCTGACAGAAGTGCCGGTTCCCACCAGGTGAGACAGCGCCACGCGTCCTCCTCTCCAGCTTCTGCAGCGGACGTCTGACCTGCCGGCACGTCCCTTACATGCGTTCTCCTGTCTACAGATTCCTGTTCATTCTGTTGGGTCCCCAAGGAAAGGCCAAGTCCTATAATGAGATCGGCAGGGCTATAGCGACCCTAATGGTGGATGACGTAAGTGTCTGTCACTGTGTGAAAAAATGCCTCTGTGGCATCCCGTCTTTGTTAGTTGGAGCAGTGCTGACAGTGACATTGTCTGAGAAGATCTGTTATTATTTTCAGAAAAGACAGAGTGCTGCTGTTGAAAGCTGTATGTGCAGTATGTTCCTTTTCCTGATTGGTTGGCATCAATTAGATATTTTGACCAGAAGCCTCACTATGAGGCTTGTTAAAGTGGTAATGTTGTCGTCTTTAAATATTGAGATTTTACTTTGAGATTTTACTTTCCATAAATCTTAAATCCATTTTATATTTTAAAACTGTATGTAACTTTTATGAAAAATATATACGTTTTTACATGAACTTGTTGAGTCAGTATAATATGAGACATATAACCTGTGAAAAGACGGATGTCCTTCACCTGCTGTCTGAAAATCAGCACTGCTACCTACCAAAAAAACCAATCAGGGCCAGGAGGCGGGGCTTAGTGCTGCCAGTCATCCTCATGTACTCGCTACTAAATGTGACAATGGCAGAGAAACAACTTTTTGTTACAAGACAACTTTTTATCTGCTGTCATCAGAGGCAATGCTAACTAGACTGAGCATTCACAACAGGCTCTGCTAACTGTATCATCACAGAGAGCAAGGGGGATGAGCAGCGCCACATGGAAGGTGATTGACAGCGCAAAGACCCGCCTCCTGGCTCTGATTGGTTGTATTTGATTGGGAGCAGTGCATTTCTTCAGATTGCAGTAACAGTTCAGAGAGGAGGTGGAGGAGATCCACCCAGCTACGACTGGTTGTTGGAGTTTTTTATTTTTTATTTTTTTTCACAGATTGGTTGTCTTATTATACATTCACGACATGGTGACAGATTTAGCAAATATGTAAAGAAAAACATATTAAAATGGCATACTGAAACTCTAACAGCAGATTGCACGATGAAAACAGGCTGGTTTGGGAACATAGATAGCATGTTTGAAAAAAATAATATTTTATGTAAGAAAACTAATTTTATGAGGAGGAAATTGGGGTGTTGGTATTTAGACACCACTTATTAATGCGAAAACATTGAAACCTGAGAATAATAATATGATTACTGTAAAACATCACAGGAAGTTTGTCCCTGGCTTCTGCTCTTAACTTACAGTGTTCTGCAACTTTCACACGAATCTCTGCCGTTTAATCGGTTTTGCAGACAAAAACGTATCAGATTGTATTTTTTTTAATAACTTGCATCTACATCTGTAAGATTTGAGGTTTAATATGCTATCGTCATAATTTTAACATAAACTGGGTTCAAGCAGCCTACAAGTTTTATAAAAGGTTTACTGTGACTTTTTCGGTTTGGTTTGAACATCTTACAAACAAAGTGAATGAGTAAACCCTTCTCCTTTCCTCTCTCCTCCCCATCAAGCTTTTCAGTGATGTTGCCTACAAAGCCAGAGATCGGGAGGACCTGATAGCCGGCATAGACGAGTTTCTGGATGAAGTGATTGTTCTTCCACCTGGAGAATGGGATCCCAAAATCCGCATTGAGCCTCCAAAGAAAGTCCCCACAGCTGACAAAAGGTTTGTGTTTTTCTAAGCTCTAGGAGCCGCGCTAAAACGCGTCTACAACCACTCACAATGTCAACCAAAGCCGCTTTGTCGTCCATGATACAGACTTAGCAGCAAAATAGATTGTGCCTGGAATGAAAGCAGGAGATAAGAGCTTAATGATGGGTGTAATCACACCCTCCTGTCTGCAGCAATCAAAGTTTACCATCACTATCAAGATCCTTTAGACTCTCAGATGTAATTTGTGTGTTTTTTTTCTGCAGAAAGTCTGTGTTTTCCTTGAACGAGCTGGGCCAGATGAATGGCACGGCTGGAAAAGGGGCCGGTCTCTCTGAGGATGAGGAGATGCCGGCCCAGCATGAGCTGGGAGAGGAGCTGGCCTTCACCGGTCGGTAGGTGGTTGGACACAAACAGTCACTATCTGGCACATGGCAGAAAAATCAGAACTGTAATTGTCGTCGCACAAAGGATTTTGGTACAAATTCAACCCGGATAAAGGGGTTGGTTTTGGCTTTAGCTGCCGCTATCAAGCTGCAGTGTGGCACTGCAGCAAATGGTGGCCATTTTGGTGATCGTCCTGTAGCCTGCAGGCTGAATCACATCAATCTTAAACATGGTTCATTGTGTTGTTTTGCTCATGTTTACATAGATATCAGGAGACACAATATCTTACAATGTTATGTTATCTATGCTTACACAGATGTTATCTGTGTAAATTTCTGTGGTTTCAGGTGAATTCACTGAAAAACATTCCCTCTGCACTTTAGTGCGTAGTATCCTAACCATTGAGTGCATCGCTGTTTTAGTTTCTGCGGTGGCCTGTACCTGGACATAAAGCGGAAACTTCCGTTCCTGCCCAGCGATTTCTACGAGGGATTCCACATCCAGTCCATCTCCGCTGTGCTCTTCATCTATCTGGGCTGCATCACCAACGCCATCACCTTTGGCGGTCTCCTCGGAGACGCCACAGACAACTACCAGGTAACAAACAATCACACTCAGTGGAAACAAGTTTTTCATTTATTTATTCATTATTCATTTATGAGCTGAAAACCTTTCATACATAGAAATGAAATTTTTCATAATGTATTATATGCATATTTTACCTTTCATTATGGAACATTTGCATGCAAATGTTTCCAATTCAATTCAAAATGACTAATCTCCATGTGGCTGGCAAAGAGCAATCCGATCTGTAACATCTCTTTAGGGCTTATTCAGCTTCCTGTGAATTTCAGTCTTAGAGTTATTTTGGTCCCTCATAAAAGGACATTAAAAACATATTACTATCAACATCACAACACTCTTACATGCTTGTATGATCCTACTATTGCTCATGCCTATTGTAAAGTACATTATACCTGTAGATATAATAAAATGCAAAGTTTAGCTTGAATGCTAACAAATATGCTCATATTTGCGTATTTATACATTCCATACATTTAATACATTTTTGTGGCTGGCCTGTACATTTGCCAGTTTTGGCTGACAGGGGCAGACAAGATTTTGTTTAAGCTGCAAACTGTTGCATTTTCCTTTTCAGCATTTGGTTTGACCCTTTTCATTTACCTCCTTCCATCCTCTTTCAACCTGTCTCCATTTCCTCCACCAGGGTGTGATGGAGAGTTTCCTGGGCACTGCCTTGGCTGGATCTGTCTTCTGCCTCTTCGGCGGTCAGCCCCTCATCATCCTCAGTTCCACAGGACCCATTCTCATCTTTGAAAAGCTCCTGTTTGAATTCAGCAAGTGAGCTGCTTTTTTTATCGACTATTTCGATCTATGAGGAAAACTAAATGTTGTGGCAGCGGTACTCTTGGTGGCTTTGAAAGCCCCCTAATAAACCGCACATTTCTATTGCTTTAATCTACTTTATTAGTATAAATAACTGGACTTATGATGGCATAAAAAAAGTGCACCAATTTGTACCTTTCTGTTCATTTGGACTTCTTTTCCTCCTTGGACCTCTCCCGTCCAAAGGAACAACGGCATAGACTACATGGAGCTGCGGCTGTGGATCGGCATCCACTCGTGCCTCCAGTGTTTCATCCTGGTGGCGTCAGACGCCAGTTACATCATCAAGTATATGACCCGCTTCACCGAGGAGGGCTTCTCCAGCCTCATCTCCTTCATCTTCATCTCGGACGCCATTAAGAAGATGGTGGGCTCTTTCAAGTACTACCCCATCAACACTGACTTCAAGCCAGACTACGTCACCACGTACAAGTGCGAGTGCTTGGCCCCAGACCCGAGTGAGTTCACCCCTTGGCCCAGGGAAATCAGCAGGGAGGGTTATTTGGGACATTTTTTGGGATGACAGGGGTTTGTGAAATAAAAATGGAAGTTATTTCGAAACGTTCAGCAGTTGAATGTCACAATAGATCCATCTAAAAAGTAGTCATTCACTTTTGCCATGTTTAATCATTTTTCAGCATTATTCCAAATGTTTTCAATCTACGAAACTAAGAAATCATATTAGTATTTGCAACATTTACTTATTACATTGTTGACTCAACCTTGGTAGTAATTCCAGCCTCAAGTCTTTTTCAATCTGATGCCACCAGCTCATCTCACGTGTGTTTAGGCAGTTTCTTCTCTGCAGTAGGGGGCTCTCAAAACTCGTTGATAACTGCTTGCAGTTCTAGTTTTCATACTGTGTTGGTACCTGGGATAGCGCCGCAGACCAGCAGCTGTTGTGCCAAACAGTGTCTGGTCAGTTTAGTTTGTCATTAAGGTGTAATGCTAAATATCATCTAAAATAAACAGTTTTTTTAGCCTTAAATTGTGATATAATGTAATACCTCACCAAAAACATACTTGGAGTGTTGCTTTGAGTCTTTCATGCATGTTTGAGAAATCCTCTAATGTCCTGTGGCAACCAATCAGCTGTGCAGCTGTGTTTCTACAACCTTCTCTCTGGGTGAATCACTAAGTTTAAGTTCAGTGCCGCTTCCCAAAACCAGACAGACGGAGGGATAATTATTGTTTTTCAAAAAAGCTGCCTCTTGCAACGTTCATGTCCATTAATTTGTTTTTGAAAATCGCCGAGATCAGCAGTAGTTTAAGTGGACATTGATTTCTGTAACTGATTTGTCTCTTGTTTGCTTCCACCACGCACCAATAATTCGGCTGTCGCCTTTTGCAAGTGAGTACCGTTTTGTTCGTCCGCATGTGTCTGCAAGTGCTCACAGCGATGTCCAGCAGTTGAATTCTCATCATGTTTTGCATTTCTTTTTGCTTCCCTTTTGTTTTCCTCCTCACCCCCTCTTATTTTCTGTCTCATTACCCCGTGTGTTTGTGTTTGTGTGTGTGTCTCTCTCCACCATTCACTAACAGTGGCTGCAATCATCTTCAATGGTTTAGTTCCAATGCCAGATAACAGCTCTAGTGTCTCTGGGGTAAGTGCTTGTTTTCACTTTTTTTTTCTTTTTCTTTTTTTTTTGTCAAAATTTGGGTTATTTGTGTGGTAAGCTTGATGTGTCCAGAATCCGCAACTTTTTTTTTTAGCCACAAAATAAATCAGAAACTGTTGGAAAAGAGCTAAAGTGCTTGTTTACAGCGAACCCCAGTATCATGTCTTTGTGACAGAGAAGTTGCTTTGCTTTCCTCTTTTTCACCTTTGTTTGTTTCTTACCATTGGTCCTGCCACCATCTAACTCTTCTCCGCGGTTTCTAACTTCTAAACCCGTTCTGACAATGTTTACTCTGTCCGTGTCTTTGCCGAAACGCTTCACTTTTCGCCCTCTCCTGTCTGCCCAACACTGCCGCCCGCCATCCCAGTTGAATGTGACAGCTCTGGACTGGAGTCAACTGAGCAAGAAGGAGTGTCTGAAGTACGGAGGCTCTTTGGTCGGAAAGTCGTGCAAGTACGTTCCTGATCTGGCCCTCATGTCCTTCATTCTCTTCTTTGGCACCTACTCCATGACGGTCTCTCTGAAAAAGTTCAAGTTCAGCCGCTACTTCCCCACCAAGGTAGCTCAGTTGTTCGGGAAACAGTTTGCAAGCGAGCTTTTTCAGTTGCTTTCAGTTCTACGGATGACAATGGATTTGTTTTTATTGTCCTACCAGCTGAGGAAACTCATCAGTGACTTCTCCATCTTCATGTCCATTATGACGTTTGTCGGGCTTGACATGTTGGTGGGACTCAAAACTCCTAAGCTAATAGTCCCAACTGAATTTAAGGTAAAACACGTTTCTTTTAGTTAAAGATGCAGTGCGTAACTTTTACAAAAATACGCTTTGAACATGTATTATTAAAACTCTCACCATGTTGACAGATGAGACAGATAATCTGTGAAAAGATTGATCTCATCCCTTTGCTACTACTGCTGTTTGAAGACATACACCCCTTCCAACCAAAAGCAACCAATCAGAGCCAGAGGAGCGTTTTAGTGCTGTCAATCTTCCTCATGTTCATGCTGCTAAATGTGCTAATGGTGCAGAAACAACTCATAGTTCCAGGAAAAAGTTCATCATTGGCGAGCATGCTAACTAGACATACACGATGTTGACTGACAGCGCTAAGGCCCTCTGTGTCAATGACATTCAGCTCTATTTCATATTTAAACCACAGTACTAATACTTGTTCCACTGGCAGAATTTTACTGAAAGAATACTTTTTCTGCCATAGCTTTTAGTTTACGTTTTATTTTGTATTATTCATTATTTTGTTTTTATGACTCTTATTTTGAAAAAGTTAAAGTCGGAAGTGGAATCCAGCTAAGGCACCAGCAAAAAGATGCAATTGTTATGGTAATTTCCACTTAAGTTTATGTTGTATTTTAGTTGGATGGTGTTGGTGTCAACACCACTATCGCCAGTCAGCTTTAATGAAACTGACTGGTGTGAAGTCAGTTTCATCAAAGCTGACTTCACACCAGCAGTGCAATGAACTCCTCATTTCCATAAAGAAGAAGAGATGGAAGTGATAAATACATTTGCATTTACAAATGTACAAATATAAAAACAGTGGAACTAAAACTTTTTTGTTCAATGTTGAGGAATTGAGTGCTGTGACCTGAAAAGATTCGACCTGTGCTGTTCAGACTGTCATAAATAGATCAGATTCAGGTCGGATTACGTCAAAACAATCAGAACTGGGTCACTTCAAGCTGCAGCCTTATTGACTTAAAACAGGCTCCTACGCCATGCTTGGTATGATGGCATTGCTGTAACAATGCAGGTCATCGTCAGTTGATGCTATAATCCTCATCCAGGTGGAGGGAATGCTGCAACTCCACCCAGCAATCTGCTGGGTTTTCTTTGGTGGAAACTTTTTAAACCAGCTTGGATTACAGACAGAACATGACTGCATTGAACATGACTGCATATGGTTTTTTTGGACTGAACTGACCTTTTGCCTTGAGATGGCGCGTTTTGAATTGGCGCTACCTGGATAAATGGAATTGAACAAATCTGTTGTACTTGTTCACACAGTTGCCTCTCCCATGACGATGAATGCAGACGTTTTTGTTCTAATCAAGCTTCCTGTCCTGTGTGGCAGCCAACCCGGCCGGACCGTGGCTGGCTGGTGATGCCTTTTGGAAAGAACCCCTGGTGGATCTACGTGGCCAGCTTCGTTCCAGCCCTACTCGTGACGATCCTCATTTTCATGGACCAGCAGATCAGCGCCGTCATTGTCAACCGCAAGGAGAACAAGCTTAAGGTACGCTCCCTCGTTCATTCTCTCCTGTTACATTAATGGGTTCCAACTTAAATCCAAATTTCGCTGCAATCTGTTTGGTTTCCATGGCAGAAAGGTTGTGGCTACCACTTGGACCTGTTCTGGGTGGGGGTTCTCATGGCTGCTTGCTCATTCTTGGGGCTGCCCTGGTACGTGGCTGCCACGGTCATCTCCATCGCCCACATCGATTCGCTGAAGATGGAGAGTGAATCCAGCGCTCCAGGAGAGCAGCCGCAGTTCCTGGGAGTCAGGTTGGTCAAACAATTACAATGACTGTATGCAGCTATTTAGGAAACCTTTCTGAAAGAAATGTCTTCTCTCAAACCTCCAGAGAGCAGCGAGTGACAGGCATCTTGGTGTTTGTTCTCACCGGAGTGTCCATCTTTCTCGCCCCAGTTCTGAAGGTAGGAAGTACTCTAAGTATTCAGATGTGTAATCTAAAATTGCTTTCCACAGATGCTCTCCATTCAAAGTAATTATTTTTGCAAAGTAGGAAGGGAAAACATTTTTTAAATCAATAACTCCAGCTTTAAATGTGGGAATTTAGAATCTCTTCAGCTTCTCCACCCATTGTTACGTTCATGAAGTAATGAGATCTACAAGCTTAAAGCCATGTTGCGAGTGAAATGGTACTTAAACATTATATGCACTTTTTCTGACTGAACATTTGTTTTCCCATGAGTTTATTTATGCTTATGAGGCTAGTATGTTGCATAAATGAGATTCTGTAACAGAATAACGTATCACTTCCTGTGTGCTGTTGCTGTAGTTCATCCCCATGCCTGTGCTGTACGGCGTCTTCCTCTACATGGGTGTAGCTTCCCTCAGTGGGATCCAGGTAGGCCATCTGTTTGCTCTCATTTATCTCCATAAATTGCTTTTTTCTTTCTTCTTTTTGTTTGGGCATCTTGCTCATTGTTGAGCTGACAGCAGAAGGGAAGTCACTTATTAAAAGCGGACTGATACGATCAACTCTGATGGAGAAATTCTGAGGACAAATCCGCTGAGGATTGATGACGAGCTCAACATGTTCAAACTTTACAGGATGGAGAAAATAGTTTCAATTCTCAGCTTCAGTAAACCAGCCAGAAAATCAATAGCTTTTATTATTATTATTATTATTATTATTATTATTATTATTATTATTATTATTATTATTATTATTATTATTATTATTATTATTATTATTATTATTATTATTATTATTATTGTTGATTTGCAGCTAATTCTTTTGGGACACTCTGATGTCGTTGCTTTTTCCCAGTTCTGGGACCGAATCAAGTTGTACATGATGCCGTCCAAACACCAGCCGGACTTCACCTATCTCCGTCACGTTCCTCTGAGGAGGGTTCATCTCTTCACGCTCATCCAGATCATATGCCTGACCGTGCTTTGGGTCCTCAAATCCACGTTCTTAGCCATCATCTTTCCTGTCATGGTAAGTTCATGTCATCTCCTATTGCACTGCACTGTGCAAACTCAACATTTTACCAAGTGTTTCTGGTCTTGTTTTTAGTGCAAATATCATAGTACACTTGAAATAACTTGCAGGTAACTATTCACAAATATATACAGCTTGTTCTAAGGCAATAATTTCTTAATATTGGTGGAAAAGTATCAGTTCCATTGGCAGATTATTTCCCTAATAGAAAAAAATGTATTTTTATAATTGAAATAATCTGCCAGTGGATGATACCGGTACTGGGACTGTGGTTTAAAAAATATCAGAAAAGGACTGGATAATGCCAGCAAGTGGAATAATATAAATAAAATAATATAAATAAACAGGGAATAAGAACTGAGCCTTGTTGAACCCCACAAGTTTCACTTATAACATGGCAACATTTTTTAAATATATTTAAAATTAATATTTAGAAATTATTGATTTAAAGCAAACTCCTATTTTATGATGAAAAGTTAGTTATAAGCCAGCTTTCTCTTATGTCAGGGACATTAAGACATTTACACTAGAAACTAGACCAAGAATACTGAGTAAGATTTTATGTTTCTGCAGAATTCCTTTCCACAGTCCCCACATGCTTGCTCAGGTTGAGTTACTGCTGAAAAGTGAACTACCGCACAGAATCAGCTAGAAAGATATTTGATCAACTTTATGCTTTAACGCAACAAAATGCAAAAAAAAAAAAAAAAAAAAAGAAGAAAAGGTCAATGAAATAAAAATATTTTTTCAAAGCAGTTTGTCATATAGGATGTTTCTCTTAACAAATAATGCCTTCAGCAGACATACTTGATTTTGTGGAGACAGGAGTTGAATGAAAAGTCCATGAGCCAACTTTTATTGGACAGTAGTTCATATTAATGAATAAGAAATGAAAGATGTTTGTGATGAGGCTGGGATCACACAGTAAATACTTAAAGCATAACCTGTATGTGAGCTGCTTTAAAACAGAGACATGTTCTCTGCGTGTGTCAAACCCCAGATCCTGGGGTTGATGGTGGTCCGGAAGGTTCTGGACATGATGTTCTCCCAGCACGACTTGGCCTGGCTGGACGACCTGTTGCCTGAGAAAGAGAAGAAGAAGAAGGAAGAGGATAAGAAGAAGAGGAAGGAGAAGGAAAAGAAGAAGCCGAAAACAGACGACAGCGAGGAGGAGGTGAGAAACTCAAACCTCTGCTGCTCCCTGCAGGGATGACAAGGGTACGACATTAATGACCGACTGCTTTCTGTACTGCGTGGCGCTCACAGGAGAAGTACCACGGCTACTCCAACCACTCGCCCAGCTCCGAGTCGGACCTGGATCGCAGGTACTGTGTTTTAAAGCTGCACATTCCCTACAGAGACCTGGTCTACCCCGACGTAGCGCAGTCTCAGTGGGGAGCGTACTGCCAGCGCGCGGCAACACGCGGTGTATTTTAACACACACCCGCATGTCGTCCCAAACAGGAAATCTGCACAATATAAAGGGTCAGTTCACAAAAATGACAATGTAGACTTTATTTCTTTGTGGTACACAACAGAAAGATTTTACTCTTCATTTGAGCTCATCCTGTTCCTGCTTCCACAGCATTTCAGGATAAATGTTCTGGCTTGCTGTGGAAAAACATACTTTTCATGAAGTGCACATTTTCTGCCACAATGTTTTTTAATGTCTAATGTAATGTCCTAATCATGAAAGTCATCTTCTCTTTAGCTATAAGCAGAAAATCATCACAATTGCCAGAATTAAATGCTTGAAAACATCAGTCCAAGAAAGCTATTAATTAAAATTTTTAATAATTTAAATAGTACATTTCTCTAACTTTATTGTTCGCCTAAATACATTAAAAATTCAGAATTTACTTTCAGTCCTGCCCTTCCTGATTGTGAAATGGAAATTGTACTGTTATATTGTTGTATTAACATGCTATTAGTTCAGACTCATAAAGCTGCACTGTATAACTTTTATAAAATTTTTTTACATATGTGTTAAAACTGTCACTAGTCATGACAATGTAAGACAGAAAATCTTTGTAAAAAATCAAGCTTTTTGGCCTTCTCCAGTCGGTTAACTAGAACCAACCAATCAGAGCCAGGAGGCGGGTCTTTGCGCTGTCAGTCACCCGTCTTCCTGATAGCAGAGTCATGAAAGGTAATGGTAGCTAGCATGGCCACCGAACAGTTTGCCTGTAATGGTGAGTTGTTTCTCTGTTTGCACATTTAGCAGCACCACACGAGGTGATTGACAGCGCTAAGACCATCCTCCTGACTCTGATAGGTTGTTTTTGCCTGGAGTGATGCATTTCTTCAACAGCAGTATGGGGAGATTGATTTTTCTTTTTTTTTTTTCAGATTATGTATCTCAGATCATACTGTCAAGACACATTGATAGTTTTAACAAATAAGTAAAAAAGCATATACATATTTTAAAAAAAATAAAAGTTACATACTGCAGCTTTAGATGATGTGTTGCTGCTGTTTGACCCTCTCCTCTGTTCACCTCTCAGTTTCCTCTCCATGCACTTTAAGGCAATGCAGATGATTGGAAAGTGATGATCATGTACATGTGCTGCACTGCCCTCTGTACACACACAGCTCAGCAGACAGTATTTTTCTCTAATGTCTGTTCCCACTTTGGACGCTTTTGATGAGGAGGGAGGGGGTGACCAAGCCAAATGTCATGTACCTGAAACCACAGATCCCTTTTCTTTGTGCAGTTGAACATAACCTGGGATTTCATGATGTGTGGTCTTTTCTTTTTAGTTTGGTGTTTATCTTGTACATACAGGCCATTGTCTGTAGTTACCTATATTCATATATGCATCAGGCTCCATTTTGGTTGTTTCTTTTTCCTCACTGTGCTGGGGTTTTTTGTAGTGTGTCAGTCACAGCTGCATGTCAAATTCAGCCTAACCTCAGCTTGATAATCTGTGAACCAACTGCCCTCACCTGGAGCCACAGATTCTCCTGACTTAACTATTTTGTGTAACTATCTGGTTTTGTCCTTTGTGACAAGCTTGATATTTCTGGAAAAATAAAAAAATATCCATAATGTCTGCATTGCTTTGAAAGAAGCATGGTTACCTATCAACAAAAGCAGGGATTATTGGCTGATCTGAATTTATTTACGTTCCCACTTTGGAGTTGGACATACACAATAAATATAATTTTCCTGGTAATAGATTTATGTAAGCTCCAAGCAAAAGTGATATTAAAATTTTCATTCAATCATAAGATTCCATATTAAGTTTTCATGAATGACTTAAGTCTACAAAGTTAAGTCAGTCACAAAAATCAGTGAAGGTCAGTGAGATAAACGTTTTTAACCAAGATAAATCAGAATTGTTATCACATTTCAGAACTTGTACACACATATTTGGGTATTTATGAAAATGAATATCTCTGCCACATTGTTGAAAAACAAAATTGTACACGTGGGATCAGTTTCAGAAATGTTTTCATCCACACAAATCTGCCTGTGTGTTGCTTTAAACATGCCAGACCTATAGGGGCAGCGTAATCTGCAATCAGATTGCATCAAAACAACGTCCTGTTACGAATTAAATGTCTTTGTTTTCCCAGATATCCGGCTATGTGTGGACTACGCCTCAGACAAACTCTATTTATCACTGCAGATTATGTTTTAGAAAGTATGGCCGTTTCCGTAAAGTCCATCTGTAAAGTGCTTTGTAAGTCTTTGTAACCTTGAGCTTTTTTTTAATTATGTAACTACAATCTTTGCAGTGACACAACACAAACAAACTACTAAGTTTGCATTTGACAAATGTAAACTTGAATTGTGTGGCATGCATTTGGAATTAGTTCCTTTTAGCAGGCATTCATCCAGGACAGCCATGTTTAGCTTCATCCATTTTTCCATCAACTCTCTAGAATCAATTAGGTGACCTCTGAAGGTAATTAGGGGCGACAGTGTTAAGGGGATGGGATACAATTACAATGTATTAAAACAGTAAAAATATATGAAAGGTATCCATTTTCATTCCACTTCTCAACTATGTCGTTTTTTGTTTGTTTTTACAAAGCACTGTACATTGTCTGGGTTACCTTACCAGACAAATCACATCAGACTCAGACTCATTTAGTTCTGGAAGAACTCTCTACTGACCCGACAAGAGAAGTTATTGGCAAAGCTACACCACAAACTGTCCATACCCTGTCCTGGTCTGGGATATGAGGCATCAGGGCTCTTTTTGGTTGGAGTGGTGATGCCTCATGCCTGGGCTTCGTGTGTCCTCCCAGTAAACCTCTTGGTGTTCTTGACTGTGGGTGTGTCTGGTAACTAGAGCTTGCCCTTCCCCAGCATCACCCTCCACTTGAAGATCTCCTGCCCTTCTTCACCGGCCATGCCTATGGGCCGAGGGATGACCTGCCCTGTGCCTCAGGTCAAAATTGAGATGGAGTCGGACTACGACTCCGACATGGACCGCCACAGGGGACGGGATATCAGCAGCGAGACAACACTATGATAGCTTGTTGGAGAGGTCTTCACTTTTAACCCTCCCCCTGAGGGGTTGACTTGTCGGAGCAAAACCACACAGCAAACCTTGTGGTTCATTTTGACCCGGCCGGGCCGCATATGGAGTAAAAAGCTCGTGGGGTCCAATTGACCCCGTCTCTTAAGACCACGGGAGGGTTTTAAATGAGTGTCATCATGACATGTGGTCCTGTGGATAGTACATTAAGAACTGATTTATTTATTTAGTTGCATTTATAATGTAAAGAACGCTGAAGAGAGAAAATATGTATCTCTTTACAACATTCTGTAACTTAATTTAATCATTTTACAAGCAGCTCTGTATAATTGAGTTCTAATTGTAATTAACCAAAAAATACTAAATGATGCCAACTGCATGTACAGAGATGAACTACGTGGCAGGAAATGTGTAATCTGCTTTTGTTAGTAATTGTAAATTTTTCTGTATATAGCTCTGCCTTGTATTTAGCATGTTAGCATGTAATGTATATATCTGTGCTAGCTGTGTCTGCTGAGTCTATCTAATCCCACAGAGCCTTTTCCCTGTTTCCCTTTTCTGCAAAGCTCCAAATTGGCACACTTAACAAAAAGAAACAACCAAAAGGCGTTGATGTTATGTGTTTATAGGCTCTCTTCCTGTAAAAGCTGCACCTGACAAGTTGACATTTGTGTTTTTCCATTTTAAAATGTGTGAGAATATGGCCGACGATGAACGGGACACACAATATGCGTTTGAAAAAAGGCATCAAACACGAGTTGTTGAATTAAAACTTCCATTATTCTGAACTTTGACTTGAATTTTCCTTCTTTATTGAAAGAAAATTATAATAATAATGTCAGAGTTGCTTGTGGGAGTTCTGACAGCGTTGGATATTTTTAATAGATATTTGACAGCCAAAGACATTACAAAATATCATCCATTTGAAATAGACCAAATAATTCTTTAAAAAGATTTCCTGAAGTGCCCTGCTTCTCAGTGACCGACTACAGCAGATCGGTAGAAAGTCTAGAGAGACTGACCAGTGGTGGCCAGGTCGAGGGTATAGAAAACTTCAGTGTGTGTGTGTGTGTGTGTTCCTAAAGCCCCTGTGTGTGACAGAAGACAGGCAGCAGCTGGATACTGTCACGTTGATTCACAGAAGCCGTTCTTTTGAGACTCAAGTTTTGTAAATCCATCAGCAAAGCCATCTGCCTCCATCAGCGAGGGCTTCCTGTTGCACATGGGGCACAGCTTGTTGCGTTCCTCCGAGGCTCTCATCCAGATGATGAGGTTCCACCGCTGGCCGCAGGAGATGGGCAAGGCCCCGTGCATGTGTTGGCCCCTGTGCAGGAGGCCCTCGCCAACCCTGTGCTCAACCTCTGTGCACTCCGTCTCACTTATGGACACCTGCAGGACGCGACAGGACCACAAGGTTTAGATCAAGTTTAGGAAAAAAAGCTCATGTCTCCATATCACTACATGATAATAATAGAGTTCATTTCATCACAAAACAGAAAAAATGTGGAGCTGAGAGCATCACCTGTCTCATGTCACCAAAGAAAAGGTTTCCGTCTTTGAACTCTTTGCCCAGGGAAACGTTAAGAGTGACCTCTGCATTGTCGTAGTGATAGCTCAGATCCAGGTCTTCGTTCATGGCGTATTTGACAACAAAAGCTTTGTGGCTGTCCAGACGGCGGCCGCCACAGTCCGGGTACAGCAGGGAGGCGAGAGGCTGCAGGTACTGCTCCCTCAGAGGAGTGATGAAGACCTCGTCAAAGCCCAACTCGTTGAGGAGAATCTAAGGCGACGAGAAAAGCCAGAATAAAGCAACTTCCAAAAGCTGCAGCCGTCTTTAACAAACCACCGCTGCATGCTCAGGTTCTTAGGAAGGTTTCGTGGAAGTGCTGTCTTTATTTATTGATGCCTTTTATTCTTAAAACTGACCAATATCCATAAACATTTCTGTCTTAATGAACTGAGAATTGTTTTCTTCCTGTACTCAAATGATTAGGTTTGGTCTTAAAGGATCAAAAAGAAAAACAAACAAATAAAAAAATAAATCTGTCTTGAAGGTTGAGATTCTTCAGGCAGGGAAGCTGAGCCAAGCTAAGCCATGTAGGTTATGACATATGTGTTCTAAAAAAGGCTGGCCAACAGAAACACGTGTTCATCACCCCGTAGTGGTTCATGGTGTTGGGTCTTCCTTTAGGGGCGGATGACAGCTCAAAGTGCTCCAGCTCCTCCACCAGCTGCTCACAGAAGCTTTTCTCAAACACTGGGAGACGATAGACTCTCGGAGCTTGAAAGGACAGACAAAACAAAAAAACAAAAACAATGTTTTCAGTGTAACCTGCAAGCCTTATGGTCAGATTTCTCTGTGCAGCTCAACAAACCGTGCTCATATAGTCTGGCCTTACAGAGAGATGTACTGTTGAACAAATACAAACTACAGGAAACATAAGGTGGGAGAATTTATCTTATTCCTCCACCGTTGCTTCTTCAACGAAGCGGAAGCGTCATCACCTCCTGCGTCCTCCAGCAGTTCGGTGAGACCTTCTTCACATGCGTCTCTGCTGCTGCAGTAGGCAACCAGCTGCTTGAGCTGCGGCGCCAGGTAAGACTCCTGAGGAGAGGAGGAGTAAAGGTGTGGAGTCTGGGCAAAGCACAACAACAAGCAGCCAGTGAGCACCGGGTACCTGCAGGTGGTAGACATGAGGATGCAGAGGCTCGTATGTGTTTTTGATGGCAGCAGTTCTTTCAGCAGATGTCTCACTTATGCGCCTCCTTCTGTCCACCTCCTGGGAAACCTGGAATAGGAAGCTGGAATAAACTGGGTTGAACTGAATATGAGTCGACCTGAACTACTGGATCTGACTTTTTTTTTTTTTTGTTTTCTCCAGTAAGAAGTCTATTTGTTTGAAACTCTCATTTTATAATGTAAATCTGAACTGAATCTGCCAGTACTGCCCTTATTGGTAGATAACACGTTTATCATCCAATGGGAAATGAGCCATTTGAGTCTGAATTCAAATATGACTTTCAGGGGTAGAAACTTTTTTTTTTTACATATACTTTGTGACATTCCTCCTATGTCACCACACGGCCTCCGTAGTATTCCATGTGCCAAATTCAATTGACTTTACGTCACGCGCTCGCGCTTTCACGCCTCTTTACCTTGGCGAGCACGTCGACGAACTGCTGCTCCGTGACGCAGCCGAGCCTCGTCAGCAGCTGTACGTGGAGACAAAATACCACTTATATCAAAATGAACAGCGAGCGCGACCCTTTTAAATGTCTTGTTTGTACATGTCGCTGACAACTGTTACTGACTCACGGGCTGGTACTCCAGTCTGAACTGATGTTCCGACACAAAGCGAACATGCAGCTTGTATTCGTCCAGGAAGATGTTATCGGTTGTGAAGCAGCTGCAGGAATAAAACCGAGACTTTTTGTCTGGTTCGTTTGTCATGTTCAAAAGGATGTCCTTCCAAAGCAACTGGGAAAACTGAATCCCACCGCAGCTGACATATGACAGCGCAGGTTATTTCTTCCTGCCCGCCACATCCGGTGCGTCTTCCAAATTAAAAGCACATGAGGGAAATGGAAATACTGGTCAAGACACAAAGACTTTCCTTGAGCAAAGCTTGTATTCCCAAGGTAATTATTAACTGATGTATTAAACACTTTTAGACACAGTATGACTTAAACATGAGAGAGACGTCCGTGTGCTGGAGACAGGGTGATATTAAGTGAAAGGCAGACAAGATTTTAAAATTTAAATTTTTTTTTAAAATTATGATTTCATTTATTAGAGGGGTACAAAGCTGTTCAAGTGAAATTTGGTGAACTATAAAAAACTACCTGCCTGCTAGACCTATAATTTACCTTGAAAGACGTGGAATAATTTACTACATCTTCCTCCAGAGGGGGGTACAAACAAGAAAACGAACGCGTAAAAACAGGTTTTGAGTACACGAAGAAGAACTAAAAACAGTAGGTGTGCACCATTTTTAATCCGGCAAGGCACGTAGCGACTGATATGTGTTGATTGTACTATGATGTCACACGGCGCACAAATCGAAGGCCTTGTTCAGAATCACCGGTGAGAGCGACATACGTTATCTTAAACTATGTGACTGAAATACACATAAACATCTCATTTTGAGACATACACTCTAGACTTACGAATGAGGTCTGTGAATCTACTAACTGGTTCACTTTGGTCTGTCTTATTACCTGGAAGGAGTCTCTGCTTTATATGTAATTATGGCTCGTTTAAATTGTCAGCACTTAATCCTGTAACAAACGTTGGAATACTCCAACTCCGCTTCGTCGTCCCCGTTTACCATACTCATCGTCCGGCGAACTGTGAGGGAGCGCACCCAGGCATCCATGGGCTCTGTGTTGCTATCTCGCCGCTGTTGTGATTGTGGCGTCTGTCCCTGCCGAGAGGAGCTTTCTGCCGAGAGGAGCTTTCTGCCGAGAGGAGCTTTCTGCCGCTGAGTATGCCGGCCGGGGCTGCCTGGCTATCGGCTCATTTCTTCTCTTTGGGGTGCGCAGTCGCTGTGTGACATGCTGAGCGTGGACTCATTACAGGTGGCCGAGGAGGAGGTGGTGGAGTCCAGCTCCAACAAACTCTCTGACATCTACACTTTTGTGGCCAAAGGCAGCCTCCCGCAGACGATGAATCCTTTACAGAAGAAGAATTTCAAAAGATACGCCCAGAAGTTCATCTTTGATGGTAAGACCTCTCGTAAAACTCACCTACATTCAGTCTCAGAGATTCTCAGTTGAACGGGTACAAAGTTGCAACTTTGTACCCGTTTTGTACCCGTGAATCGACTGACTATGAATCAGTCAATTCATTGACTGATTCATAGTCAATGAATCAGGTAAACTGGAATTGCCTACAGTTTTAAACGCACCTCGGTTTTTCCCCCTTTTTTAAAAATTCCTCTGTGTCCAAGATGGAAAATTGTATTATGTGGGACCCAAAAAGGATGAGAAAAGGGAAGTGGTGATCGAGGCTGAGAGGAAGAGGCAGATTTTCCTCGACTGCCACTTCAATGACATCGGCCATCACCAGGGCCAGAAGAAGACCGTCCACAGGATCCAGAGCAAGTACTACTGGCTGGGCATCATCAAGGACGTAGTGGACTGGGTGAGCCTGCTTTTCTTCCTCTTCCTGCTGCTGCATTAACATTTCACACCCCGCATCGCTAACACACAGCTGCCTCAATTCCAGATCAAACTGTGTGAGACCTGCCAACAAACGGAGAGGAACAAGAACCTGGCCAGGACCGTTCGGCCCATTAAAGTGGACGCGCCCTGGGATATAGTTGGGATAGATGTCATAGGTCTGTTTTGAGAATTCAAAGAGATGACATCGACAGCATGCTGAAGGTCCTTCTCTCCTCAACAGGGCCCTTGACTGAAAGCCAGCATGGCAACAAAAGTGTGATACTATTCATAGATTATTTTAGTAAATGGCCAGAGGCTTTCCCCACGCAAACAGCAGACCCGCCGTCAGTGGCCAGGTGTATCTCGAAGTGTGTGTACAGGTAAGAGGAATCTGACTCAATCTGCGGTGCGATTGCAGTAGGGCTGGGTGATAAATTAATAACTGTATGTATTGGAATAAACACACAATCAGTCTCTTTGCCAGTGTTGCTAGGTAAATGAATGGCATCAACTAACTCACTCTCTCTCTTTGGTTTCCTAGCAACAACCTGTTGAGTGAATTGCGCAGCAGCAGTTTTAAGTTAAAAATAAAACAAAAGAAAGCTGGTGTGGAGTGAAAACTGTGGTTAAAACAGGAAAGGCTACTCTACATTTCAGATATTTTAAACAAATACTTAATCAATAATTACTGATATTGATTGATGTGAAACACTTGTGTCTTCATGCGTTTTTCAGCCATATTGTAGGTTTCAGGTTGTCAGAGCTGTAGATCTCTGCAGACTCTCCACAGTAACCACAGTCGTCTTGTCTCATTCTTAGAAATATACACTACAGTTTGTGGTTACAATCTGAGAAAATGGTGGATATTTTAGCAAACGTCTGTAGCGTAAGAGAAACATGAACTTTTCTTAACCTGAAGTCTTTTTCATCAGGTTCGGAGCCCCTAAAACAATAGTGTGCGCTCAGACTCCAGAGTTCTGTGAAGAGGTGAGACTGTCAGCACCAAAAACATCCCATAGCCTCCAGACTCCAGTTCAGATCTGTTTAGTCTGAGGGAATGATTTCAATTTTTTTTTAGGTGTCAAAATTACTGTGTGAGAAGTGGAGCTTGGTGCAGAGAGTGTCTCCTCTGGATCAACCTCAGCTCAACCCGCTGCACGACTGCACGGCGCCGCTGCTGAAGGAGGCCGTGGTGCAGATGGTGACGGAGAAGCAGGGCGACTGGGACAACTTTCTGGACCCGGTGCTCTTTTTCTTCCGGACCTCGGCCAACCCGACCACCAAGTTCACCCCGTATTCACTCATGTATAACCGCAAGGCCAATTTTCCCAACGAGGTGGGCCTGCAGAAGATGAACCATGTTTTCAGGTAGTTTGTTTCTTTTGTTCTTAATTTTTTGTTCTATTTTTTTTCTTTCATGTAGACCACACAGACCCTCCTGAGTTATGACGACCAAGAGCAGGATGCTTGCAAAGAGAAAGCTTCTACATATATGGACATAATGCAGGCGCAACAGAATGCTGTCAAACAGATGGTAAGATTCTGTACTGTCCTTTTGACTAAAAATACTCATTTAAAAAAATGTGTTTGGTTTCTTTTTTTTAACTAAAACTAAAATTAAGTACTATGTTTGGCCACTTGGGGGAAGCAGAGGAACCATAAAAGTGCACCAATTTTGTTTCACTACAACTTTACTGCTTTATCAGCTTGTTCTACAGTTTTAGTTCAATTAAAAAAATACTTTATTGATGCCTGAGGAAAATTAAATTACATAGTTTCCAGTCTGTTGGTTTAATATGATACATATGTTAGAAACTATTACCTCATAATCTGTTTTAGTGAACATTGTTCATTAGTCCAGTAGTGGCATTTATCGTTTAAAGTAAACAAACTAAAAAAAGCTTGCTTCATTTGAAAAATAAATAGTTTGGTTGTCTTTTCTTTATTCGAAGCAGAGATGCCCTCACTAGCAATTTAGTTAGGCAAGGCAGGGCAAATCTGCTTCACAGAGTGAAAGACAGTGACGTCAAGAGACAAGAAATGCATTAAAACAGCTAACTGAAAATTTAGAAATTAAAAATTGGTTTAATGTTGATTTAAGCAGCCCAATTGCCAAGACGTGAACAAATGAACCGATTGAATTATCATTTATCTGTATGATAAAGATGCGGTAAACGATAATATTTTCAGACCTGAGTTAAGGCAGTCAACGGTTTCTGCATGTCTTGGGTCCTCAGAGAGTTTATTTCAGAGTTTTGGAGGAAACGCAGTAAATGGTACCTACTCATGTTAGGATCTGGTCCTGTTAACACCGAGTAAACACGTCCCTGTTGATCTGTAGTAATTGAAACCCGAGGGATCGGGATACCTGGCAGGTAACTCTGGCCCGGTCACCAGGTCCTGCCTTACAGATTAATAACAGGCTTCTGAAGTCTCTTTCATAAAGATTGGAACAACGGCTGGTGTAATGTTTGTTACCGGCGTTGTTACGGTAACAAACCCTATTCTGAACTCCATAAGCCTGTGCATATTAAAACGGACCCCTGAATCTGCTGCTTTACAGTCAGGTGTTTCAAGGTCAAATACACTAAAATATCTTCCAAAATTAAAGGCGACAGATTTCAAGACATAAAAATTCAATTAACAACAAAAACTATGTCCTTCATAATCATTTTAGTGACTGGTGTTTTGAAGGATTATTTACGCTCTGGCCAAATTACTAATGCAAGATGACAGGTCACGGAGTCCATTCCAAACAATAGAGGCCCAAGAATGGAGCCTTGAGGAACCCCGCATGTAACTGTTATTCACTCAGATTAAACATTGTCAAATAAAACTGTCTGCTGCGGTCAAATAATAGAGAGCTACGAATTGAATTCAATACAATTCAGTTGTATTGGAAGAATGCCACTTGAGTAAATTTACACCTTACAAGACAAATTGCTAGTTTACATTCAACTACATTTTTATTTATCAAATTAGTTCATACAAATACAATCCAATTAAAAAGAAAGATACATTAAAAACTAGCGTTTATGATGACTGAATGAAATGAAACCTTTTCTGTTTTTGTGTGTGTGTGTGTGTGTGTGTGTGTGTGTGTGTGTGTGTGTGCGGTCTATTTACAGGTAATAGCCAACATGAACGTGGCCTACAAGCAGGAGAAGAAGAAGAACGCCAAGCGCAGAACCCAGAACACGCCCCCCACCACATTAAAAATGAGCCCCTACATTAAAACGGAGCCCCTGTTCGGCGTGGTGGACTCGCCCCCGGCCAAAAAGGTCAAAGAGAGCTTGTATTTGTCGTTTCCCGTGGATACGGTGCTGGCCACCCAGCAGAACAGCTCTGAGGACGTAAAGGCTGAGCTCAGGTACCACTTGGCTGAGCCTGATGTCCACTGAGGAGGATGACTCGGCAGAAATACGACGCATCAGCAGGGACTCAACGCAACTCAGGGCTGCCTGGAATCTTGGGCAGAAGGTCAAAAGTCGACGTCAACAAGCAGTGGAAAGCGACCAAGATGAACGCTGAGATGCACTTGCAGTGCCTTGCAAAAAATAAAAATAAAAAAACATCACTTCTTCACATCTAAAGACTGCAGTTTTTAATGTTAGGATTTTATGTGATAGACCAACACAGAGTAGTGAAGAACTGTGGAGTGGAAAAAAACCTGCTCTTGGCTTTACTTTTTTTTTCTTCATATATGAATAACAGGTGCAAATCCAGGTGTTTCAAACAGCTTCCACAACTAGAAGGAGAAATATTTTCCAATTTCAAGTTATTGTCACAGGTTTTTGAGGATTTGGATCCAGACTTTGATCGGGCCATTTTAACACATAAATTTGGTTTAAACACCTTCAAGATCGCTGACCCCTAAGGAGGTGAACCTTTGTGACCTCCAACACGTTTTCTACCAGGATTGTCCTGGTTTTGGCTCCGTCCGTCTTTTTCTAATCAACTCTGGTCCGCTTTCCTGTCCCATGCCCACAGCATGATGCTACCTCCACCTTGTTACACTGGTGTGTATTTTCCATTACTGTTTGTGGATATAAATGTTGAATCAGCTACTTTACAACAATAAGGTTGTGAGTTTAAATCCCAGCCTGTTAGTGTATCACCTGTTTTGTGTGATAACTTATTTTGTTTTTATGATGCTGTTTTTATGTTGCTGTTAATAGAAATTAACAGAAAGCGATCTTGAACATCAAATGTTCCCCAACAAACCTTTAATGCCATTAAATAACAGACACAAACTGAATATGGTATGTATTACACCTGCGGGGACTTCTAATTATATGACTCTCAGAAATAAAATGTTTATTACATTTAGAATGTAATCAACATTGTATTGTAACAACACAATTATTAAATTTTCATAGCTTTTTAAAGTTAAAGGTGTGAACTATTTAAATGAGTGATTATAACGTTTCAGCATGCAGTTGAATAATCTGCTGGGAGGAGCCACATGGCGGTCATTCCAAGCCGTAGAATTTCACAGATTCTATATGAACGAGATGCGCCACCCATTCTGGGAAATTAATACAGGCTGATTAAGGCTACACTTGTTTCTTGTGAGCTCGCATCTTGGAGTGATATATCACGTTTGAGTATTTTTTTCATTGCCTAATGGAGAAAAACTGTCAATTGTAAATATATATATATTTACAATTGACATAATGCAGTCCTAATTTCTATTAACAGTGCAAGGCAAAAACAATGCTTATTTTTCTTCGTTTGTTCACAAATAAAGACAGTGACGTGTGTCATTGTTTTAAAGAGATACAAACTGAGGTAGCAATAAGTAGCTCACATCTTCAACTTTCGACATGTTTAGATGTGTGGCCGCCATGCTGGAGATGAGACAACAGCACGATCTAATTTACTTCAATAATAAAAAATAAAGCCAGAGTGTAAAGGGGTTCACTTTATTGGCTCTTCTTGTGAGTGGTCTGGAGCATAGACGATCTTTGATGCCGGTGTAAACTTGACATTTCGGCCAAACGTTTACTGAAACCCAACGTGCTTCGGTGAGGCGCGAGTGTCGCGTCTGTTTGCTTGTGTACTTCAACCAAAACTGGGACATGATGCAGTTAGTAAGCAGAAGTAGCACACAGACTGCTGGACGGTGAGGTATAAAGCCAATATGGTACTGTCTGTTACCCGACTTTAGCTCAGCACCTGCTAGCTGCTAATACCAAACTCCAAGCCACGCGGTAGGAATAGTGGGATGACTAGGAATTTCCTGCTCTTATCGTCGTCCCTCATAATAGTTTATGGCGCAGTGAACTACTTCAGCTCTTGATAATATTTAGACGAAACGCTTGAAGGAACCGGAAGCAAAAATAATTTCAAAATAAGAGTTTAAATTAGAAATTGAGATACTGAAAAACGCGGAATATTTTTTTACAATGTGAAAATGTAAATGAAAGTTACCAGAAAAAGAAATAAATTCATACATACATTTCAACAGTTAGAAAGAAGCCTAATAATAAGTCTAATTTTTTTTTAAAAAGTTGCTATTTTTCCAGTCAGCAAAGCTTCTGGAGTTCTAAACTCTGACTCCAATAATCAGCATGGTCATCCAGGGACCTGTCATCTGCACTCTGCTGTACGTTGTCCTTGACAGTGTCATCACCACTGTCCTATACATCAAGGGGACAGAGCTGTCCCTCTTCATACGTGATGTCCTGGACTTTAACATCCTAAGCTCTGCCCTTGACCTGTGGGGCATTATACTTCTCCGAACATCCCTCCTGCTGGGTGCCTCCATTGGGGTTTTATGGAACAGGGACGACGGCCCGGCCAGGGTCGCCCGGGTCACCACCGTCATCCTCCTCTTCTGGATGGTTGTCATCACCTACACCCTGGCCAAGCTGCTGATGCTGACCGAGGTGGAGCCCCTCAGCCGGCATCCGTGGCTCCTGAGCCTGATGGGATGGACCTGCGCCTCCTCCCTGGGAGTCGTGCTGCTCTGGAGGCAGCTCGGGAGGGTTTCCAGCTCTGTGAGCGAGCTGGACGACAGAGACAGCCGTGGTGGAGGAGGAAGGGTCTCCGAGGACTCGGAGAAGCTGGTGGATACAGCTGGTGAAGAGGAGGAGGCAGGAGGGAGGAAGGAGAAAGAGAAGGTCAGCTCTAGGGCTACGTTGGGACGCTTGCTCAGCTACTGCAGAAAGGATGCCGGACTGCTTTCCCTAGCCGTCCTCTTCCTGTTCATCTCTGCAGTGTGTGAGTATCCAACAAACAATGCTGCCATAGCTTTGTTTGGCAGAAATGTATTCCAAATACACAATAATAACTTATATTTCCAAGAATGATGTTTGTAATCATTTATAGCCTTTTTCCTCTACGGAGAGTAACTACACACTCTCTTGCCAAAGCTGTCATAAAAACATGAAAGACGTTCTCCTTACCATTCAATACGTAGCTTCATGGCTATAGTAGATATTATGCATTTATGGGCCATTTTTAAAGTCCTTGTAGTTCATGAAGAGACGTTAAGAGCGTTTTATTTTGGTTTGTCAGATTTTAAAACTTTGTTTAGTTTGCATAAACTAAATAGAACGCCTTACACTCAATTTGTTTTCACCACTGATGAATATAATATCAGTTGCATAATGTCACACTTCCCCAGAGACCCCATCTTGGCAGCAAGCAACACTTTTTACTTTACACCTTTGCACCACACAGGAAGGAGCTTTGACACAATCAACGGTTCATCCTGAGTCCTTTCTTGTCTTTAGGTCAACTCACAGATTCTCTATGGTATGTAGGCCTGGGAACTGAGTTGATCATTATCTTGTGGTAACTGCAGCCCAGTTAAGTCCACTTCAATCAAACTCCAGTTTGTTTTGCTTGGAAAGTCCAAAAAAGCGAACTCTGGTCCGCCTGTAAACCGAAGTCTGTGCTCGGTTGACGTGAGTTCTGGTGTGGCTTGAATGCATTTGTGAATTCCAAGTGGACTGGAGACTGCTCCAGAAGTAGGAAGTGGACAACAGCGCAGGGCATTCTTCCCTGGAAACAGGGCATTCTTCCCTGGAAACAGGGCATCCAAAATAACCACACTTAAAAGAGAAATGTATTCCAAATACAAAAGAAAAATACTTCGACCGTGAAAATCTGATGCCACTCCATTTTTGTGTACATTTTCTGAAGAAGGAATTACGCTCATGTCTTCTTCTGAGGTGTTCATGTCATTTCCTTCAGTGGTTCTTGGTGCAGCGTCACCAGTGAACAGCTTTTTCAAGCATTTGATTCTCAGAGCCTCTACTTTTACAGATCCCCCACTGTTAGTAGGAAGGGATTTTCTACATGTTCATTATTTGTTTTGAGTCAAACTCTCTTAGGTTGTATGGTTGTGAAAATCTCCATTTTCGCCCTTATGACAAAAGTTTCAACTTCCAGTGTAGCTTAACAAACTCTAGACAATGGAAGGACAAAAATGAAATTTTTTTCTTTCATTACTTCCAGACAACTAGTTGATGGCATTTGCTGGTCCTGAAAGTAGAAAATCCAAAGCATTTCCACAGAAACAGGATAAGTCAAACAACTCGATTAGTCAAATCCCCATAACCCTTCTTGTTCTGTCAATATCATCCTATATGCAGTCCTTTGAAAGGTTTCTGCTTTGTGTTGCTGTGTGCAGATTGAAAACCCCAAATCTGAAGATTAATGAGAAGTCGCTGCTCCAGCTCAGGATTATTTGACCAAATATTGATAGTCCTCCTGATTCTTATTGCTTCTCCAAATGATTTAATAAGTACATGCTGAACAGATCTGCTTTTATATCACAATTCATCCCATTCGTTTCTTTCAGGTGAAGCTTTCATTCCATTATACTACGGGAAGGCAATAGACAGTATTGTGGTCCACCAGAGCATGGAGTACTTTGCTAAACCTGTAGCAACATTGGCTTCACTGGCTTTGGTCAGGTGAGTGCACAGTGTCACTGTCCTTCTCTGATAATCACTGATAATCTTTTGGTCCCACAACATTTTCTGTGAGTGAGCTTTCATCTGGGCTGCACAGTAGCGTAGTTGGTGGAACTGTCGCCTTGCAGCTAGAGGGTCCTGGGTTCTGCATGGAGTTTGCATGTTCTCCCTGTGCATGTGTGGGTCCTGTCTGGGTACTCGGGCTTCCTCCCACAGTCCAAAAACTTGACTGCTAGGTTAATTGGTCTTTCCAAATTTTCCCTAGGTGTGAGTGTGTGTGTGCATGGTTGTTTGTCCTGTTTGTCTCTGTGTTGCCCTGCGACAGACTGGCAACATGTCCAGGGTGACCCCCGGCTCTCGCCCGGAACGCAGCTGGAGATATGCACCAGCACCTCCTGCTTAAATATTTCTGTTTGCTGTCTTAAAGCAGAAACATTTCCTTCACATGTCATTTTAAGTTCCTGGTTTGAAACTTTATCCTGCTCCAGTTCACTTTGGAGATGTTTCATGGTCTCTGTGGATTGCTGCTGCAGGACAGAGAACTCTAGTGCCATTTTCTGATGCAGACTGTTCTTTTCAGCTCTAAGTCCATTGATAAGATGATGGTCATTCTTGGCTCTTTCTAAATGAGCTTCTTTCTCACAACTCACCTCATACTGATAAATGTCTGCTTCATAACTCCTGTTTAATTCTTGGTATCAAATCTTATACAGCACCAGCTCACTCTGCAGACGGTTCTCTGTTTCCTGCAGGCAGTCAATCTCCTTGGACATTTTTTCTTGGAGATCGTCCTTCTCAGCTCTCAGATTTTCAAGGAGCTTTTGCTCATTGATTTTTCTTCATTAAACATTTGCATGTTGACCTGCAGGTTCTCCTCACCTGCAGGTTCATATTTTGATTGAAGCTCCTCGTAGTGAGTCTTGATTTGGTCCAGTTCTTGTTGGATGGCGTCACTTTTCTCTTTCTCTGCCTGGATTTGTGTCCTGAATGTTTCCTCACCAACAATATGAGCTCAAATTCCTTCTGCAGCAGCCTTTTCGTCTTTGTGTTTGTGTTTTATGTCTCTGTGCTTCCTGGAAGTGATTATAGCTCGTCTGAGAGACTCTGAATCAGAAAACTCTTCTCCTGTCAGTAGTTCTCTCTTCATCTCCTTGAGTCTTTTCTGTCCTTGTATCTCAGCTTTTGTTTCTCCAGTCCTCTTTGCACGTTGAGCAGCTTTTGGTTCTCCTCAAACCATCTTGCTCTGTCCTTTTCCAAAAGAGAGCCAAGTCTCTGGATGTCTCTCTGTGACTCAATGGGGGGCGTTCTGTTCTCAATCCAGCCTTGCAGATTTTGTCCAGCTCTCCAGGCTCCATGCTGGGGTCTCATCTCACCGTTGGACGAATGTGTCCTTTGGTTCAACATGTTTGGACAAAACAATGTTTGTCAAAATCAGTTTTGATCCACAAACAATCTCCATGTTCAACTTTGAAAGCGTTTTGTGAAGGTCTGAACTTGTCAGTAGTGCAGCAAGCAATGACCAGAATGTAGAAGTTTGTTACATACATACAGTGATGATGACATCACAAGCATGGCTCTAGTTGTGACATCACAGTTTTCCTTCATCTCTGGAATGATGATGTGAGTGTTTGAGGAATTTACCACACTGACCAACCAACCTCCCCCATCATCCTTTGACTGGAGCAGAGAGGCTGCAGCAGAGAGGCTGCAGCTGAGAGGCTCTGGATGAAGCAGAGAGGCTGCAGCAGAGAGGCTGCAGCAGAGAGGCTCCAGCTGCAGCAGAGAGGCTGCAGCAGAGAGGCTGGGTCCGCTGTGGCGACGCTGGTGAGAGTTGGATCTGGAGACGATGTGGCCTGGGCCGGAGGGACAGAGGCGACAGTGGAAGCTGGAGCGAATCTTTTGCTTTGCAGGAACTTCTCATATAAGTCAAAAACTAATTTTAAAAGAAAAAAGTCCCTTTTAAACATTCTGTAAAGATCATAAAAATCCTCCTCCATATCAACTCTCTCGAACTGAAAGAAAGAGAGCTCGGAAAAACTGGTGGCAGACGTTGGCGTGTGTTTTGTCATAAGATCATAGTCCAACTGTTTGCTGCAGGCAGTCAATCTCCTTGGACATTTTTTCTTGGAGATCGTCCTTCTCAGCTCTCAGGTTTTCAAGGAGTTTTTGCTCATTGATTTTTCTTCATAAAACATCTGCATGTTGACCTGCAGGTTCTCCTCACCTGCAGCTTCATATTTTGATTGAAGCTCCTCGTAGTGAGTCTTGATTTGGTCCAGCTCTTGTTGGATGGCGTCACTTTTCTCTTTTTCTGCCTGGATTTGTGTCCTGAATGCTTCCTCACCAACAATATGAACTCAAAATTTCTTCTGCAGCAGCCTTTTCGTCTTGTGTTTTATGTGTCTGTGCTTCCTGGAAGTGATTATAGCTGATCTCAGAGACTCTGAATCAGAAAACTCTTCTCCTGTCAGTAGTTCTCTCTTCATCTCCTTGAGTCTTTTCTGTCCTTGTAACTCAGCTTTTGTTTTCTCCAGTCCTCTTTGCACGTTGGGCAGCTTTTGGTTCTCCTCAAACCATCTTGCTCTGTCCTTTTCCAAAAAGAGAGCCAAGTCTCTGGATGTCTCTCTGTAACTCAATGGGAGGCGTTCTGTTCTCAATCCAGCCTTGCAGATTTTGTCCAGCTCTCCAGGCTCCATGCTGGGGTCTCATCTCACCGTTGGACGAATGTGTCCTTTGGTTCAACATGTTTGGACAAAACAATGTTTGTCAAAATCAGTTTTGATCCACAAACAATCTCCATGTTCAACTTTGAAAGCGTTTTGTGAAGGTCTGAACTTGTCAGTAGTGCAGCAAGCAATGACCAGAATGTAGAAGTTTGTTACATACATACAGTGATGATGACATCACAAGCATGGCTCTAGTTGTGACATCACAGTTTTCCTTCATCTCTGGAATGATGATGTGAGTGTTTGAGGAATCTACCACACTGACCAACCAAACACACTCAGAAAAGTGTGTGATAAAAGCTGGTGAGAATTTTCTGCTTTGTTTTTGGCCAAAGATCATTTTACACTGATAAGCAACTTAGAATAAGTGATGGCAGCTCATGATTTAGGAAAGCTTACAAACAAGAGTAATAATTATCATTTTGGAGCGTATTATATTATGTAGATCATATTAGCTTAGCATAAAGATTTTGAAATGTGATGAATCAATCATGATTGGTCTTGTTTGGAACTGTGATGTTTATCTGTATCCTGAAGAGCAAATATTCAGTATAGTGAGTCAAAGTGGGCTTTTTTATAGCAACCTCGTCACAAACTACTAGTTACAGTTGGTTCCTGGAGAGACATGTTTTTTCAAGGGGCCCAATTAAACTTTTTGTCATGGGGCCCAAGATTCCTGCCGGCATCTTTAATCTTTTCTTTCTCCTCAGCTCGGTGGCCATTGGAGTGCGAGGAGGAGTCTTCACTCTGACATTTGCGAGATTAAACCTTCGGCTGAGGAGCCGCCTCTTCAGAACCCTGATGACGCAGGAAATTGCCTTTTTTGATGAAAACCACACTGGTAATGAAGAACGTCAAGGGTCCAAGACGGTCAAGTGTTATACGTTTCCCAAAGCTGATGACATTGGTTTTATTTTTATTTAAATTCAAGAAATTCATTTTCAGACAATTTTTTAAGAATGTTTGAAGAGCATTTATGCTGTGTTGCTTAATTGGTAGATCAATTTTAATATAATCAGCAAAGTGATTGAAGAGAATGCTATGTTTTTGAAAAATAGAACCCAAAGTTAACATGTAAAGATAAAATTGTACCTTTGATACCGGCCACTGGAAAATAAAATACTACAGTCTACATACGAAAGGCTCCTAGAAGCTCTAAAACCATGAAAACAGCAGAACTCTCTGAATCACACTTCTCTGTCAGTCCTGATTTCTCCCTCGGTGTGTTTATTTTTTCTCTGATGTTATGACCTGTCCCTGTTGGCCCACAGGGGACATCCTTTCACGTCTGTCAGCAGACACCACCCAGGTGAGCGACCTCATCTCCCAGAACGTCAACGTGTTTTTGCGGAGCGTCATCAAGGGCACCGGCTTCATCATCTTCATGTTTCGGATGTCCTGGAAGCTCACGCTGGTCACCATGATGGGATTCCCTTTCATTGCTCTCGTCTCCAAGCTTTACGGCGAATACTACAAGGTAGAGCAGTTCAGCCTTTTCGTTTGGAAACATACCTGATGTCTAACGTGGTACGGCAGCCGTAGAAGTGTGGTTAAAAACTGAAATCTGTTCCTTCCAGAAACTGACCAAAGAGGTGCAAACGGTCCTAGCAGAAGCTAACAAGGTCGCTGAAGAGACCATCTCAGCCATGAGGACCGTGAGGAGCTTCGCCAATGAAAGTGGGGAGGCCGACTCCTATTACGCCAAACTCTTGGTCATGTTCCAGCTCAACAAAAAGCAAGCCCTGGCCTACGCCTGCTACATGTGGTCCAGTTGTGTATGTTCTGCTGCAGCAGCTTTATGCACAGAGTTGGGGTTTACATTGTGAGCACCGCCGAGCTTTATGTCTGTTTTCCAGATATCAGAGCTTGCTCTTGAGGTGGCTGTCCTCTACTACGGAGGCCATCTTGTACTCACCAACCAGTTAAGCAGCGGCAGCTTGATTTCCTTTTTTATTTACATGCTGGAGCTGGGAGAATGTTTTGAGGTACTTCCTCGGTTATTTCATCAGTTCTCTTGGACTGCAACAAACGATTATTTTGATATTCTGTTATTCTATCAATTATTCCATCAGTTATTCTGGCTACTAGTCAATTGATTGGATCAAAAAAGTTTACACATTTTGCAGATTTTTCATTTAAAACTTTTTATACAATGTTAGAAATGCACTAAAATAGTTGCATAATGTGCTTAATAGGGATTTATTTTTTAGAGAATTTGAACCAGGTAAAGCCAAATCTATGCCACTTGTTGAGCTTTCGATAAAATGTATGTACAGACCAAAGTTTGTTTTTAATCAATTATTAAATTAGTTGATGATTATTTTAATAATCAGTTAAATCAGGATTATTTATAACTAATTGCTATAAATTAAATTAATCTTGATTCATCAAATTAATCACAATTTATCCAATTAATCGGATTAATCACGATTTATGAAATTCATCTTGATATCACACATTTTTTTGATTAATCACTATTAACCTGATTAATCGTTTCAGCCCTAAAGTGTCAATCATGTCGTAACAGAGCAGCAGATTGCAGTGAAAACCTGTCCTGCCTGCCTTTCAGAGCATTGCGTCAGTCTACACTGGCCTCATGCAGGGGGTTGGAGCAGCTGAGAAGGTGTTTGAGTATCTGGACAGGAAACCCAAACATCCAGCGGAGGGCACCGCGGCTCCAGACTCCTGCACTGGTCTGGTTGAGTTTAAAGACATCACCTTCGCTTATCCAACGCGGCCAGAGATCGATGTCCTCAAGGTTCGTCTTAGGAATCCTCTCGATTTTATCAATTAATCAGATTTAATTTAATTAATAGTCAAAATGTTACAAGACTACAGTCATACAACAATAAAGTCTAAATGAGGCCAAAAGCATCTCACAATGTTACCAGAATAAAGTCGGAATATTTGTGGATTGGAGCTGTAATTTTAAAAGGGATATAAAATGAAAACTAACAAACAATTAAAATGACAAATGCTGAGCAGCTTCTGAAGTTATATTTTGGAATTGTTTTTCAAATTTTTGTCAGTCACAGCACTGAAGCTACTGAGTCTACTTAGAAGAGAGAACCATGGACTGGGCGCCAAACATCTCAATGCATTTTTTACTCAGTGAAACAGATTTTTCCAGATGTTATTCTGGTACTATTATGTCCTGATTCTGCTATTATGATGGTATTTTCTTAATTAAAGATACATTTTTATAGATTAGCCATAAAGCTCCTTCATAAAACTCTCAGAAGTGATGATGGAAATATAAGCAAGTTTTTGAAAGTTTTTTTTTTCATTTATAATTTCTATTTTTTTTTTTAAAAGTGAGAAATTTGTGTTACTACAATTGGAAATAAGATCCAGTATGAAGAAAAATTTAATTTTTTTATTACCCAGTGCTACCATGTGTCACTTTATCTTCTTTTCACAATGATGAGCTTCTCTGTGTCAATAAACTACAGTGAAGTTTGTTTTTGTAGTGTTACAAAATGTAAAAAAAAGAAAAAAAGTTTGAAGGAGTTTTACAATGCACATTCACTCAATTCACTTCAATTTTCAGTCCATACATTTAGCTAAACCGTGCTGGGTGTTTAGCTAAATCATAGCCATATAGCAAATTATCCAATAAGTCTGACTTGTTAATTATTGAAAGACTATTTCTGGGATCCGTTTCTTTTTGCAGGGAGTGTCGTTCACTCTGCGGCCCGGAGAGGTGACTGCTTTGGTGGGGCCTTCAGGCAGTGGAAAGAGCTCCTGTGTTAGTCTGCTGGAAAATTTCTACCTCCCTCAGAGAGGCCAAGTGCTGCTGGACGGGAAGCCTGTTAATGAGTTTCAGCATGACTATCTGCACTCCAAGGTGAGCCTTTGCAAAAAACAAAACAAAACTGAAACTGACATAAGTTGTGAAGTTGCTAGCAATACATTAATACACCCCAGCTTGGAGTGCCTCTTGTCAGCCACTCTCTGCTCCAGCTCTCTAATTCCACCTGGAGGTTTGGACTTTTAGATTTTCAGTTTTTTGTCTCTAGCAAGGCACGGAGCCACCAGTGGGTGGGTTCACTGTGCCAGAACCTATTTGGTCAATGTGTTTCCATCTCCCCTTTAGCACCTGAAAGGGGAGGTTCTTCTTTCAGAAGAGCCAAAAACTGCCAGCGTTAACTTTTTGAAAAATTAAGTGCGACATGTTGAATTTTGCTGTTTCTATCAACCTTTTGTAGTGCAATAATTCAACATGGCTACTGAGCCATTGCCTTATTTCAGAGTCAAATGAGGCCATCTGTTTGACTACCGCAGGTGGGATGAAACTCAATCATGCAACATAACACCGATCCCTAACATGGAATATCAGAAACAGGAAATTGAAAGATGTGGTGGACTCACTGGATTTTATTTGTCCTTTTCAAGTAAATAATAAAACAGTTGAATATGCCCAGGGTTATTGTTCGTCTATTATTGTCCTTTTACATTTGAAAATGTACATTTTTGAATTTTCAACTTAATTATTTGGAGGTAACATGCTTTTTGTTATAAAAGTAGGAATAACTTAGTTTCCAGGTTTGGAATAACTCTATTAAGGGCTAAATATACTTTTTATTTTCCTCTATGTAAAGCACTGTGGGAAAAACACTGTGCTGGCCACATGGATTGGCAGCTCTGGTACACATGCATAAAACCCAAAAATGGCAAATAATTATACATTTTCAGGTTAACTAAGTTTTAGAGCATATAATTATATCACTGTTTGATTTTTCTGTTTCTTATTTTTGTGTCTGCAGATTGCTCTGGTGGGCCAAGAGCCTGTGCTATTTGCCCGGACCATTAAGGAGAACATCTCCTATGGCCTGAGTGACGTCACCATGGAGACGGTGGTGCAGGCAGCCACCAAGGCTAATGCTCATGACTTCATCACCAACCTCCCCAAAGGCTATGATACAAGTAATTACTAAACATGTTGATTTTTTTTCTAAGCAAACTGCCCCTTCTTATTTGAAGCACAAGTGGAACATGAATAATAGATTTCATTATTGCAAGACAAGACCTTTGACCTATGCAGTTCAAAGAGGCTTTTTTATTATTTATTTCAGTCATTTTTAACCTTTCCATACACAAGTAAAAGACAAAACACATAAACAAACAGTCTTTGAATTTCTGTCAATAAAAACAAAGTGTAGACTGAAAAATGTACTTTTTTATATGTATAGCATTGTCAGAATCAAAACAACAGACTTTCTTGTGTCATTTTCTAAAACTATGCAAAAAATTAACTTTTGTCTTTTTCTATAGGTGTTGGAGAGAAAGGTTTGCAGTTGTCTGGGGGACAAAAACAACGGGTGGCTATAGCCAGAGCTCTTATCCGCGAGCCACGCGTCCTCATCCTGGACGAAGCCACAAGTGCTCTGGACGCAGAAAGTGAACATATTGTAGGTGAAGTGCTGTTAAATGCAAGGCATCTTCATTATAATTTACGTATTTACAGAAGCGTGTGTGAATAATTTCAACTGCAGGTTCAGCAGGCTTTGAACAGCATCATGCAGGAACACACAGTGCTGGTAATCGCCCACCGGCTCAGCACGGTGGAAAAGGCCGACAACATCCTCGTGATCGACAGGGGCCAAGTGGCCGAGCGGGGGAACCACAGTCAGCTGATGGCCACCGGTGGCCTCTACTGCAAGCTGGTGCAGAGGCAGGTCCTGGGCATCGAAACCGGGGCGGAGGTCCTCAATCCGTCGGAGACGGTCCGGTGGAAGTCTGACAGAGGGCGGAGGAGACAAAGCACCAGCAGCAGCGGAAGCGAGTCGGAGCACAATATGCGCTACTGAGATCGAGCTGCAAAATGTGTTCAACATGACAGGCAAATGATAATCAGGCTGGTCTGGGCCATCGAGACGGGAAATAAGCCCTCTAAAAATTGAAGCACTCCACTGATATCCAAAGATTCTGTACAAAATTTTACATCTACTTACTTAACAGCTTTGTTAAAGTACTGCAGGTATTCTTAACAGCATACAATGTCAAATAACATTAAATAAAAGCAAGAAAAATAATTTCACAACTTTTTCACTTAAATTTGAGTATGGAGTATAACAGCACAAATTATGACTACTTTTATTACTTCTTCTGTAGTGTTGAATGCTAGAAAAGCCTCTGTTGTGCTGCTCAGTGAACAATAGTAAACAACAATAGAACAACTAAACTATTTATCATTAACCAATGGTCTGTGTGTGGGATACAAGCACTGCTGGATAGAAATGCTGGGGCGGACTAAATGCTGGAGTGGAGTGCTTCTGTTTGCGTGCTTGAACAGGAGATTTTAGATGCAGGCCGGCCGATACAATCCGATGCTCAGTTTTTAGCTGATATACCGATTTCTGATATTAATATCGTATCCAGACAAGCTTTATTTTACACAATTCAACTCAAAAACAAACTTGGAAGACAAAAATACAAAAAATTGAAAATGTGCAATAACCCAGTTTTATCCTCAAGGGCTGGTGTGCTGCATGTTTTACATTATTCTCTGGTTTAGAGTGTCAGAATAAAACTAAATCGTTTATTACAAGAACAGATAGAATATGATCAGAAGGTAATTCATCCATTAATTCAGCTGTGCACATTTTGAGAGCATTTGTTCATACAATACTTGAATGCATCACAAGCCTTGATTCAATCTTCACGAAAAAAAAGGGATATGCTGCTGTCAATGCACTTTTTTTTTTAGCAATACCTCATCAACATGTCACTGTAACAGTTTTTTTACTTTGAAGCTGTTTTTTAACTTCTGTTTTATTATAAAAATGAATTCCTTTATTGGCACTACATAAGCTGGATATTCTGAAAATGATAAAAAGGTGTGATTGCTAAGTATGTATAAAAAAATTTATGATCTGCTTGTTTTTGAAGAAAGTCTTAATTGTCAAACACAGACAAAGAGCCATAGATATTTACAGCAAATATTGTAATGGCAACTACTTTAGTGCTTCCAGTTCTGTAAAGTTGTGGTGTAAATGCCATGTTTAGGGTGTGTGTGTGTGTGTGTTTATTCTAAAGTATACAACTGCAATGGTTTTTAAGCTGAAATTTTGATTTACGGTGGATTCTCTCAAATCCACACGGGATAAAATAAACAAATTCAGATGACAAAAATCAGTTCAAACATGTAAACTGAAGTTATTGGGATGTGTTACCAAAAACAATTAAACTTTAAGCTTCAGATTCAATGACACTGACTGAAGTGTTCAGGATCAACTTGAAACACCAGGCTCGTGTTTGCCATGAATTGGAATGAATTGGAACTTTGTACTTTCTGAGGTGTATGCAGACACAATACAATCGTGCCACTGGTACAAATCATAAATAAACAGCTGCTGAATACAGAAAATGCTGACTAGAAATGATCTTACGCCATTTTTTCAGGCGCCCCCTCTAACCCAGCGCCCCTGTCCCTTGCATATGGTACATACTCTCTTTTTTGCGCCACTGCAGTTGGAACACTTGTAGTGCGCGCACATCATGTACACTACACTGAGTCTGCCATCACATATGAGTGAAGACAATTCCTGCAACACTTGACTAAAATCCACTACTGTCCACGTGCCACATGGCTTCTTAAAAAATGTTAAAATTCAGAAACTTGGTCGCAATTACAAGAGGATCGTTTGGATGGTGAGGCTGGGAAACGACAATATTACGCTGGGGGATTGCTTTACTGCTTGTGGAAATGGTTGGAATATTAGACAAGAAATGCAAATCTGTTAACTTCATCTCAAATCAACATCAAACTTAGAAGCACTCGTGTGCTTTAATTACAGGTCCAACAGACTTTAAAAACGATATTTATGGATTATCTGTAAAATATAAGCGGATTGGCTTGAAGAGGAGTGGTCAAACATCCAGCCAAAAAACAATGGCAGACTTGTGAATTTATTCTGAAAGAGTTCAGTGGTGCTTTTTGTCTCATTTTTATTTTGATTAGTGTGCAATATGTTCTTAAAATTATCAAATTCTCGAGTTTTCAAAAATAATTGAAGATGTTTGTTGCATAATCCTTCCACCATAAAAACAAACAAACATTCAAATGTATTATTAAAAGTGCACAATCAGAATGCTATTCATTTATTCATTCTTCGCTGCTTGGGAAATTTCAAGCTTTGCTCTCAGTCCGGTCGTTCCTCATTTTTCTGAGCGCACGTGAAGGCATCACGGGGCCTGTACTCTACTTCCTGTTAAGGACGCGCAGTCAGCTGTCACAATCCGAGAGAGGCGAGAAGAGGGAGCACAGGCGAGAAGAAACACAGCAAGAGCCAAAATGTCCAGCTTCTCCACCAAGTTCGGCGGCTACACGATGACTCAGCTTAATGAATTTCTCGAGGACGACGAGAAGCTCTTAAAAATGGTCCAGGAGATGGATGAGGTTGGTTCAAACCACTCGTTGTTGCAGTCCGAAATGTTAGCTCTTCATTCCTTTTTTCTCTCGGTCACAGTTTTTTTTCCCTCCTCCTTCCTGTCGAGCCTTTGTTGTGCTTTTCCCAACGCACTCTCGGTACAGTGACGGAAATAGCTTGAAATTACAGTTTGAGTCCAAGAATAAATATATAACCGCTGTGAAAAGGTCTACCGAGTTAAAAATATAAGGGTAGTGAGATTGTTAGCCTTGGTGCTGACTAGGGGAAGCATTGTTTAAGTTTCAACAGTGATAATTCACAGTTTGCCTCATTGTTTTTCTGAAACAGCCCTCCTCTCACTGAGCACAGCTTCCCAAGAAGCTATGTAATGTTTATGAGAAACAATGTTTCTCTTAGTCATGGCCAGGACAGTTGGTGTTTCTCCAGGGAGCTGGTGAAAGGATAGCATGGCTTCCCAGTAGTGTCAGCTCCATGTCGTCGTGATCAACTTCGGTCACAGATGAGCCAATCAAAGGCTGCTTGTGTGTGTCGGTTCACCGACACTGTGGGAAAACACGACCAGAGGAGCCTTTAATCCGGATCTGCGGGCTCAGGACTGCACGGCCTCGCAACACGACCGACTCTCCGCACTTCAAAGTGTCGCTTAAAGAAGACTCAAAAGTCAAAATGTACTTTTACTGCAGACATCGGAGCATGGTCGACTCCCTTTGAGGGCTTATTGTTCACACCAAAACAAAGGGCCACAATCCACTAAACGGACGCAAACAAGCCATCATTTGAATGTAACTGGAGAAATATGTGGTTGTTTAAAAATGTGGAATGCGTAATTCAACCCGGAATTGATCAGGAAATGAATAGCAACAATGAATAAGTTTTATTTCTGTGTTTAAGGTCTTTTACATATTCTATGTATAGCTTATGTCCTGCGGTCTTTCACACTTACCACACAAGTATAGATTTTTTTTTAAATGATGCAAATCTAAACATTTAAATCAATACAACAATATAAAACAAGATGCTTTGGAATGTATTGTTCAGACCTAATAGTGAGTAAAGTTAAGGTTTCAGAGCCTGTAGTTAACTCTCCTATAGGCTCTGTTAGTCTGAAGTTACCAGTGCTGACCAACCAATCGATTCAGGTTTAAATGACCTCCTGGTCGACTGTGGGCTTAAGTCATTATGAGATTCTTGCAGTGTGATAACTGAGAAAATTGCAGTATTTATGAAAAAAAAATTGAAAGTGAGAAGTAGCTGACATTACCTAACTGCTTTGAAAATGAAAAAGCTAAGTCTTGTGATAGATTGTCAGGTACGTACATAAAGGACTTTAAACCAAACGAGCAGAAAAAGTGTTAAAATCATAAGAACAAGAGTATATTTCCCATATTTTAATGGACCGTTGCACAGAAACGGAAGAACGTTTGAAATATTTAAAAATGTTACTTATGCATATTATGACTGCAGATTTTTAGCATTTAGTTCAACCTGTATTTATTTAATGAAGCATTTCTTATATTGGCATGGATTAATATTTTCAATGTCTGTGTACTCTCCTTGTATTTGTTTCTAATTGTTTCTAAATGAGCCTGCACCTGCGTTTATTTGGCGACATTCACCTCCGGATTATGGCTCTTTATACACACAGCTATTTAGTTCATATCTGAACTCCGAAATCAGATGCTCTCATTTATTGTCTTCCTGGCTTCCTAGTATCAACAGCCTCGCCTTGTTTTTTTTCCATTCACAAAGCCGTTACCAGCTGGAGTCACCAGGAAGGTTTACCCTCAGGCACATATTTACTGTAATGAAAAGAAGGAGTTTATATAGTTTTTAGTTTAGTTTTGTCATATTTGTGCATCTGAGTGTTCCGTCTGGTTTCCTGAATGGTTTGATTCTGTCTTGGGCTTTACCATCAGCCTGAGCTTACAACAATGCCTCTAACTCTTGTTGTTGGGTTTACCAGTGAAGCCTAAACGTATCCCACTCCCCTCCAAACCTCTCCCCTCTCTCTTCCCCCTCAAACTTCACCAAACGCACATCGTCAGGGCACAGGAATCTGACTCGTCTGTTGTCATGGTGCTCGGGGTTTCTCCCTGGCACTGTTAATTTGATCTTACTTTGCAGGGAGGGAGGTGGTGGAGGTGGTGGAGGTGGTGACTTGCTGTCAGAAAACATGCTAATGGCTTCCTCTCCTTTAGCTGCTTGCAGATCTGATGGGGCTTATAGGATCACAGCATGGTGCCTCTTCTTTTAGAAACACCAGTGAACGCCGTTTTTAATAAAACAAATTTTCCTGTTCGCTCCTGCTGCTTAACATCCACACCCAACACGTTTGTCGCCATAGTTTCGTTTTCCTCATCCCACAGGTTGCAGGTGAGGGAGGGGAGGGCGGGCGTGGACTGTTCCTTGCAATGACGCATCACCTGTTGACTCAGGTTAGTTTATACGATCATGGAAGAGGATTAGCAAGGAGCCTGAGTCAAAGGTGAAGCTGTCCTGGAACGGGATGGAATCTTGCCGGTATTCCGGATCGGAACAAAGACGGCGGGTGTCAAAAGGCAACCACAGAAACCTGAGATCAGTGGGAAGTAGAGTCTAAAGTGCAGCGGGCATAAACTGAACTCAAACATCCTTGGACTCCAGCATTTGCTCCCCTTTGAATAATGCAAATTGGCATCTTGTGAATTTGTTTAGCTTCAGTGTAGCTTTATTTTACTGTATTTTATTTTATTTGTAAATATGTGTATTGCGCAACTCTGCTTTGTTGTTACTGCAGAAGTTGCAGGTACAGGGTACAGCTTCTTCTGGAGGTGAACTTTGACTAGCTATAAATCTTGGTCATGTAAGCCTCATTTATTTGCTCTAGTTCCAGTTAAAGTGGGTGTATTAACCTTTACAACATCTCCCAGGCTGTCTTAAACACCACAATTTTACTATATATTCCCCAAATATTAACGTAATACTCTCTTTTTTTTCCATCATCTAATTACTTCTATTTATTTAAATTATAAAGGTAAGCTGCTGATGTAACTCAGCAGTGATTATTTACAGCAGATTGTTTAGCTCTGGGACATTGCAGATGGTCAGCTGCACTTCTTGTAAAGTTGGGGCGCCACTTTTGGACAACTAGTTTATTTCCGAGACAATTTGATTTGTTTGGGCTTCACATTTCATAACTTTGGTTTCTCAGTTCAGTTTGTACTGAAGCATTTTAATTTGGCAGTGTGTGTGGTCGAACAGAAGGAAGGAACACAGAAACCAAATGTGGGTATCATTTGGAAAGAAGGATCCTAAAAACTAAATACTATTCCAGAAAGCTCTAGGAACGGGTGCGTGGGTCGTTTTTTTTTTTAAAATGGATAACACATCTCTGGGACTGACTACTGTGAAACACAATAAACAATAATAGAGCTAAGCTTTGTAATGCTAACCAGGCAATAGGCAGAAGTTGAATCCCTGAGACTTCAGCTTCTGCCAGAGCATATCATGTCAGCGCTCCAATCAGAACATTCCGATGGGATTCAGTTTTTTCGGAATGAACTTGTCCGTTGTCCGAACGTCGGGCATGGACACGCTTGTTGTGTTCATGCCATTCAGAAAGTGGTAAACTGACAGGACTGTGCTCGACACTAATGTATGAAGCCTGTTGCGTGTAAACACGACAATCGGATGAATTAGTTTTGTTCCCAAGTTTTCTTTTTTCTTTTTTAGTATGATCAAGGAATGCCGTGCATGTGAACTTTGCTGTTGTGGTGGTTTTGCGGCGCTGATGGTTTGGAAACGTTCCTGCCCTCCTGTCTGCCATATTCTTGCCGGAGTGCCACCCTAACATGCGCTGAACATCAGCAACACACTCTTACCCGAACGCTCACAAGTGGAGCTCTGTGGTAGATACAGGAAAGCGCTCCGAATAGTTTTACTTTATAGACGGCAAGAAACCTTACAGAAAATTTCCCCCTGTAAACAATCACAGACAGAGCGACCTCAATGCTCCAGATGGCTTAAAGATCTGAGGTTTTTATTTTTTTTAATTACCACTCATTGTACAGCAAGAAAGAGAAGGAGTTGCCTCAGGATGTGCTGAGGCAAAGTTAGAAAATCATTTTGAGCTGCTTTTCCTGCATGAAGGCCTCAGAAGGCTTCACAAGGGCCGAGGTGTCGCTTTATGTAACAGATTTCCTGCTCAGTCCCAGTTATATTTATCCATCTGACGTGCTGAGTGGATGTGTGAAATGAGTCATTTGATAAGAAGCGTAATGGGTCTTTTTAAAAAAAAGTCTGTTATCACTGTTGCTTTGCCAAATTTGTCTTGATAGTTTCAGTTTAAATTCACATTAAACCAGTGTGATCAGTTTGTCGCCACATTGAGACGAAATATGACTTTCTGGAGAACCTTCATCAGAGTGTTGGTGCCATTCAGGAGGCAGGGAGCTGATGCATTGTGATTGAGTTGGGAATTTCATATCTGGGTCATAAACATTACAAATGGGTGCAAATAAAAATATGAAAAAACTTTTATTGGAGAGAAAAAAGTGAAAACAAAAATCACTTATTCCATTGGCAAATTATTTCGCTTATAACCAGACATTTTTCCCATGTTGTGGGTGAGATGATCTGCGAGTGGAACTGGTATATTTTCATTAATGTTAAGAAATTATTGATTTTAACACACAAAAAAACTGTACTTGATTTCTATTTGAGGATTGTCATGAGAAATGATTGGATATGGATTTCTGGGAAGTTGTGGAAGATGCGTGGAACTGTCTGAAAGCATATTGGCTCTCTATAGGGCAAATAACATGTTGTCAGGGTTTGTTGAATTAAAAAAATAAATAAATAAATAGAAATGTGTGTGAACAGGGATTGGAAAAGAAACAAAGAATTCAACTGTACATTTCATGCATTGTAATAGATATTTCAGTGATCACATGTACTGCAAAAGATTTATTTTAGTTTCATCTAGAAGCAAAGTCAAAGAAAAAAAGAACACAAAACTGACTGTACAGAGGTAAATGAAGTAAAGATCAATGGAAGAGTAAACCAAACTCAAAAGAGCAAAATGTATTTTATATATTTTTGTGCGTGTTATGCAAACATCAATTTTGGATTCCAATGACTATTAAGACAGTGATTTAGTGACAGTGACAATATCCTCATTTATCACAATGATTTCTGGGACAACTTATTGTTCAGCAAAATTTATTACTGCGACAGGCCTACTTGTTCCCCTTTGGTAGGAAGATTAAAAAAAGTAAAATAAATCATTCAGGTTGCTTCATTCGTTCTCGTTTTGGGGCCAGTATTAGTCGATGCTAATCAGAATCGGTCACCTGTGTATCCAGGTAATCCTCTGACGTGTTTGGTGTCTGTTGCAGGTGCAGGAGGTCCAGCAGAACAAGGAGAGGACCCTGGCCAATAACCGAACCCTGGCTGAACAGAACCTGACCCTGCAACCTCAGCTGGAGCACAAGAAGGAGCAGCTCACCAAGAGCTACAGTTGCCTTCAGGAGAGCTTTGAGTCCTATCAGCTCCGCAAGTCCAAGCTAGGTACTGTGACCGCGTGTGCACAAAATACTAAGAGCCATTCTTTATTGATTGGTTTTATACTGGGGACTTGAATTTTTAATGCTACTTGCTTCTTTAGACATTTGAACCCACTCACAAATGAAGTCATAGGAAATGAATACTTTAATGATGCATTAAAGCAGCATAGCTTTAGCTTTTATTCCCACCTTCCTCATTCATTTAGTGTTATGGTCTGGGTTTAGAAACACAGTGCAGTCTGTTCCAATCCTCAGGCTTTATCGGGACTATTAGATCAATGTTCTTTTGAAGAAAAAAAAACCTTATCCTACCTTCGAGCAGAAGCTTCAACTGCAGTTCAGACATTTACACTAAGTTTTCTACGTGCTTAACCAGTTATTTTAGATTATAATCTATGGTATCAGGAGCTAAATCAACAAATGTCTGTCAGTTGGATTTTTTTAATCATAAAACTCAAAGCTTGTGCTGTGGTGAAAAGTTTTCTGCTTGTTGTTAATCTACTATTTGACCCACTTCAGCCTGAAAACTGTTAATAAAAACAGCCAGAGTGCTTATCTTGAAGCATGCCAACCTTCTCTTTCAGCATTTAAAATGAAAAAATAGATGACGTTTGAAGAAAGGTTTAGCTATGACTGCTTTTAGAAACACACTGGTCAAAATGTTGTCTCCAATTTCTGCTGGTCCTTATAAAACATTGACTTCTCATGACTGATTATAGCTGCAACATATTTTCTGTTAAAGAACTACAATATTATGAGAGGTCATAGAACAGTATTTCATTGTTTTTATTTTGTCTGGCTTTCCTGATCAGAGTGGTCCTTTCTGTTTGGAGCAGGAACGATGAGGAGTTGCTGTGAAACTGAGTTTTACTGATATTTTTAAAAAGGAACCATAGCAACTGTAACTAACTATGGCAGTCTATGCTATTGGTCAGTGGAGCTACCATTACTAAACATCAAAATATAATAATGTATAATTGAAGTATTGTGGCAATATGTCAATAAAAAGTGAGTTCATTTGACTGTTAAAATGTTTAACTGTTAGTCTGGCTAACATTTCAAACTCCAGCATGATCCCTTCAAAGAAATATTGCGAACTCAAAAGATCAAATAAAACAACCCTGCTGTACTTCGTTTAGTTTTCTTGTTGTATTATTTTCTAATGCCTCGTGCTCAACCCCAGCCTCAGTTGTGGGACAGTTAATCACAAACATGTCCCAACTTGTTGTTGAAGAAATGGTTTCATGTTAGATGGGCTTCCTCTGTATTCCGACTTGCGATCCCTTGTGATTCTAGAAATGGCTAACATTAGCTGTGTTTCCATTACAAATGTGCGCAAAACGTCGCCAGTATTCCGCTAATGTCAAAAAATCCCAGTTTTGCAATCGCTGTTTCCATTAAATAAGAAACAAAATTAAGAATCGTACGCAAGTTTCTTCATGCAATAAGTCATTAAAAACACGCTACATTATAATTCTCCTACCACTTCCTGTTATCTTGCTTGTCATTTCCATCAGTAGAAACATCCAGTTGTTCATGTGACTCATGTGGTGTGAAAGGTTTCCATTGCAGAGATTTGAAACACACTGATTTCGATGCAGCTGAAAAGCCACCACATCCTTCTGCAAAAACATTTTATTAAAAAATTACTTTCATTTATTTATTTATTTATTTTTTAATTAGCATGTTTCCATTTCCATGCCTCTAATTTGCACAATCTTAAGGACAATGAAAACGCACCCTTAAATTCTTTCCACAATAACAACTTCCACACTAGAGTGCTGTTTTCAGGCAACATTATGATGTTTTGCCACAGTCCATTAACCAAACAGAAAACGGGCTGATGAAGCCAAGAACCCAAATGTTTCTGGTCAAAAACAACTTTTTGATTCATTTTCACTGGTTTCACCAGTATTGTATTTATAATATTCATTTATTACAAGACACTGACATCAGAATTAGATACAGTTTCAGGTATAATTTGCACACATAAAGATCTCTAAGCCAGCAGAGTGAATGGCAAACTTCTCTCATGTCTGCTGGCTTCACTCCTTTAGTTAATACCTTAAAACTGCAGTGAATTGTCAGTGAAGTAAGAATGAAGCTAAAAATGTTACCACTGAATCAAAGCAGTTGTCAAAAAAAACCTGATCATTAAAGTTTCAGGTTTTTCTAGTTAGGGCAACATATAATTAAAGAATTAGTTAATTCAAATCGATATTCTTTCTCTATGTTCTCTAATTACTCATTTAAAGACGACGCTTGTGTTCTCCGCTTCAGTAGGACGTGGCGTTATCCTCATCATCCTGAGTTGTTCTTTAAAAGAGAACATTTCCAAAACGATAGGAGAACCCAGAAAAACTTCAGTTTTTTTTTTTTTGTTAACCTCTTTTTATTTATTTTGTTGGCATTACTCATAACTCGGAACCTGTTTAACCAGTTCCCTCATTTCCTATTGAAGCCTCCTGCAGCCACAAAACTCAGAGTGAGTTCTGGTCTATCTAATTGCTGATCTGATTCTGAGATCCACAGGAGCATCAAAACAAGATCCAGCAACTCAGTCAGATTTTTTTTTCTTTAATCTCTTAGTGCTTCCTGGGAGGTGGAGAAGATAAGATGACTATACTTGTGACTTTGTTTACATGTGGTTGCTAGGCAGCTGTCTTTAAATACAATCCCTGTTATTCACTGTTTGGCTGGATCTCGTCTCCTCTAAAGCTGCAGTATGTAGCTCTTACAAAAATCAGTAGCGATGCTAATTAGCCTTAGTGTTCTCAACAGGCTCCGGGAGGAGCTGCAGAGAGCTAGTGGCGCACACATGGGCATGATTGACAGCGATAAGATCCGCTTCCTGGCTCTGATTGATTGTTTGTAATTAGCACTGGGAGAAGGCAAAACATTTGGTTGTTTTTATTTGCAGATTCTGTCTCATACCACACTGTCGTGACATGGTGGCAGTCTCAGCTAATATGTAAAAAACATCCACATTTTTGATAAAAGTTGGATTCTTCAACTTTAAGCCATCCCACCTTTTGAAAACTTGCTGAAGTCTGAAATATAATTTCTAGTTTGCGCGTCTAAAGGTGACAGCCATTTTAACTGTCCTGAGCATTTCTTCATATTTTTTAACCTTTCAAAGCTGGTGGTCTATGTTTTTAATAGACTAATGCAGCACTGTTTCTGTCTGACAGCAAGTGATGGCTTTCATAAAATGTAGGTTTCTCACTGTCCCTCTGCCCTTCCCCCTCCCTCTGTGTCACCCACCGCCTGCTGGGCAATAGCCGTCCTAGTTGTGGATTTGCTGTCGAGCAGCTGTGGATAGAGCTGAAGGAAAGTAGCTGTCTGACCCAGAAAAGCGTACAGTACAGTAGCCAGTTGTGTTGCTGTTTGCAGACAGTCGGGCGATTGGCTTTGCCTCTTTCTGTCCTGCTGTCAAAGACCTTTCCACCCTTCAGTGTCCTGTAGCGTTCCCCTCAGTGCACCATTGTCCTCCCAGGCAGGCTTTGGGGGGGTTTGGGGAAGTTTGGGGGGGGGGCTGCCAGGCTGTAGATTTGAAAGAGTGGAGAAAAGGGAGTGGGAGACTTCTTCTGAGTTGTACCAAAAACTCCCTGTTTAATGTGGAGTTGTGTCAAAAATGTCTTTTTTGCAATCTCCAAGCTAGACTTTCTTTTTATTTTTGTCTTTGTTCAGACAAACGTTTGTTCTCTGGACAGTAAAAGAATGATGGCTGCCTCTTAAAAGCTTCAACCTGTAAGAAGAAAGCATGGACGTCTTGACAGTGACAGTTCAAAGTATGAGTAGAGCGCAAAGGAAGTTTGGGTTGCTTTTTGATTCCTTTTTGAAAAAACGGTTTCCTTCCTCATAGTTGAAAGCCAACCGGTAAGCAGTTTGTGTTTTCTGGTAACACAACACACGGCTGGCTGTGCTCCTGCTTTAACGTGAAGTTAATGAGTAATGCTCGGCTTCTCTTCCGCCAATCTTGTGATTTTGCTAAGTCACTGTGCGAGCCAGTTCTGCAGGCTCATTAACCCGACACATTCACATTCAGCTATGCTACTTCATTGTTTGTCTTTTACAGGTGGAACATCATGTTATTTCTATATTTAGAAATGAACAGAGCTCACTTCAGCCAGATTGAAAATGCTTGGTCCTCCATTGAGTCATTACAGTTCAGAGAGCAGGCTTGTTCAAGTACATTGTGTCTGAGGAGGATTCTACCTTTTTATTTTTGTTTTGGAGCACTTTATGATTTGTACTTTTTTCTTAAATTAGTAAATTTGCTAAGATGTAGTGACACCTGTTGGCTTGAATTGTGCATGCAGCTGACAGCTTATGTAACGCACAAAATTCCTGGTTGAATATGAAGGGTTTAATTGGTTTGCTAGTTGAACCTTTTATTTCACCAGGAAAAACACCGAGGTTAATTTCTTATTTATATTGTTTGCCTGAAAGTGCAGAAACGCATAAAAGGAGAGAGGACTAAAAAAACAATTTGTTGACCTGAATGCTGAAAATTTGTCCAAACCGTGAACTTCATTTATTAGAATTTTTACTATATATTTATTGAAATGGATTTATTTATTTATTTGCACTCCATTTGAGAATTTCTATTTTTTTTAAACAGTGACATTTTCTTTGCACATTGATATTAAAAGGAATTCAGATTCTGACAAGTTTTTGATACACATTCTCCAGATATTTGCCTTATTAATGATTCTTTAATTCCATTTTCCAAATCCAACAATTGACAGACCTACTTACAACCACAAACTCCACAGAGTATTTAATTGGATGGATCAACACAAAATGGGTTTATAATTGTAATTTGGATTTGTTTTACTTTTGTCATTGTAACATTAGCAGTATCAAGACTTCTCTTGTATCTTGTTTTTTGTTTTCTAGCTGAGAGCAAAAGGAATATATTACAATTTGACAGATTTTTAGTCTTATCTGAACCAGTGTGTCCTCTTCTGCATTCAAAAGTCTGAGTGAGTTTTATGAAAGTGATGTTCACATAAACATTTGTGGCATAATATATGGTGCAGTTATTATTAAAAATATTTAATGTTATTAACAAAATCCAGCTTAGTCTGGCTCTCGTACACAAATGAATCAGCCTATATGTTTGTTGACTTGATTTGTAGGACTGAACAGCAAGAATAGCACATCAGGTTTGACTAGAGCCTAGTTCAAGAGTGTGTAATCCTGGTCCTCAAGGGCAGATGTCCTGCAACTCTAAGATGTCTCCCTGGTCCAACACACTGGAATCCAATAGCTGAATCACCTCCTAAGAACGGTCAGGTTCTCCAGAGTCCTGCTAACGACCTCATTATTTGACTTAGGTGTGTTGAAGTAAAGACGCATTTAAAAGTTGTCTGAGACCAGCAATGGCCTAGTGTGTAATTAGACATCCATTGTAGAGGCTCAGTCAAGACTTGTTGGAATGTCTGCAAGTTCACTGCTCTGCTGTGGAGATCACTAATTATTACTGTCTCATTGGTGTGTGTGTGCGTGTGTGTGCGGGTGTGTGTGTGTGCGCGTGCGCTATTGAACTTGCAATCCTGTTTTCAGAAACGACACAATTGTGACACGAACAGAGATGTGACACCAACAGACTCGACTTTAAATCACAGCAAACACTTATTGTTTTGGAAACAACTTGGTTTTGAGGAATTGTACCACAGTTGGTCTACTATGTGGAATTGCTGTACGGCGTGTGCAAAGGCTAAATAAGAACACTGTGACTGAAATGGGGTGTTTACTAAAGGTGTGAAGTTGAGATGTGGGGCCTGGAATCAAATCAGACTCCAGGAACAAATTTAATGACTTTCACACTTGATTAAAGTAAAAAAAAAAAAACTTTGACTTTATAAAGTCATTCACCCCCAATGACCCGATTAACATGGAGATCATTTGTTTTGTATAAAGCCCTGTTTGATTTTTTTTTTTTCTCAAGTTTCGTTCCTCTTGTGTCGTTGGTCTGGCAAACAAACGCATTTTAAAAAATAATTCATAAATCTCCAAATACTTTTGTCATTAAGTGAAATTTTGTCAATAGACTAGTTTCAGATAGGAGATTAAAAGTTTAGGACTTGGACTCGACTCAGGGCTTGCATGTCTTGACTTTTGACTCAAGTTTGAACTTTGATGCATTGTGATTTCACTTGAGGGTTGGTTGGGGAAAAAAAACTACAAAACATGACTTGTTTTCACTTAAGCTCTATACACACAATAAAACGTTCATTAAGACTGTGGTATGTAACTTTAATAATACATTTTTATCACTATGTTTGACAGTATAACATAAAACATGAGTCTGTGGAAAAACCAGCTGCTCATGGTCCTACTGCAATCTACAGAAAGCCCCCACTTGTTCAGAAACAACCAATCAAAAACGGTTTATAAAAGATACCGACTGCAGCTTTAGTTAAATGTGACTGTTTTTAGTCTTTTGCTCATTTTGCTCCTACCCATAATCCTAATATTTCTGTTTTTGTTTTTTCTCTCTCTATTAACAGACCACAAGTCAGGAGCCACCTCCCTGGACATTCTGCTGGCCCTGCTGCAGGCAGAGGGAGCCAAAATAGAAGAAGAGACAGAGGTAAGCATTCTGCTGCTCCCTCCACGGATGACCTCATCTGTCCCGAGTCTGTGATTCACATGCATTCCTCTCTGCTAGTTTCTATTTTCTTTGCCTTGAACATTTTCATTGTTCAAATCTAAAAGTCTTGATGGGCAGCAGTGAGCCTGATCTAACTCAAGAATCACACTTCAGTCTGCTGCAGTGACACTTCTGCAGTTTCTATTCAAAGTCCCCCATTGTTGTAAAAACGACTTCTGAAATTGTGCTTCTGTTAACAGTTGAGAATTTCAACCCTCTGCTCTGCAAAAACACACATCGTACCGAGTAATTCTGGCCTAGTTCCTAATGGAAACGTAACACACTTGAAATAAGACAAAACTAACTTGCAAGTAACTTTTCAGCAAGATAGAAGAACATGTTTTAAGTCAATAATTTCTTTGTAAAGATGAAAAAGTACTAGTTTCATCATCAGATATTTTCATTTATAGCAAGACATTTCCCATGTTACAAGCAAAATATTGTGCCAGCAGAACTAGTACTTTTTTTTATAAATATTAAGGAATCGTTGACTTAAAAGCAGCTCCTATTTCATGTTAAAAAATTACTTTTTCTTTCTTCTCGTTTCAAGTTTACTAAGATAGTTGTACTCAGAGCAAGACCAAAAACACTTAAGATTTTGTGTTTTTGCAGTGTGCATGCCATCTGCTATGGACCAAAGCCTTTGGGGAGTATGGTGTATGGTAGACAATTGGGTTAAAAGTTAAAGCAGATTGGGGCATAAAAACAAATGGCCACCTAGTGGCAGAAAACTGTAAGTGTATATTAACTCCGTTGTCATTTCAACAGGATGTAACTGTATTATTACCTTTTTTTTTAAAAGTGCTCCACCTTTGCCATGTATGAAATTAGCATTTTTATAACTTACTGAAACTATCATCCTGCTTTTATTTGTTTTAAATAATTCAATGAAATCTATCCTTTTGTTGTCACTGTTGGCAGATTGGGTGTGTTGAGAAGTGTTGTTTGAGGTCATCTCTTAAAAATAAGTCGCCTATCAATTTATTTGTGTGTAGATGCATTTGTCACTGCAAAACAGTGAATTCATTTACTATTTGTGTCTGCAGAACATGGCTGACTCTTTCCTGGACGGCGACATGACCCTGGACGCCTTTGTCGATTCCTACCACAACAAAAGGAAGCTGGCCCACCTGAGACGAGTGAAGATTGAGAAGCTGCAGGAGATGGTGCAGAAGGGCCAGCACCTCCTGCCACAGGCTGCTGCCGTGCCCTCCTCCCGACCTCAGGACGTGCCCGCTGTGTCGTCCCTCCTCGCCGACGGCAACAGCAGCAACTCCTCTCCGGTTGCCCAGCCCAGAAGGAAACCTCCGGCCCCTCCATCCCAGCCCCCCCCTGTTCTAAGCCCAACTCCAACCGCTACTCCCCAGTCTCCTTTCTTCTGCCCGCCGTCGCAGTACCCGCCCATCCCTCCCAGAACAGGGCAGCCCTTCCCCAGCGTCTCTACCGGATACCCCAGCCCCTACATCTCTCAGTATCCTCCTGCTCTGCCTCAGAGGCCCCCGCCTCGCTTGGCCCCGCAGCCTGGGTTCATCATTCAATAAGCTCAAATTAAAAAGGAAAAAAACAACAACATCCCTTTAGAAGTTCTAGTGTTTATCACAAACATTTAACAACTGGAACTCCTTCAGAGAACAATGTTTCTTATGTCATCCGCCTTCTCGGATTACGCCCCAATCTCAACACCAGAAAGGAAGATGCACATGGGTTGGTCTGGGTGCGTACATATAAGGCATATCTCCTATAACCTCTGTGGATTACTACTCGCTCGTATCAGCAGCACTCCCATCGTAAGTTAAGACACACAAAACAAAAGAAATGCGGGGACCGTCTCAGGTCTCTCTCACTAGAGAAAAGGGAGCCGACCAACATCAGCCTTGCAGTCGATAAGCCAGTCTTAACGATCAGCGCTCTGTGTCTCCAGTGCTCCACCCCCTCCTACAGACATGTTCCGTTTATGGAACACTAAACTTTTATTTTTTTTTCAGAAAACTGTTTAAAACTCATCATCTCCATCACAGCATGCTAATTTACGTGTATATGCAAGCCAGGAGAGACCCAGATTACTGTGCAGTTTTCATGAAAATACAATTTTCCAGAATATATTCAGGCAAAAACATCATCTATGCTGTGATTTTTTTTCTCTCTTTTAAATATATAAAAAATTAAAAGGTACATAGGAATATTTAAATTTGAGCATCATCAGTAGAGTTAAGACTAATGGAGTTATGATAATAGTCAGAATATACTGATTAACATGTAAAGGAGGGATTAGGTCGGGTTTCTCCAGTTTGCGGATGCATCTAGTGGGAGCCCGGCCCCCTGCCTGGTCCGTTTCCGGGCGGGTGAGGGCCAAACAGGGACCAGCGACTGAAAGTGAAGGACTTCTGAACAGCCATACAATACGCTGCAGGAGTGTGTTGTACCTTACGGGCTCCTGTTGTACTACAACACTCCAACTATGATGTCTGTTTTTGTTTTATTGGCGTCAGTAGGAACTCAATGGGGAAACGATGCCAACGGTTCTTTGGACACTGAGCACCAAAGACTTCCTGCTTTTTGATTTTTTTTTTTTTTTTTTGTAAGTAGTTATCTTCCATTGTTCCCAGCATATCTGTTTGTGAGGCTTTAACACTCTTTGTAATCATGCAACAGCCAGAAGACCTTAAGAAGAGCAACCTGGCTTTGGGAGGAATTCCCATTTCTGCCGAAACTATTATTATTATTTTTCCCCACCAACCCGACTGCTGTTCGCTGTGCACTGTTGACGAGCCACGAGTGCCTACACTTGAAAGTGACATTGTGCTGATTACTTTACGTATCTATGCTCAGCTGTAAACGTTGGAACCATCCTCCTTCCCCGCTCTTGAGATTGGCACCTGCTACTGTACCTTCATTTTTTTTTTCTCCCTCATCCAGTACATTAAGGAAAGTCTTTAAGTCTGAGAAACTCCCCCAGTAGCAGAAAAACAATACTTAAAGGAATGGTTTGAGATTTTGGAGGTGAGTTTTGGTTTAAAGGTTATTAGCATCTAATATGTTACCGGCAGTAGTTAACTCTTTTGGTTAGTGAAAACATAGGAGTGGCTTAAGTGAATTCTTGCTTATTAATTTTTACACTCATTTCTTTTGGGTAGATCCAACTTTTTCACCTCCTGATGCGATTCAGATATTGAGGATTTAAGTATTAGCCAATACGATAATTACCCAGTACAATATTGGGATGAATCATATGTACTTTTAATACTTATTTTGTAGAGTGAAATATTAGAAGAGGCGTGATCAAGTGATGATATTTGAGAACAATTATCATTAACCGATGCGTCTGGATAAGGGGTACAAGCGCTGCTGGATAGAAATGCTGGGCCAGACTAAATGCTGGAGCGCAGTGCTGGAGTAGAGATTTCAGATGCAGGCTGATATAATCTGATACTTTTTGGCTGATATGGAACAGATATCAGATATCGGGACTCCTCTTCCCTGTTGGGACCTATAGCTGGAGTGTTTCTTAGACTGGAGGAGTTTTAAGATGTTAATAAGCCTCTGTTTGATTTACCATAAGTGAAGATGCCACGAGAGTCGGGCTGCTACCACAACTAAACTTCAAAAATTCCAAACTATTCCTTTAAAACATGCCAAAAAGACAAGCGACAGCTTCCCAGGCTAAGTGCCCAGCGGTGCTCGTACTTGTCTTCCATTGTGTGAAGTAAAGCCACATTTATTTGCATGTGATATATTTTTTGTTTTGTTTATTTAACTTGTATTGATAAAATAACAGGCTGTTAAAGTGATTCTTGTCAGAGAATTTGAATTAGGTAAAAATTAAGAAATTTGAGAACACCAGGATTGAACAATATATTTTTTTTCTGCATGGAACATTTGTTTGAACGACTCCTTTTAAATACTTGCTGCTTTTTTTTTTTTTTTTTTTTTTTTTTGAACAGATCCTTTGCATCAGTGGGTGGTTTTAAATGTGCTTGGTGATAATTTCAGTGTAATGTTGTAGTTATTTACTTTTAATGAATGTTTAAGTGGGATTTAATGCTATTTTTGAGTTCAATAAATCAATTTTTTTTTCTATCAGTTTTTCCCTCAGTGTTTTTTTTAATTATTATTATTTATTTGAACAGTTCTGGATGACTTGTGACTTAATGATGAGTTTTTTAGTGGCAGGAGCATCAGTCCAACACTTCCCAACCTGGGAAGCCGCAGCAGAATAAGCTTCCATAATGACACTCCCCACTAACAACTGTGCGCCGTATAGAAACGCAGGTTTAAGAGTTTTAGGGGCCATCACGCAGCAGGAAATATCAAAACAAAAAGAACGTACTGTAATCTCGTTTTCCTCCATCAGTTTTCTGTAAAAGGTGGCGGTTTCTAAAAATGAAACGGGAGCCCCCTAGTGGTCTATATTAAAACAGTCCTGTAGCTTGGGGGTTTTGTCATTCAGAATATTTCACCTTTGGGCACAAAGGGGACCTTTAAGCAACATTTCATTTGAAAAACAAGCCACTTTTCAATGAAGTTGAAAAACCTATAGAATATGCCCTTCTGTTATTTTTATAGCAACTTTGAATAATCCCTGCAGGTTTGATACTTCAGAAGTCGGTGGCTTAAAAAGAAAAAAGATTAAAGACTTTTTTTTTGCATACCAACAAAAAAGCAAAATAGTTTAAATGTTTACAAAACTTAAAAAAATATGGAATCATGAGACAAGAATAACTAAAAACACAAGAAAATCTAAATGGACAACAAATTCTATATTTTGATATTAGTGATAATCTGTTGTTACCTTCAGCAATGAATATGAGTCTGTGTAATATTGCATTAGAAGGCTCCAAGAAAATCTATTAACGGGAATACAAGTACATTTTTCTAGTTTTGGTAGGAATGCAATTTAACTGACTTGGACCAAATATTACGCCTCTGGGCCAACGGCAGGCTTTTAGGTCACCTTGCTCACACACACCTTTTCATCTCTGCACACAGTTTTTATCTGGGACTGAAATCAGAGCTTAGCTTTGTTTTCAAGCCACTTTTGATAGTATGCTTATGAACAGCTCATCTCAAAACACCTAGAAAATGTACCACAGGATGAACCAGAACTTGCAGAGGGCCAGGTTTCTCTTCTTGATCTCTTGGCTTTTTACCTCAGTTTTTTTTTTCAGGATGCAAACATTTGAAAATACAAAAAAAATAAATAAATAAAAATTCTACATTAAAATATGAAAAACTAATTCAAGGCAATATTGTAGTGAAAAACAAAATAAAGTATGAATGCCGCTGGATCTTTGCGTCCAATTAGGAGAAGCAAAACCTACTTTGTTCTAATTGTTCTGTTTAGTGCAGAATAAGACGATATGTGAAATTGACCATTTCACTGGAAGCCAGAAGTGCTGTCAATCAAGCTTCTGTACACGGTGCTCAGTGTAGAGGAGAAACAATTTACCATTACAAAAATTTTTTATTTGTCATTATCAGTGGTCATGCTAACTAGTGTTAGCATTCACAACAGGGTCTGTTGTAGCAACCTATAGGTGTAGGAAGGGGAAGTGTAAGAGCAGAGTTCAGAGGCATAATTGGCCTCCTCCTGACTCTGATTGGTAGTCTCAGGGTATTTCTGCAGATGCCAGTAGGACCACAAGGAGGAGGCAGAGGAGCACAATTTTTTTTTTCGCAGATTATCTGACTCATACTGTCACCAAATAGTGACAGTTTTGGCATACATACATTATATTCTATTCGTCAACATGTCTGAAATACTCTCACCATTTATTCCCTAACATAAACACCGCGGTTGCAGTAGAAGCTAAACGTTCGCTATCCTCTTGAGTCTTTTCTTCATGTCTGCAGATTCCTTTTTTTTTTCTTGTCTAAAAAGGCAGAGTTTGTTTTGTAGAACGCAGCCCTAACCCCACGTGTTACATTTCCACGGCCCCGTCACATCGGCTGGCCTCCACCATGTTGGAGGAAATCCGCCCCTGGGCTGCTCCTCACTCCCTGTCAGATTACAATCTAATCCGAGGAGGCGAAGGAGGAGAAGGACGCGCTATCAAGACGCTGCCTGCATCTTGGAGGGCGTCGTGCCGCGCCAGTTTTTTCTTCTTCTTCTTTTATATATGCGTGTGTGTGTGTGTGCGCGCGCGCACTGAATAAAGGCGTCTCTAGATCCTGCTGTCACTTTTCTCCCCCCCCCCCCCCCCGACCCCTGCAAATCACGACGGGCGGGTACAAAATGAGCCGGCGCTCCTTTCGCTGCTCTTTCTGCTTGTCCGCTGACTTGCCAAGGCGTTAAGATGTTAGCTGGCTAACTAGCTGGAAAAGAGTAACTAAATCGGATTACCTGCTTCCTCTGGGGGAACGCATTTGTTGCGCGAGCTCGTCAATTCCCCGCAGCTCCGATGCTCCTCGTGCGTTTTCATTGTTGCTTCTTCTCGCTCGTTCCATCCCCAGAATTGAGTCCAGAGCCGCGACTTTAAGCTTTAATCATTCGCCAGCGTCAGTACTGTACGCTCGTCTGGTTGTCGGCGAATTTACAGCAGGAGACGAAGGGGAGCCGGCGGCGGGGAGCGCGCGAGGAGCCGCCGAACATTGAAGTGGTACCGCTGACCCAGCCGAAAGTCTGGACGGGCGGACCGACGCGCTAGCCTCTGCCGCCGGATAGCCGGACCCAGAACCGAAGCTCTCTCCCCCGCTGAAGGCAGCAGCCAGCCGAAGCAGAGATGTCAGGGAAGGATAAAGACAAAGACAAGGAGAAACAGTCCACCACAGACCGGCTTGTCAAAGGTGAGTCACTGCCGCATGGACAGCGAGACCACCTGTAGCTTCTGGACAAACTTTACACTCTTTGTTCGAATGAGAAGGAGAGAAATTTTTGTTCTTGTTTGAAAAAAGAAGAAAAAAAGTGATTCCTACTTTCTGTTGCTTGGATACACATTTTCTTCTTCTTTCTGTGGCCCTGAATGATGTTTCACCGTGGCATGAATTTGATCAATTGTATAAATATTTAGTTGAGGCGCAGAGGTCTGCATCTGTCAGTCGGTGAAATCGGGGCAGGTTGTTGTTCGAATATGTTCGGCAAGATTTTAAAATGAATTTCACATGAGAGCATCAAGACAACTTTCAAGTGATCGTGGTTGTAGATCTAAGACTTTTACATTCTGAGGAAATTTATGTCCTTCACTTTTCACTTCGGCTTCATAGAAACTGCGACCTCAAAACATAAAAATCTTCTTAAATTATTAATAATGCTAAAAAATGTTTTTTATAAAGTTTCAAATGGAATGTTTGACATTCTTTGATATGTTTTTGCCTGACAGTCATTAGAATAAATGGTTAATTATTTGTTACCTTTTTATTCAAAGAGTCACATTTGTATCTGTTGAATATGTTTTTATGTTTGAAACAGGGAGAGAGACATTCTGCTATGAAACAAAAATACTTACTTTTTTCCTCCAAAATGAATTGTAAAATTTTGAAATGAATATGAATCACTTAACATGCGTAAGGGAACCCACGCCTATTTAAGCATGCATGTCAAATGAAGGGATAAATTATGAACCAACTATTTGGTCAATCAAAAACAAATCTTCAGGAAAACCAAAAGTGGAATTTGTCATATTCAAATGTTAGCAATATCACAACGTTCCTGTTTTAGCAGGAGTGGAAAAAAAATAAAAAATCTGAAACACATTCTGGTTATTTCACATTACTGTCGGGAATCCTGGAAACAAAATTGTGTAATGGTAAATATCTGTGCACAAATAGCAGCTGTAAACTCACTTACTCACCAGGGGCCCCACTAAAACTCTTGTGGCAGAAAACCCCCAAATCAAGGGCCAGAAGAGAACCTCATGGGTTTTCTGATGCTGTTGTGATATTTAGAGAGGGATGACAGGAGGGGGCTGAGCAGAACCAAGAATAAGTCAAAGATAAATGTGCATTCCTCATAGATCCTTAATAGTGACAGATATTATACATATATCTGGCTTGGATGGCCAGTAAATTTATGCTGCTGGCTGTTGTGTTTCTTTGGGTTTGAACATGGTAATGAGCAGGGCCGGATTTACAAGGACGTGGGCCCCTGGGCTAGTGAAAGTCTCAAACCTGTCCTAAAAACATTACTTAGTTCTTTATGACTTTTTTTTGCCAACGTTATTAAGAGCCACTGTGGAAGTGGCTCTGAGGACTAGCAAGACCATGCTACGAGATGTTGGAGCCGTTGTAGATAGAAAAGGAATAGTACAGTACATTTCCACAAAAAACTGAAATTTTTGGATTAATCTCAGAAATGTTCTAGAACAAACTCAGAAACTTCTGAGTTTGAAAAGTTGCCTGAAGACAACTCAGGAGTTTTTAGATTAATCTCAGAAAAAAAATTGCTGAGCTTTAATGAGTTTGAAATGAATTGCTTTTGAAACTCAGCAAACATTTTTTCTCACATTAGTTCCTGCAAAAATGTCAGAGTTTTTTCCAACAATTTTTTTTTCACTTTTCAAACTCAGAAATGTCCATGTTTGTCTTTTTTTCTATCTGCAATGGCCCCAATACGCCATCATATGACCACACCCCTCCCCTTGTTGAACTTTTTTCTCTCAACACACACACACACACACACACACACACACACACACACACACACACACACACACACACACACACACACACACACACACACACAAAAGTCCAGCAAACAAACCAACTTCTTAGCAATCTTTGCTGTCTTATCACAGTTAGCAAAACAAATCTGGTTCCTTCCCGCTCAGCTTGTGGTGGCACTTTGAACAGACATGCCATCATTTGTTGTTTTTGGATCAGAAGGAGAGAAAGGATTCATCTCTGCCCCTGCAGAGGCTGCCTCCTTCACCAGTACCACTACTTAACACCATCGCAGCCCACATCCCGGTCTGTCTGCAGGGGCACTGGGAGAATGTCCTGCCAGAGGACTGGAATGCTGCAGCGTGAGCCAGTGGGGAGAGAGTGAGTTAATTGTGGAAAGAATCTCCCGAGCAATGTTCCCAACATGGCCAGTCACAGTGTGGAGAGGGAGAGGAGAGATAGCGCTGTAAGCTGCTGTTGGGAAACCCCGGGTCATGCAGCTTGTTTTCGATTTTGTACACCACAACCGTCCTAAAGCGAATTTAAAATAAGTTTATTTCCATCTGAAATAAAATAATAATAATAATAATAAGTGAAACGCAACCACTAGAGATCACAGCCTGCTATGCAAGTACGCCCCAGGCTGGCTGATTTAGCTTTCAAGGCTAATACATTCACCGATAATGAGAGTAATCTGAAGTGGACTTCATGATTCATCCGGCGGCGGTACCGCTCCATTCATCTCCACCCAGCCGCATCTTTGTAATTCAAGCCCGGCCTATTGTGGCGATTTGTGAAACAATAGCCACCATATTCTAGAGGCTGGCTCATGTCGCTGTCAAAAACATTATCCTGGACGGACAGCGCGCGGCGGATGGTCTCCTCTTTGTGCCTCGTGTCGTTTGTTGTCATGCCAGACCGGGGGATGAGGGGAGGGGGGCTAGTGGTGACGTGGCGCGCGCGCGTCTGCACTTCTCAAGAGTTCATCCAACATTCATGCTAATTAGGCCAGACGGGCTTTAATAAGAAGCCATTGTCAGGGTGGTGATAGTTGATTATTATATTGTTAGATCATTAGTTTTTAGCTAGCTTAAGCTTTTTCTGGGTTATGTGTTGGGGAGGAAAATTGTGGTTTAGTTCACCCTGTCTGCATACCCCTCCCCCCCCCCCCCCCCCCCACACACACACAGACACGTACAAAACTATTCACACCCCTTGAACTTGACAGCCCAACACAGAGTGCAGGGCCGTGCAGAGATCTTTGGAGGGGCAGGGGCTCAAAGTGAAGAAAAGGCACATTGAAGAAGAAAACACCAAACAACAACATAGAAGCAACCCATATTAATCAATAATTTAATTTGGATCATACTATATCATTGCCATCATGCGGGGCAATGCAAAGCAAATGTAATATATTTTCCCCAACAAGTATAAAGTTGCTGTTTCTGCTGCTGACAGTCCTGGAGGGCTGAGTTGATCTGAGACAGTAGCTGTTAAACAGACCAGAGGAGAGAAGGTCGCTGGTTATGAAGTTATGAAATAAGCAAATTTGCTGCTATTTTACTAATTAAGCCCTATAATATATATTTGACCTCTACAACAACTTGGCTGCAGACTGATTTATAGACCAAAAAAGCTCAAAGGGGTTAACTCAATATAATTTTTTGATGTTAGCACCTCTGAGATCTATTTTTACAAGACTGAACTTTCTAGGCAAAGAAAACTCAGTAGCTGGTGGTAGGAGCCATTCAGCGGACCCTAGAAATGGTTTAATTGTAACATAAACTATATTTCAAAACCTGTTGCGTTCATTTGTAGAGAATTACAGTGTTAATACATTGCATTTTTTCATGCACTCAGCTCAGAAAAAAAGTACATTAATTAGGAAGTTTACTTTGTAAAAGTTTAAAGAATCATCTTGATCATTTGATTGTTGTGTTACCATGGCTACAATATGGTGTAATATTTGGGTTTGGGTTAGTGTACGAATACATCACTGATTTATCACTGTATTCAGTGATTGATTTTAAACTCAGTCAGTAGACCTGGTCTCCCTCTCACAGGTTCATCTTATTGATATTTGAACATGTTAATGATGCTGAAGCTTGTCTGTGTTTACGGCCGAGGCGGATTTTGTCCCGCTATTGCGAGGACAATTACGAAAATACAAATAGCAACAGTTTTTCTTCTTGTTTTGTTTTAATTCACCTTAAATAACTGAAATTTACTGTCACGATAAATCAAAATTTTTATTGCGACTAGAAATTTTTCACGATAAATGATGAACCATATGTTCAGTCGTTCATCATATTGTGAAATGAGATTTTTTTTTCTCGTTTCTCTTCACTTCTTTGTTGTGAACTATCACACAAAGGTGTATTTGGCCATCATGTAAACTTTTGAAATTTTTTGCAGGAATGTCTTCAAGTCTTGATCCTGCATGCAAATAAACCCAGAATTAATTGATTGTTATTATTATTACTATTATTATTGGATGCCCTGTGATGGACCAGTGATCCATCCAGTGTGACCCCGTCTCGCCCGTCGGCCGCTGGAGATAGGCGCCAGCTCCCTTGGCGACCCCACTGGCGATAAGCGTGTTAGAAAATGAATGGATGGATGTTTCTATTGGACAGCAAGAAGGCCACATCTACTTAAGTTGGACTAAGTTTTCAGTCCTTTGCCATTGAGACCCATTATTACAGTCCAGCAAGCGTAATGACTTCCTGCGACCGCTTGTAAATTTTTGTTGAAAACGTCTGCCTGAGTTTTTTTTTTTACAATCCTGATGTGTTCCCCCATTCTTTCTTCAAGACCTTCCAGGTCCTGCTTTGTGTGCGCTCAGGTCCTTTCCCATTATGTGCGGCGAGGCTTTTAAGTAAACAGCCCTTGGATCTGGAAGCCCTCGCTAAGAGAGGCTTTACCTAATCTGTTCTTAAGGCTTGTACCTCAGCTTACAGCTCTCTTCGTGGCCGTGCCTTGTAGGTCTGGGAGCACTTACTGTTTATTTATACCTCACCGGTCAACACATGACAGCTTGTCCTCAGCTCCGGGCGAGTCAAGCCTGGTCCGTGCTGCTGCTGCTGTCTGTGGCCGAACTAACATCAGTTACTGGTAATCCTTCACTTTCAGTCAAACACCGCCTTCAATCCTGTGTTTAGTGCCTGGACTCTATTAGATCAGCTGTAAAGACAAAGTGTCATGTTCTGTGTTTACTATGACAACAATAGAGAACTTGAATCCAGCCAACTATACACTTATACACAGCTTTGATTATGGACAAACACCCACACTAAAACCTCCTTACTGCCGCTTTCAGGTTGCACTTTGATTTACCCTGTGAGGATAAGATAACATTCTTAGTGTCTCTTTTTCTCCTTCCTGTTCTTGTTCCTCGCCTCTCTGGCACAGCTTTTATCACATGGAGCAGTCCTCATCTGCACTGGCTGATATTGGAATATGTGTCACATTTGGTAGCATAGGATGACCTCTGCGCAGACGTTCACATTGATTCGATTATCAGGAGTGTTGGGTCTGACCATCAGTGATGGCAAATACCGTCTGTTTTTTTAATGCCTCTATAAACTGGCTGAAGTAAAGTTTGTTATTCATGCTGCGTTTCTTGTAATCAGAGATCTCACCCAGAAATCGGTCCCTGGTTTTCAGCTCGCTCGGCCTGGATCAGTGGTCGGTTGTTTGCAGGCCAGTGCAGTGGGAGCTGGTGGAAAAAAATCTGATAGATTTCTATTCCAAGTCATACTGTAAAATAACGAGGAGGATTAGATTAGCTAAAAGTAAAATGTCTTCTCACTAACTTAATATACAGTATCTACACATTAAAGCTGGCATATGTAACTTTTATTAAGAGAAAAAAATTATATGTTTTTTTACATATTTATAGAAATATGTAAAAAAATCTGTCACTATGTTGTGACAGTATGGGACAAAAAAATATGTCTCAAAAATCAAGCTCCTCTGTCTTCCAACTAGAAACAGCTAATCAGAGCTAATCACTGCCATCCTTACCCGGGTGTTGCTACTCCCTCAGCAAAGCCTATGGTGAGTGCTAAGGCTAGTTAGCATAGCCACCAATGAAAGCAGATAAATGGTTTTCCTGAAATAGTGAGTTGACTAATATTTAGCTACATATTAGCTAAATGTGCTAATTTAGCACAAAAGCTTCCTTCTGGCTCTAATTGGTTGCTTTTGGTCGGGAATGCTGCATTTCTTCAGATGGCAATAGCAGCACACACAGGAGGTGGAGGAGATCGGTCAGTCCACAGATTATCTGTCTCGTACTGTCACAACATGGTGAAAGTTTCAGGTTCCGTTGAATCGGGGCAAATTAACCCGGATCTGAGTTAAACAATTCCCAAGAAGGATGAAAATTTCATAGGACATCTGCTTTGTTTTATCCCTTTGAACTTTATAAATCTGTGTCATGGAACTCGTTGGATTTAGAAATGTTGTCAGACTTTTCAGAATCTTAGTTAAGTTCGGGGAAGTGGCCCGGTACACACAAACTGTAGCAGGTTTGGGATCTTAGATGGGCCCACCACCTACTACTCTGTAAGTAGTAGGAAATGAGATATTTATCATTTAAAACATGAGTATGCCCCCTTCATGTCTGCTCCATACTTTGGATTTTTAAACTTACCTACTAGAACAGGTTCTGGATGACACTCTTGGTATAGTTTAAACGGTATTATTTCAATTAAATTGAGAATATATAAGCCTGTAGAATTAAGCAACCAATCAATTAATCAGATGACAATTTATAATAAGCTTGATCATTTCAATTTTTCTCATTCATGCTTTTTTTTTATTAACAATTTTGTTTACAAAGGCATCACAATCCATTTAACTTTTTTTTTTAATTTTCTGATTTTGGTTGTTTTGTTTTGGATATTTAAATTTCTGCCAGTTCCAGTGCAAAGTTTTCTGCACAAAGTTAAAGTGTATTGTTCTGTGAGACGGAAAACTTGCTTTATTATGCTATTATCAATATATAATTCAGAAATTGTCTTAAAACAATAATATTAATGTTTATCACATTAATTACTAGGACAATTAATTATCCAGCAAAATTTGTTGTAGAATCAAACACATTTTTTCTAGCATTCTTTAACGGTCCCAATGCATTATTACAGCTTATAATTAACTGGGGAGCTTGTAGTTAAAATTTGAATACTACAGATAAAGCATAGAAGTAAAAGTAGCATAGAACAACTTTTTAAAATGATTTTCGCTTCCAGTGCTAAAATACGTACTGAAATAAGTTTAACTGCTGCGATGTGTCAATGAAGGAAAAATCCAACCCTCCTCCACATTGGGACATCGAACACGTCATTTATTAGATTTTTTTTTGCTTGTTTCTAAATAGATATGTTATGCACACAGTATGACATCGCCCTTGTTTGTTACATAAAGTTTTAATGAGCGCTCAACAGGAATGAGAAAGATTTTCGAAAGCTGTTGTAGTTCTAGGATTTCTGATCGCCACATCCACACGTCAGGCCATGAAGCAGTGGCATAAAGCTTTGGCTGTCTGGTTTGTTATTAGCCTCTCACTATAATCCCTTCTAACTGTTTCTGGTGGTAGAAGTGAGAGAGCCTGGATCACTCTCTGACACTCTCACTCTCTCTTTGATTCGTTTGGGCGAGTCCAGAATAACCTGCAGACAAAGCGGCTGTCATTGTTGAAGCACAGAGTGGCTATTATTTTATAACCAGGAGTTGGACTCTCCTAACGACGACACACTTAGCATTTGTGACTCTATCTTGCTGCCATGTGAGGGAGAGCATTAGGTAATCAATGTCCTTCTAATTGTCAACAAGCTCTTATCAGAAGGCACTGAGTGGCTCTCTGAGGCAGAGAGCTACTGTTTTTGCGGGAGCTGTAAGTGCACCGCCATCCCAACGCTGGAATTTTCTCCGTCAGGCTGTTCAGTTTTACTTGTGCACTTAACAGCTTTTTGATCATGAAACACTCGGGCCTGAGCTTCGAAGGCGCTGACCTTTGTGATGGCAGTAAAAGGATTGTGTAGGTGGTGCAGAGCAGCTTACCTTACAGGGGTATGGGGTCAGTTTGTGTGTGTGTATGCTTTTCACATCCCTCACCTGGACGGAACATGAAGTGTTTGCCTCTCCACTTCTGGACGGTTATGATGGAAATGTGCAATTTTTTTTTTTTTTTTTTTTACAAGTTTGATGGATTGGATTGTTTGTTCAAGTTTCGAACTTAATCAAGTTCAGATTACGATCTGTGATTAACTGCAATTTTGTAGAGTTAATTAACAATTAATCGCATTAATCGTGATATACCGATTATTGAAATAATTTTCAACTAATTTAACTAGTTTTGCTTTTAACCTTTTGCTTTTAACCTTTTTCTTAATCACCCACTGATTAGTAGAATAATCTATTACTAAAATAATTGTTAGTTGCAGCTCTAGAGTTAATAGAGCCCAAATGTAGCATAGAACAATTTTAACAATTATCAGTTATTTATCAATTAATCCAAAATGAATCATGAGATCAGCTCTACAGTGTATAGATATTCATTTCAGCAGAAATGTTTAACTTTTTCACATGTTGATCTTTTATCTGCAGATGCATTGTTTGCATATTAGGCAATAAAAAGTTTATTTTCCTGTGTGAAATAAAATAAGTTGTTTATGTGCATCTTTTAATGCATTTCTAATAGTGTTTTAAAAATGGCATAGGTGTTTTAAGAGTTTCCATGAAAAAGCTGCATCAGTAATGAACAGGCACTGTAATTTTTTATTTTTTTTTTAGCAGAATGCACTCTTTGTTATTTCTCTGTAAATTTGCGGATTGTTTCAGGGCTCAAAGCAGTCTCCTTGTACATATTCACTATAATAACGTCTGTTTTCTTTGTCCTCCAGTTGTGCCGTACCCTCCACAGCATAAGCTAACGACAAAAGAACTGTTTGAAGACGGAAAGCCCAATGCAGAGCTGCTCCGCAACCACCTGGTGAAAGAGGGCCGCGTGGAAGAGGACGTGGCCCTGAAGATTATCAACGACGGGGCCAACATCCTGCGCCAGGAGAAGTGCATGCTGGAGGTCGAGGCGCCCATAACAGGTAAGGCAGCACAGTGAGCAGAGCCTGTACGTGGTTGATGCAAACTTTACACAAAGCCGTAAAAGTATTCACACCTTCTGAAGTTTTTCTCTTGAATTTTATATATGGAAAGACAGAACTGTGCGAAATGGAAATACGCACAATATACACAATATAAATCTGAAAAGTGCAGCTTCAGATCTTGTAGAGGTATGTCTATGTCAGTTTTATGTCTAAGATGTCACAGCCACAAACCTCACCTAGAATTGGTCCTGAACTTTGACCTGCAGTTGAACCTTTTGGCCATGTGACCCAAATGCTTTTGGGGAACAAAATAAAAACATTTGTCTTTTTTAATTTTCCCCAAAATATAGTGATATTTTTACTTACATAATGAACAATAAACTGCAAATGAAATATTTTAGTGAAGCTAATAAAGTTGCAATTTTTGTGGGGAAGGATTTAAATTGTCACATTTAAAACATAGAGAGGGTTTTTAAAAGTTTGCCACATGAAAAGAAAGTGTCCCTTTCTTTTGATGCGGAGGGAGGAGTCGACTGATTTCTATTTTATTGACGATTCTCAGCAACAGCAACATGATTTGGGTCACTGTCTTTATTCACGCTATTTAAATAAGTTTAATAAAAAAGTTAAATGCAGACTTGGCTCTGCTTTTTAGATCAAGTCGGTGAATATTTGTTGTCTCATTTACAACGAAATTGAAGAAAGCGCAAAAGTTTGAAAGAAAAAGTTCATCTGCATCAAATTAATTTCTGTTTATTTCTTCTTCTATATTGGTAATCTCACTGAGATGGAGCCTCATTCTCAAAACAAAATTGTACCAAATATAAAATACTTATAATGATACACAGAGGTCATTTAATACCAGGTTAGCTAACTTGTAGTGCAGAGTTAATGGAAGTTAATGGAAGGCTCTTGAACTGTGATATCCAAGCAGATGTTGCTTCCAGTGCGTTGCTTTGGATTGCAGTATTGTGCACTTTGACTTCAGGATGACAATTTTAATTTGATAGATTTTTAGATATCTGTGTAATCTGAGGTAATGGGATGTATTTTCATCTGATGAAGTTTGATGGTGTCAAACTCTGAAAAGCTTTTGGAGATTCTGACAGATTCAAAGTTCAGTTCCTCTAAAAGCAGCACTTTCAGAGTGTTTTACATGCAGTCATTTATCGACTTATTGATTTCAATGTGTTTCATTCTGCACTGTATTGTAGTTGACATAATTTATCAAGAACTTGAACAGCAATTGCAGTTTCTCCACCGATGTTTAAAAAGTCTGACTAGCCAGTTCCGATTTTGCCCGTTTTGCGTTTTTTGTGTGTGAAAAGTCACTGGATCTAGCAAGCTGGCCGCAGTAGAATGACTGTTGTTTACTTGCTGGTAGTTGGAAGAAATCCAAGTCAATTGGAGAAAGATGATACAGTGAAAGAAGACGAGTATCTTGCAGAATATTGTTGGTACGCATTGGCTAAGCTAATTTATCGTGTTTCCCTTATAGTTTCTGAAATTGTGCATAGGAAATATATAATTATTAGTGACGCTCGTTTAGCAGTAGGCCTGTTAGGATAACAACTTTTACTGGACGGTAAATTATTCCAGAAGTTATTGCAATAACTGATAATATTGTTGTTTTGAGACCATTTTTAAGTAAATTATTGATAATGGCACATTTAAAAATCTACATCTCACACCAAATTGTGTTGAATAAATGTGTTGACATCTATTAAAAAAGTAGGCAGGTTTAACAAAAAAATTATTATTGCATATTTAAAAAGCAATGTAATGCATATTTTTAAAGTAATTTTTTTATTTATTTTTTTAAAAAAATTTTAAGCCTTTTGAAAAGCTTCTCTTAGGGCTTCTCTTTGGCCCTAAGACAACAATTCAGTTCTGAAGGCTTGCTCTGTCTTTCCAGTGTGCGGCGATGTCCACGGACAGTTCTTTGACCTTATGAAGTTGTTTGAAGTCGGAGGCTCTCCCAGTAACACGCGGTACCTGTTCCTCGGCGACTATGTGGATCGAGGTTATTTCAGTATCGAGGTAAGCTAGAATCACATTACAATTCATAAGGGGGTCAATGCATATCAATAAGTTCCATAAGTTTTTGTGAATCAAGGTAGCAGTTGTGTGCTTTAATATTATATATCAATCAACTCAAAGCAGTTTTTGTCTGCCAAATTTAAATGGATTCTTAGTCAAGAATCCTCCTTCCTGTACCATGGTTGAAACTTCTGTCTGCAGTCCTTTCGTGAACGCTTCATCATTTGTTGAAACTAAAACAAACTTCTGTCATATGGAAAACTCATCTGTTTCTACTTGACTTTACATCAGCTCATTGTAGGGCTGATCTGTTCATTATTTGAGTAACTGATCAATAATTTGATGCAAAATGTGCTCAGTAAGAGATTTGATTCCATAATCTGAACCAGGTGAATCTAAAACTGCCACTTGTCGAGATTTCTCTAGGAAGAATTTATACACAAAGGTGCTTTTTTAAAAATATGTATCTAAATGCAAAATTTGTATATTTTTGTACAATTTTGGCAAAATTACAACTCTTCAGCAAATGGGCTTTTTTGAGTCTATACACTCCAAGTTAATCATAAATGGATTAATAAATTATTTGACGGTTATTTCTATAATCAATTAATCATGATCGCTTAAGCCATGCTTTTTATATGAATAGGCTCTATGCATTATGTTAAAGGACACATTGGTAATGAAATTTAAATAAGGTAGTCTCTAATTTTTCTGTAGTGTAGGTTTAGTTTTTGCTGTTCAAAAAAAACATTGTCTTTCTAAGGCTAGCAACGAGGTCTGCCTGAAACCTTTTAGAAATGGGAATGAAAGTGGAAATGGTCACATTTACCACTGATAAGGTCACCAGTTGCCCACTCTGCAAGTTTGTTTCCATGGCATTATGATCAGGGTTGCTCTGGTCTGCATTTAGCAGCATAATGCTGCCATCAGACGAGGTCAGCTGACTTCTAATTAGGGACTCGTTGCAGTAACATTGATATCTGCTGAGGGAGAGGAGAGAGTTAGAGAGTTGCCACATGGAGGAAAGGTGGCAGCTTCTCCTTACTGTAAGGCTGTGTTCTTCACCATCACATGAACGCTAATAAGATGGATATAGTGGGAAGCATTACAGGACACAGTTACCTTGGTAACAAGGAGCCGGTTTTGTCTCGTCGAGCATTGCATTGTCGCTGAAGGCCAGCAGTTTTCCAAAAGTCTAACATTCAGAGCATGTTAGAGCTTTGGTTTTTTTCTCTTTTCTTCTTCCTCTTATCTTAACTGAGAAAATTCCCCTTTAACCTCTGAGAATTTGTCTGTTGCTGTTAGCTTTTAGCTCTGCCTCTGCACATAACGCTGATGTGCATCACACACAGAGAATCTCACATTAAAGCACATGCCTCCACGCCCACAGCCCCCTTAACACGTTTCCAGAAACGTCCCCTCCCGATTCTCTTCCTTATGACCGACATGAAAAGAAAACCTTGTTGTACCCTGCCCCCCCTCAGGCCCCTCTCTCCTTTTTATGAACATTGTCAGTTACGTGAGTACACACCTGCTGGCTCTTGTTTCCTTGGCATCTTGTTCCAGCGACTTTAATAGCTGGCTCTGGTTGGTGTGCATGTTAAAGGAGTGGGCTGAGAGTGACAAGTGGCAGCTATTGAACGGCGCCTTGTCTGAGCTCGGAGTAGAAAGCTGCCTCATTTGGATTGTAAATGTTGCTCTGCTCTTTCTTTATTTTCTTCTTTCTTATTTTTAATTGGGACCTCTTGTGTGTTGAGAGGAAACATATTATTGGTTCTAATATGAATTGAGTTGGTGGCAGATCAACAAATTATTGTTTGTATGGTCAGACCTGCCTCCACATGTTGGTAGTTCGAACTGTTTGTCATTTATTTATTAAAGTTTGTTATTTTAGTAGTGACTTCCAGGACTTTCTTATATTTTGGTTTCTTCTGGGATAAATAGGTTTTATGTTTTACATCACAAAATCAGCTCTCACACTCTAGGTGAAGAAGGTTTAAGATAAATTCACCTTTTAAGCCACTCATTCTGAAAAATTAAGAAAAAACTCAATCTTGCATGGGAAATTCATTTTCTTTTCTTATAAAGATAGGGATGGAAATTGTAACGTGATAATTTTGAGAAACTCACAACTTTTTTTAAATTTTTTAACAGAATTAATACAAATGTTTCTGCCGAAAACATTCTAGTCGCACATTTCTGCGATGGATAATAAAGCTGCTTCTCTGGGTACATTGGGTCGATTTTTCTTTCCAAAACCATCAGAGGGGACACTGGAAAAGACTATTGTTGTGTTGGAATTGTACTAAAAGAAGTTATTAAAGACTAAAATAGAATCTCAATGCTAAACATGGAGCAGCAGCAGAGGTGTTCCCAATGCTAATGGCATTTCTAAAGATAGATTTGTTTTCAAGAAAGTCACAGTAACACCTAAAAGATGGGTTTGTATAACACCACTAAGCACCAATCTGATGGTTGAATAATCAAAATAAACAGATTAAAAACAATAAATATCTTTGTTGATGAGCTCATGTATGTTTGTTCTATAATGTATCAACAAAAATGGTTTTGGAATGGAAAATGTCGCTTACTTTTGATTGCAGTTTTTGATTGAAATATAATTATTTGAGATTAAGGAATTAATTACATTCCTGCAATTAACTTGATTACAAATTAATCAATAGTGTATTTCTATAAACAACATACAATTTTGGCTGTTTATGGCAGCAACAGTCACCCTTTTAAAATAAATTGAACAGATTTGTTTACATTTTACTTTTGTTAAAATAACCACTGTAGGCTTGTGTATCTGATGACAAGCTTCAGGAACTGTTTGAAGTGCTGGGAGATTTTCAAAATAAACTGTCTGCTGTGTTCCCACACCTAATACCTGTAGAAAATCTGTGGGCTGAGCTGAAGAGAAGCAAAGATAAGCGAGAAACCAGGACTCTGGTTGGCCAAGCTTGAATGGCCAAAAAAACATTTCTGTACTCATCCTTGTGAAATGTTATAGTAGAGAACAAAATACTGTCCTAGTGGCAAAGTATGAAGGGCAATAGAAACAATGTGCACATATCTTTGTCGCTATTTCGCGATTGCAGTGTTTCCATTAAATGAGAAATTAAATTAAAATCACGTGAATAAGCTTGCTCATACGATAAGTCATTAAAAATCATGGCAGTGGCAGACATAAACAATTACACAATTCGTTCATCATCCTATCAGCCAATCAGAGGAGACGTCAAAGTCTTATTCAGGCATTGGAGCGACTCACTCCTTTTATGTAGCAGCGACTACGTATGTGGCATTTTGGGGATTTCATAGTTACAACATGTTGGAATGACACTACTTTTTCTGAACTGTGCGATGCCATGAGGGTTCTGGTGGATCCAGCTTTTCGGACTCATTGGTCCAAAGAAAACCAGAACAAACCATCATTGTCGCCTTTTTTGTCGTTTCTGCCAGTAGTAGCATCCGACTGTAGATCACGTGACTCGTGTGATCCGATAAGTGTTTTCTATGCAGTTTTACGAAATAGATCTGTTGTGGTATGACTGAAAAACCACCTCATTCTAGTGCAATTATTTTTTTTTTTTATCGAGAAACGTCAACTTTCTCTAAATCGTTTCTATTGAACAAATTTATTTTCAATTTCCGCAACTCCTTGGTGAGTGGAATTGAAGCTATTGGTGGCAGAAATTGTACAATTTGTTTTTGTTCACCACTGGTGTCTGACAAATAAATAACTATGTCTTGAATATTTAGTCTTCAGAGCATAACAATGAACCTGATGCCCAAAATGCCCCTGTTCCACTTTCCCAACATGTCTCTCTGCAGTGCGTTCTCTACCTCTGGTCGCTTAAGATCAACCACCCCACTACGCTCTTCCTCTTGCGTGGGAACCACGAGTGCCGGCACCTCACCGAGTACTTCACCTTCAAACAGGAATGTAAGTGCACCACTTTCCTCCATGTCAAGGCTAGGCAAACTAGTGTGCTCTTACACACTTCGTACCACTTCATAGTAGCTAGTTAATTGTGGCACCTGCTGACCTATCGGCTAACAAGCTTTAACTAGGACTAGCATGTTTGAATTCTGTTTGCTGATATTTTCATTTTCTTCTGATTGGGTCGTTGTTGAAGCTGAGAATTTGTTCTGAAGCAACACACCTGGTTAAGTAAATAAATAAACAGTTTTGAAGTTTTGACAGATTATCAGCATGAGCGTCCCAACGGAAGAGACAACTTTCCTTTTCATGTTGCTGGAGAATGAAAAGCAGCGGAGCATGACACTGTTTTTCAGTAGAGCTGCACACCGACTGAGTTCAATCTGCAGCAGCTGTGTGTGTGTGTGTGTGTGTGAATGTGTGTGTTTTGTCTTCATGTACTTAAAGCTGATGTGTAAGTCTGTCACAATAAGCAATTAATTGCATGATAAATTAAACTGAGTGCAAATATTTTAATTTGGACACCAGTGGTTAAAGAGATGCTCCTCTGAGAAACGCTGTAAACATCTGACACGCAGGACAAAGTAGCTAGTTTGCACAATTTACATGAATATGTGGACACCTCTGATGTGTTGCTGTATGCACGCCAGAGAAATTACATTTCATGACTTGAAAGTGAAAAATGAAATCCAGTGACTTTCCAGACTTTCCATGACCGGCACAAACCTTTTGATTGATTTATTCACAAGGTACTTGCCTGGCAACAGGGGCAGGCAAGTACTTCACTTACATTTAAGAATTTATTTAAATTATAAAATAGCTAGATTTAAAGCAGTGGTCAGTCCTAAAGTCACCTAAAGTTATACAGTCAGTTACTAAATGAGATTTCCAAATTCAGTTTTTTTCACCTCCAGTGTTAATCATGTACATCAAATTGCTGTGGTTCTGTTGCTCCCTAAAAGGCCGACTTCCTCCTGACCTAATCGGTAATCTGTGATTTGTCGTCATGTATTTATTGGCAGGTAAAATCAAATACTCTGAGCGGGTATATGACGCCTGCATGGAAGCCTTCGACTGCCTGCCACTCGCTGCCCTGCTCAACCAGCAGTTCCTGTGTGTTCACGGGGGACTCTCGCCAGAAATCAACTGCTTAGACGACATAAGAAAAGTCAGTGGTCTACCATCCCATCGTTGTTCAGTCCAAGTCCCACCAATATATCAAATCTATCTATGTGTGTTCAATAGTTAGATAGATTTAAAGAGCCACCAGCGTTTGGGCCGATGTGTGACCTGATCTGGGCTGACCCTGGTGAGGACTACGGCAGCGAAAAGACATCCGAACACTTCAATCACAACTCTGTCCGAGGCTGCTCGTACTTTTTCAGGTATTTTGGTTCTTTCGCTGCACACTAAACAGCTTTTTTGTGAAATAAACAACCCATTTTTTCTAAGAAATAAAACCTAGTAAAAGACCAGGTATAAACTGTAATGGATAGATATTTTGATGATGAACTTTCAAAAGGTGCTTTCTGAAGTTTGGGTTTACTCATTAAAAAGAAGCTACAAATCTGTTGTTGTCTCACGATTTGTTTCCAAATCGATTTTTGATTCAAAACAATTATCACAAAGATCTTTGGTTTAATCTATGGCAGTGTGATGTATCCTCATGATCTACCCCCGTCTGCTTTGCAAGGCAGAATGACAAGATGTCTTGTTCAATCTATTAAGTTTTAAATATTAATCAATGCTTTGGTAAAACGACTCCCTGCTTTCTCAGGTTTTCTTTAGCGAAGTGTCACAAAGATACAGTATAGGTTTTAGCCTTTTGACAGTCTATGTCGTTACTCAGAGAAGAATTGAAAGTATGTACTTTTTTTTGTCACCGCGTTGGATAAACGCTCCACATTCACTTTGTCAGTGGATACAAAAATCAGAGCTGAAACAACCCAGCCCTCTGTTGAACAGTATTAAATGATAATTAGATTAATCTTTTTCTTAAAACCTGCATGATAAAAAGTTTGGATAAATTTATTAACATATATATATAAATATATATATGTTAATAAATTTAGTTGTACGCTTTTATGGGCACGTTTGTTCTTGGCTGTTTTCACGTTTATTGCGCTGTCCATATTATTCTTCATGTTTGGAGTTTGTTGCCGTGCAACATGAAACTTGACGTCATTCACAGCACATATATTACCTTGACATTAAAAAAGACACAGTGGGACAGATAATCCGGGAAGGACAGGGAGAGCCTGACTAAAATGATCTGGATATCTGACAAATTCTGGGGCTTTGCAGTGGTTCAGCGGACAGTCATGACTTTCAAAGTAACGAACAAATCAAAGATGGCGAGATTTGACTTGGATGTAACGTGTAACGCAACGCTTTATGAAATGTAGCGAAGTAGAAAGTACAGATACTCACTGTAAAATGTAATGGAGTAAAAGTCGAAAGTACCCACTATTAAATCTACTTAAGAAAAATTTAGATGCATGAAAAATGTACTTAAATACTGGAACTAAGTCCTTACTTTGTTACATCCCACCACTGACAATATGGGGTACCTCAGCTCAGCTGTAGCATTTGCTGTGTTCTTGAAGTGCCCAATGTTCATTTTGCGAGAGAAACCTCATATCTAGCTCGGTCTTTCTGGAGGTTCTGTAAAAATCAAAATGAATCAAAATGTTTGCCTTCAACGAAGACGATTCCAGATGAATCCCTCTCTTTTTTTCCTTTTTATTTTGTAGTTTCTTGTTTATTGTGGTGCTTTCAGCACAATGCATATGTTCCAGTACCGTCTGCGTGGCAACATCAGAAGCTCCCACATAGTTACAAAATGGAGGCCAACAAACGGCAAATTTGTTTCATTTCTTTATGTTTTAAAATCTATTTGGGGACATTAATAAGTGAGAATTGTGATTTTATGGAACATTGCAGAAAAACAAAAAACATTCTTCAGAAAGAGAAGGTGTCCAATGCGCACTGCAATCCATTTTTCCTTCCAAGTCCCTCTAGGAGCTCCGTACAATTCTTATGTGAATAATTTTTTTATTTTTATTTTTTGCACACACCTATTAAGAAGGTTGGTTCCAGACGAAGTATGCACATTCAGCAGGGCTTCACAAATAGGTCAACAGATGCACTTTGTTCTGTATATTTAGTGAAAATGGGTCAGTAATAGTCAGCCACAGACTGGAGATGTGGCATTTTCTGGGTAAAAACATAACCAGTCACTTTCAGAGATATAAATCAGTAATTTGAACAAGAAAAAAATATATTGAATAAAATATGCTTATCATTTTTCCAAAGCTCTGAAGTAACAGTTTATGTTCTTTTTATAATATGATAATCAAGAGATACGGATATGTTTTATAACTAGCAGCTGTAAAGAGTCAGTCAGGTAATTGATTTCAAGCGGTATTATGTTGTTTCATGTAATGCTTTTAAATTTGTGAAAAGCTTTGACCTTTTTTTTAATGTTATGACATCGTTGTCCTCTTTTCTTTCTTTTGTTCTTTTCTTCCTTTGCAGCTACGCAGCAGTTTGTGACTTTTTGGTAAATAATAACTTGCTCTCAGTAATAAGAGCCCATGAAGCGCAGGATGCAGGGTGAGTTCTATGCTGTGCCTTTGAAACGCGCTCACACTGTTTCACCTTTTGTCACGAGTTAACCTCGAGCTTCAGAGTGTTACAAGGGATTACATGTGGTAGAGCCGTGCAAAGTGTTGCATTGGTTGTAAGTTGAAAGAAAAATTAGCAGGTCTTCAAACTTGTCTGGAAGTCAAAAATTTGAAAGTGTGACAATATCAGGCATTTTATTAATTCATTTTAATTAAAAATTAAAAGAAAAATCTTTAGAATAAGCCAGTTCCTTTAGTTTTTTTTTCATCAAATTACTCAATCATCAGAATAATTCATTAGAATATTCAATTACCAAGCTAATTGTTGCAGCTTTTCTTTAACACACACTGATAACGGATGGACAAATTTAGCTGAAAGGAGGTGCAGACTTCCGCTTTCATCATCTCCATGGAGATGGAGAGAGAAAGTAATCAAACTTTTAAAATATATTTTCACTCCTTAATTTATGTAGTAGGCAGGCCTATCACAATAAACAATAAATCAATTAATCACATAATAAATAATCACATAATCAATAATTTCCATTTGCATGATTCAGCATTTTTTGGATGATAAAAGTTTTCCAAATTCACCTGTCACATTTACTTTTGGTGTTTCGACTTACCATGGCGACAAAAAGGGTGAAAAACTTTGTGCAAGGACCACATTCGTGTGGCTCAAACCGCTGCATGCCCACCAATAGCATAATTATATCAAAATGTGCGAGTTGATCTCCAAAAGGGAGCCGCTGCATCTGTTGCCATTTTGAGCTAATTTTACACTCATATCTGCATTCTACTGTAAATGGAGTAAGTCCATGTTAGTCAACATAATAATGATACTCCACATGCTATTGACTACATTTTAGTTCACCTGAGCATTGTTGCTAATTTTCACCTTCAGAATGTTAGGTTAAAGCATAACACTTTTAAATTTCCGCAGAAATGTTCTAGTTTTGTTTTATTTATTTCTATTACTTTGTTTATTTATTTTGTATATTTAAAATGTCGTCCAATTCCAGTGGCAAATGTTCATCAAAATTTAACGTTTATATCTGAGAATGTGTTTCTGTATTATTGTACAATTGTCATAACTTGAAGATAATCTCAAAACAACATTATTGTTCATTACAGTAACTGCCTCTGGGATAATGTATCATCCAGCAAAATGTATTACGTTGACAAGTGAAGTAATACATTTGTATGCATTCTTGATTTTTCATAAGTTTTAAGTTTAAATGGAGCAGATAAGCTGCATCAATAGCTACCATAGTTGTGCTGATCAGACGGTGCTAAATAGCGAGTTTTAACTGGATTGAAGGAGCCTCTCCACCCCGTTTGCCTTTCTGAAAAATCCATTCTACCTAAACATTTCCAAACAGTTTAAAATACCAGTCTGTGGCTTTTACATCATAACCTGTATGGAACAGTCTGACACTGATGCCTGTTTGGTCTGATTTCACTGCTGTTGATCACATGCTGGGCTCTACTCTTGTGGTGGAGGAGATTTGTGTATAGGAGACTTAATCAACATAAACGGCCCAGTTTTAGACTCTACAGGAGAGATCTGGAGCCTTTACAATCCATTTAAAGGCTCCAGATCCAGATGTATGTTTAATCCACAAATGTTACATGACCTTTAAAAAAGAAAGCTTCACCGTTTTTGCTAATTATCTCAAGACGTTTTGTCATTTTTGCAAAGAGAAGCTGTTTATTTTTTAATAAACAGAAAAAATGCTTTTTATTTATCTTCTCACATTAAATCCCATTGAGTTGTTTCGGTTTCATGTGAAAAGATTACAGCAGTATGTGAAATGTTCCGGCTTGGTGAACTGATGATCTGACTTTCTTGTTTTTTCCCCAACAGGTACAGGATGTACAGAAAAAGCCAGACTACGGGCTTCCCATCATTAATCACAATCTTTTCAGCTCCAAATTATTTAGACGTCTACAACAACAAAGGTTTCAACCTTTTCTTTTTGTTTTGTCTTTTTCCTGTTGTTTATTTTTTATCTTTATTTTTTCAATTCTAGTCATTGCATTGACTCCTGCTGTACTTTATGTTCATCTCAGCTGCTGTATTAAAATATGAGAACAATGTGATGAACATCCGACAGTTCAACTGCTCCCCCCACCCCTACTGGTTGCCCAACTTCATGGATGTCTTCACATGGAGTTTGCCTTTTGTTGGAGAGAAAGGTGAGTTTGTAAATGAGGAGGCAAAGAAATGCATTTAAACGTGAAAAACTACATTTTTAAAAGTTTTCATATTGAGACATTTGTTTTAGTTTTGATTACTTTTGTTACTTTTTGGACATCGACATTGATTTTCTGTTTTGCCTGAAAGCTGTTGCAAAATATTCCAGCTTAATCCATTTCACTGTTGATTAAAAAACATCATTTTATAGTTGAAAAATGTAACTTTAATCATTTACATCTGAATTTGCCTTTTCTCTCGCAGTGACCGAGATGCTGGTGAATGTATTAAACATTTGCTCTGATGATGAGCTCATGTCAGAAGGAGATGACCTGTATGAAGGTAACCTAATGACAAAAATGACATTCAGCAGAACAAACTGTCAATTTCCTCTGAATTTGGCCATTTTGTTCCCTATTGGCCTGAATGGAAACAAGCTGGTAATATTTCAATTGTTAGCCTTCAGTAAATTGGCCCAAAAGAAGAGATTTAGGTGACATCACAACTTATTAGATCCTTACTTGGGTTCTGTCAGTCTTTTAGTTGTTCATTAGTGAAGCTGACATGGCCATTCTGTCATTAGTGCCAAATCAGTTTTGACCCTTTTAAAGCTGAGTTTGAAGTGTCAGCACTGAGTTGATGGTTTTATCTGGAGGAGGAAAAAAAACACCACAGAAACTGTTCAGTGTTTCTTGTGATTAAATTAAAAACAAAACTTACCTGACATCTTTTAGAGCTCTTCTGCAGCTCTTAGGCCGCTCATCTATGTTTTCATCTCACAAATTGGTGTAAGCAGAATATCTCTAGAGCGGGGAGTAAATAATCGTTGCACTGTCTGCACTGTTTCCAGGTGGCACATCGGCAATGCGCAAGGAGGTGATCCGGAACAAGATTCGTGCCGTGGGAAAAATGGCACGAGTTTTCTCAGTTCTCAGGTCTGATTCTCCGATCAGTGCTTTACTTTTGTTTGTTTGAAATTTTACGTTGTTGCATCTAGATATGGATCATAATCAGTCCTGTGGTTTCTTTAAAATACACTGTTGACAGTGGTGGGCAGTGCTAATTAAAAGGTTTGTTTCCCTAACCTTAAAGCACTAATCACAAACATTTGTCACGCTATTGCTAACGAGCCATACCACTGAGGTACATAGCATAAGCTAGTGCTAATGTGCTAACTTCAACCATGATGAAACCCATTATGTGTCAGGACATGTGTTAAAAACACATCAACCTCAACGAGATCAAATTTGTCATTGCACACCAGGAAGTGTGCAATTGGAACATGCCTTTAACTCCTGGTCCCAGGTTGATTTTTTTATATACATATTATAATATATTGGTATAATATGCTTCTTTATTATTTTTTGTAAATATATTTCTACTTCCAAGTATTTAGAACAAAAAACTAATTTCCATCTACTTTGTCTTTATGTTCAGATATTGTCTATGTCTGAAAAAAAGTTATTCTGGTTAAAACAGAGCGCTTGGTCAGAGAAAACAGAACTGCAGTCTTAGCAGTCGATAATCAACACCACAAGCGTACAAAACAATCAAGTAAATGTGCGTGTTAGGATTTATCTGGAAAAATGAATTCAGGGGAAACAGATAGTTACTTTTTTCAAACTTAGCAAAATTGCTGTAGCACAAAAAGAAATTAGCTCTGCCTTTAACACATTAGCAGAAATGAACCAAAAATGTACAACAGCGACAATCGTTTATATAGAGCACATGCAAGAGTGCTCCAATTCGAAGATCGTTCAAATTTTACTTTTGGTTGATTTTTACAATTCATCCAAATCTTAGATTTTATGTGTAACATTTTTAAATGGGGAAGGCAAGAGCAGAGATGTGAATCAAAATCATTGTGAAACTCTGGTAATCAGCCCTTGAAAACACTGCTTCAGCTTCACAAGTTAACCTGGACACATGTTAGCATTTTTGGTTTCAGTGCAATGTGACTTTTCTACGAGGAGGTGCAGGGGTCATTAACCCCTGATGACTGACTTTTTGACCTCAGGACTGTCTGCTGTCTCTGCGTCTTTCTGCATCCTTCTTCACTGCAAAGTGACCTTTTTGTGTCTCTTTGCTTGGTTTTAGGGAGGAGAGTGAGAGTGTGCTAACGCTGAAAGGCCTCACCCCTACTGGAACTCTTCCAGTGGGAGTGCTGTCCGGGGGGAAGCAGACTTTACAGAGCGGTAAGTTCACTCTAACTCAGACTAGCTAGCTGCTGTGCTGCAGAAACGTACCCTTCAAGGTAGATTGGTAAATGTCATATCAAAAAGTCTCACACTTGGTCATTAACTGTTTTTTGTCAAATACACATTTTGTTGATCATGTTTGATTTGTGATATCAGTAAAAAGAGTTAAACATCCAGGAGGCTGAATACTTTTTAAACCTTGTGAGCATAAAGATAGAGGAAAATGGAAAAGCCTGCGTTTGTCCTTATTTAACAAAGCCCACTTCAGCCCGGCTCAAGCTGTGATATTGTTTATGTAATCTGTACTAATATAGCAAGTGTTTGCTGCTAGATGTGGGAGAATATTTCTTGGCAGCCACTCACAGTGTCACTTAGTAAATAAGTGTAAATACCAAAATGTGAATAGTATTCCTACCAAAAGGATCAGTGTTAATTATGTTGTTGAGTGCAGAAGAACTTTGCTTTTCCTCATTTTGTCACAGTACAACCACAAACTTTCATGTATTTTTAATCTCATTTACATGACAGGGAAACACATTTGGGTTCCGTGTTTAAGAATTGGATTCTAAATGTTGTGTATTTGGGTTTGGGTCCCTTTAAGAACTAAGTAATGTTTATTGATATAGATCAAGTTTTTCCCTAGTGTATCATATAGCTGGTGAGCCAACAGACTTTACTTTGACCTCAATCAGGCTAAGTATGGTGTGTTTAATTATGTGAGTTTTTTATGTTTGGCTTTTTTAAGACTTTATAGTTGGTGCTTATGTATTATTAAAGTCTTCCAATAACGCATCATTAGAAGACTTTAAGGTAAAAATGATTCTTTAGAGTTGCAGACTTCTGATCTAATTAGAGGTGGGAAACGATTGAGACTGAGGGAGAAAACATGGGCGACCAGCTGAACCTGTAGAGGAGAAAATTATTTAAACAACCAGGAGGTTCACTATTTCAAAAAGTATAGCCACGTTTTGACATGACACGACTCATGGATGGTCCAGTCAAAGTCTAGACTTGAACCAAACTGCCATTTAATTATTATACAGCAGTTTGTGGTTGTAAAATGATTGAAGGCAGAAAAACCTAAGAGTCGTAAATACTTGGTAAACTTTCCTGACGTTATTAATTCTAGACCTGCTTAAATGACTTCAGAATGTTTTGATACACCTTTGTTTTTTGTCGCAGTTAGACTTAAAGGCAGGAAAGGTATGATTCTCAGTTACCAGATGAACCCGTTTGCAAAAGAAGCTAAAAGCAAAATGAAGGGTTTTATTTTGACATGCTGTGTGTTGAAGGCCAGCTTCCTTCCCCCACTCACCTCTTTGAACGACTCCAGATCAATGACAAGAAACGCTGGCTAAACTTTGTTTCAAGCCCCATGCAGTGGAGGGTTTTTTGGAGTTGTCCGTGTTTTTGCGGGTCAGCCTGTCACCTGGAAGTGGTTGGTGACCCTTTGATCTAAAGGCCAGTGCTCCGTGCGGGCCGCCAGAGGACACGCTGGGAGCCACGATCGGCCATGTTGGAAGCTTACAGAAGCTGCCGAGCGATCGAAGGAGAAACCACATGTTGTGACCTTTCACAGAATGCCACGGTCCATGTCAGCTCGGCTCACCACGGCTTTCAGAGCAGCCAGGGCACTTCAACGTCAGGGTTTATTGTCAGTTTTTTCTTAAAGCTCAGATTCGTGTTTCAAATGTTTAGTTTACACTAATCTGGTGAAATACTAGGGAGAATTTCTTTTCTCATCTTTGATTTTCTCCTTCAGCGAAGGAACCTGTATCCAGCAGACCACAGTTAATGCCATATCTAAATAAAAAAAATCACCAAAGAAAAGCAGACTTTGTAATAAATAAGGTTCAGACTGCAGGTAAACGCCACCAGCTATGAGTGTCTGCAGTCTGAACGTCGCATTTTATCCAGCTTTTACGTCACTGCCAAAAGACATAATTCTGCATCAGAAGAAGTTAGATGTATGGAATGATTGAAAATTATAATGATAAACTTATGAAAGATGTCTGATTCACTAAAGCCATTAACACGCCGCTATCCCACCACTCCTAGCTCTGACTGCACATCCAGACAAACTTCACTACAGAATCTGCAATCAACAGAGAGTTATTGCTATTCGTTTCACTTTCTTTCTATTTGTTTCCTTCAACTTATGATCTTGTGATGATACCATCAGTTCCATACAGCTGAATAACTTTACTATCGTCCATTTTTACTGCAGATTCTGGAATAAATAAGGTTCAGACAGCAGGCACATGCCGTCACACAGAAGTCTCATTAGAGTTTAATTAGATTCACGAAGGACCATGCAAAAAAAAAAAGAAAAGATTTTAGAAAATAAATCTGAATTGAGCATCAAGACTTGAGGTGTGACCTGACACCTGCAGTAGTTTTGGGTACAGCTTTTTGTTCAGTCATACTTCATCTGGTTGCACAGTCTCTTTCCAATTTTTATTTCATTTTTTTCAGTAAAACATGAAGATTTAAAAGAAAAAAAAATCTGATTAGATTTGTCAGACAGGAGCTAACGTAGGAGCGCCCCGCTCCATCGCCCTGCTCATCTCCTCCCAGTCCGACTATTAGAGCTGAGGTAAATCCCCCCTCAGCTCTCCTCACATAAGTCCTCGTGACCCTTTAACACCAACATTGTCCCAGTTGTCTTCACTATGACCTCACACCCTTTTTATTCAGAGGTTTTGAAGACGACTCCTGCCGCTCTCTTGTCCCTCCTCGTTGTCTCAGAAAGGCTTGATACTTGATTTTGCTGTCGAATGTGTTGTTTTTAGCCACCTTTGATGACTCAAGTTTTTTTTTCCCCTCCTTCCCAAACTCCCAATATCAAAGCTACCATTGAAGCAGCTAAAGCAAAAGGTATGCAGTGTGACTCGCATCCCTTGTCTGTGTCTTGTGTTTGTGGTTTTCACCCTATGAAGATAGAAGCACCCCCCAAATGTGGACTTTTCTTCCTTGTTTGTGTCTTTTTTTGTAATATAATTGCTAGTTATTATATTGCTGTAAGAAATACTTTACTGATTATAGCCCCTCCATTGTTAAGTAACCCAGACCCTGGTGTGAATAGACCAGTATATTCCAGCATTTGAAAACAGTGTCAATGTGGTCTGATAAAACTAGTAGTGGGACTTCATTAAAAGATTCAGTTGAGTCTGTAATTAATTGATCACATTTTCATCAAATTATATATCTACTAAATAAGTCACATTTTGTTGAGACTGTTTCTCAAAAATGTTTGTAAACGGCTTAACAGAAATGTTGTCATAATGACTTCCTGAAGGCAGAGTCTCTGAAAGAGCAGGAGCTTCTTAAAGTGACAGAGCTTCCATTTTAAGGCGTCAAATTGGAAAGCTAACTTTATTTTAAGTCATGTTTGACATATACACTGTTCCTTATAACAACTGAAAGGAACATTGTTACTTGATTTTGCCTTAAAATGGCACTATGTGGCTAGAAAGTACATTCCTACTGCCCCATCGAAGCATTCTGTATTCACCTAATCTTTATCAAATTTTTCTAATCCAAACAAAAATGCATCGCAATACATGCTGATAGGTTTAAATCTTTTCCAGCTTTGATGCATTTTTGTCAATGGAAACAAAGTCACAGATGATCATATATAATCATGTGGAACGATAGCCAATTAAAATCTCTGGTTTTCTAAAGAGCAGTCTGTGTTACAGAGAGTCCGTGTTTGTAGATTGAATTTTGAGACCTGCCTGGCCCCTTGTTGCTGAGGAGTCTCTTACTGTTTGAATATTGTTTTCTGGTCAAGTTTGGCTCCCTGCACAGAGAAAAGCCTGCTTAGACGGGGCTAATATAAGATCAGGGACATCCCCGCCTGGGATATTTTCAGAAACTAATCCCGTTACACCATTTGGCTGTTGCTACGCTGACCGCCTCATTAGCTCTGTAGTGACGGCCAGTGCATGAGAAACACTTTGATCAAATTCATTCAGAATGGAATTGCCGCTCAGGATGCTTCATGTTACAAACCAAAGTCAGCCGCACACATTGATAGGATGGCTCTGTGTAGCATCAGAACACACCGGGGTCACAATCTAAAGCTATACCTCAGCATTGAGATGCAGCTTCCTGTTTCAAAGTGCTCACAGGAGTTTGAAACAGGAAGTGCTCTTTGAGTTAACCTTCATGTAGATTTAGCTTTCTGTTCCTATCCATGGTGTTTGGTTCGGTTTTGACCCCACTCTTAAAATCAACACAGACATGTACTCAAATTATTATTATTATTATTTTGCCTAATTTGTTTTGTAACTCTTGGTTACTTTATTGGGATTCCTTTTACATAAAAAAAAAGTGTAGCGTTTTGTCCAGCAATTCTTTGTTTTCACCTTTCACCACATTTTCAATAGAAATATGTCTTTGGTATGTTATCTGACTATTATTGAAAACTATTGGAACATATTTCTTGAATAACTAATTCATATTACTTATTTAATATGAATTAATGTTAACTGGAGTACCATGTATGGTCCAAAGGCCAGAATTGACCCATAGCAGTCTTGCTAGTTAACTCAAATGAAGGAAAACGGCTAAGACTGTGGAATCATATTAGTCTGAAGAATGAGGTCAGAACAAATATGTCGCCATCACAGATATTATCAAGACTATTTTGAAGGACTTAGTTGAGCTTTTGTTTCCTTAAGTTTAAAACTTCACATGTGGAAAGTTTGTCTGAAGATTTCCTCTCTGGTTTGCTTTTCATTTGCACATGTTCTCTGGTTTCCTCGGCCGTCTTGGGACACGACCGTAAGTTTACGTTATGTGGAGTGTTTTGTCGTTGTGGTTTGTCCCAACTGGTGTTTGAACTCTAGTAGTCCTTTTTTTTTTTTTACTTGTGCATGTGTTGTGTTCACAGATCCAGTGTACTGTGCTAAGCAGAAGCCGTGTTTTGTCCTTTGTTTTCCTGAGATCCACTTTTAGTTGAGCTTCTCAGAACAAGATACAGCGCACTTAAGGGCTTTCTGACTTCTCTTCACGTTCCATTTTTATTTCTTTTTCCCCCTGTCTGTTCTCCAGCCATTCAAGGTTTCTCTCCCACGAGGAAGATCCGCAACTTCGAAGAGGCCCGAGGCCTGGACAGGATAAACGAGAGGATGCCACCTCGCAAAGACGGCCAGCAGCCGGACGGGACGGCAGTGAACGCCAACGCCCCCAGCAAGAACGGCACCGACGGATAGAGGGAGGCGCAGGACGTCCTGTATCCTCACAGAACCCATACCGACCCACTCCCGGCTCCCAAAACAAGCTCTGTGTGCGTCTCTGTCCACCCGTCCGTCCGTCCGTCTGTCAGTCTCCTCTGCTGAAACTGTCTGTCCACCTTTTGCTCACGTGGAGCACAGAGTCGGCAGCTTCAATGGATAAAATCTGACGGAGGCCATAGTGCTGGGAAAACACTTCGAACAACAAAGAGAAGGAGATGAAGGAAAAAAAATCGTGACATACTGAATGATGAGCCTGCCGGGGCAGTCTGATCTTATTTATTGAAGTTTATATATGTTAGTTTTATTTAATAGCGAGTAATGGTTGAAGACAGTTGTGTAAATGTAAACTGACTGAACTCATGTGAAACTACAAAAAGGGAGAATTTCACAAATGGATTCAAATAGAGCTCTTGTCATGTAGGCGTTTCAGCCACTTCATGGTAGCTTTTTTAAATTATTGTTTTGAGTTTTTAATAAGGGACAGGGACAAATACTGTCTTGAACTCTGGTTCCGGTCTTTACAGAGCACTGATTCACCTCACTGTCTAGTTATTGATCAGACAGAAATTCAAAAATTCTGATCTTTAATCCGATCAGTGAATGCACCATGCTCACCAGGTTGTTGTAATGTTATAATTTAAAGTGGAAGTCATTACAAAGTTCACACCAGTTTAGTCTTCTTTAATCAAACTCCATCTCGTTTCTTTCATAAAGTTCGGTTCATTTGGGGAGGTGTGGACGCGTAGTCGAACTTCGATGTCGACCAGAAAAACAAACTCTGGTCATCCTGCTGACCTCGATCTCGGTTCGGTTTGAATGCATATCTGAATGTCAAGCAGATAGGAGACTGCTCCAAAAGTAGAAAGTAAAATGCAGGGCATTCTGGAAAAAAAAAAAAAAAAAAGCAAATATGCGAGGCGGAGAAAAGGCTCGTGGTCTTTTGCCAAAGCTGAAAGAGAAATCCTAAAACCACTACAATCTGACACCACTTTTATTTTGTTTACATTTTGTGAAGAAGGAAGTCGCGATCGGTGTATTCTTTAGAGATTTTTGTGTCGTTTCAGAGGCTCTTGGTGCAGCAACACTGCAGACAAGGAGGTTAAAAGCTTTCTGAACGGTTTAGATGGTTTGATAAGGTGCAGTGTGAGCGCCAATCGATGAAAATGCAACAAGTGTTGCGACTTTGGTTGATTAGGTATGAAAACACTCAAGGTTTTTAGAAGCTGTTTTAAAGATGACAGTTTTAGTTAGAGAGGCGTCTGTTCTTCCTTCAGGCTGGAGAACGAGAGAGAGCAACACTTGGAGCAGATAACAGGAAGGCTGAATGGTACACATTTTGGGCTACATTCTGCAAAATAGAATCCATGATCACTGCAGGAACTGAACTAATGCTAGATGGTAAAGATGTTTTAAATCTTTAATCCTACAACTCCACATCGTTTTGAAATATTAGAAATATTACTCTGAACATCACACCTGCTCCTGATGTAATTAATCAAAGACTGCCATAAAGAGGTCGGGTGGGGAAAAAAGGCTTGAAGCTTCAGAAACTGACGACAGAATTTGAATACGGTATTGAAAGTCTGTCATTTGAATGTAATTTTAATGTAAATGATCGTTTAATACTCTGAGACTGAAACCCTCCTTTGTCTTTTTCCCAAAGATGGCTCCGGTGTTGTTGTTCAGGAATGACGTTTATGTGAAGGACGTGTCGGTAAAATGAAACAAAGTACCGACACTTTGCGTGCGATCACAGTTGCCATCGGTTACATACGCTGTTGCCTTGATGGCAGCTGAAAGCATCATTGGTTCTCCTGCAACATGCTTCCCGCTCTGGTCACACTAGCTGCGTTTCCGTTACTGATGCGCGCAAAACTTTGTCGATGTTCCGCTGACGTCGGAACAAACACAATTTCGAAATTGTGGCGTTTTTATCAAATAAGAAACGCAATTAAAATGCCACATGACTAAGTTAATGAATGCATTATCGCAATAAGTCATTCAGAAACACGCCATGTCGCGATCTTCCAACCACTTCCTGCTGTCTTCTTCTTTGTGGTTTGCGACGTCCGGGTGTTGATGTGACTCATGATGCAGAAACTGCGTTTTAGTTTGAGTTTTTTGTAAAATAAACCAATTTTCGATTTGGCCTCCCCGCCCCCCCCAAAAAAAACCTGTCATCCCTGCACCAAAACTTATGATAGAAAAACTTTTCTTTTTTTTCAAAATTACTGTGCTTCCATTAAGCAAATTTATTTTCAAAATGTCAAATTGCGCAATGACATGGTCAATGGAGACGCAGCTACTGTTGGATCCAAGACTTGAATATTAAGAGGCAGTTAAAGAAGCTGTTTAGAAGCTGTTTTAAAGCATCTTCTGTTCATAAAAAAGAAAAAAAAAGGACAATAGCTGTATTTTCTCGTACAAAAGGACATATTTATGTATTCCCGGAGGCTGTGGACGCTGGCGAGCCTCCTTCGTTTGGAAACGTGTTCCACGGCGCCGCTGCAGTTTGACTCTCAAAGTTCCATTTGAAGACTCTAAAAACAGAACTGGGGCGTGCTCCGCTTTTGTTTCACTGTTCTCATGTTGATTATACAGGTTGCCGATTCCTTTTAGCTCATAGCCGTGAACCCGGCACAAGAAGGAGAAGAAGATTGGAAACGCCAAACGACTTTGACGCCGCCGCACACAGACACAATGGACTGAGTCAGTCTGCTCAGCAGGGACGCGGCTATAAAAGGGAGGGAGCGCCTCCGCCGTACTTTCCTCATCTCAAGCACGGCTGATTCAGAGATGTAGTAACTCGACGTCCCCTCTAGCTCGGCCGGGCCATCGACACCTGCTGAGACACCCGGTGTGTGTGTGTGAGCGCGTGTGTGTGTGTGTGAGCGTGTGTGTGTGTGTGTGTGTGTGTGTGTGTGTGTGTTTTCCCTTTTCCTCAGTGATCTAACTCTCTTCAGGCACTCTGTCTTCTGGTCACAGTCACTCCCAGCCCTTTAAAACCCGTTTTTTGCTAAAGAAACTGGTGCTCCAACACACCTGGCTGTAACTGCATTGTCTTTTTTTTTTTTTTTTTTTAGCAAGATAGGTGCAAATAAGCTTGAAGATTTGCTATTATCCTGTAAATTGACGACTTCTGTTTTTTAAGCAAGTACAAAAACGAAGGGCAGCATCAGCAGGGTTCCCACGTAGTCTTCTGTTTCTGGAATTTGGTCAGAACTAGTATGGAAAAAGAAAACCTTATCCAAACGTCCGTCCTTCTGTCCATTATGGTGTCCTTCGTTCCTCGTTTCCTTTCATTCTTTCTTGTCTGTCCTTTTTGTTTCCTATCTAGCTTTTTCTCCATCCATCCTGGCGTCATTTCCGACCTTCCACCCTTCTTTAGGCCTTTCTTTTTTACGTCCTTCCCTTTTCACTTCCTGGTCTTTCCTCCCTTTATTTCCTGTTTCTCTCCCTTGTTCTGTTTGTCCTTGAACTCTTCCTTCCTTGCTGTCTTGTCATTCATCTGTTCCTGCTATGCCTAACCTCATTTTTCAGTTTCCTTGTTTCTCACGTTCTTTTCTTCCACCCTTCTATCTCTATTTTTTTCTGTTTTTTACTCCTTGTTACCTTCCACCATTCTGGGCCAGTGTCTTTTCTTCATCGTCCTTTTTCGTTTTTTTTTTTTTTGCTTTATTTCTCTTTGTCTTTCCTTCCTTTCTTCAGTTCTTCCTGCCCTCCTGCATTTTTGTCATTTCTATTCATTCTTCCTTTGTGTCCTTCCTTCCTTCCTTTTTTCCTTTCTTCCTTCCTACCTGTCAGTCAGTCTCTGGTATTTGCAGGTTTCATAAAAAAATAAAATAATTTGAAAAACTTGCCATAAATTCACAGGGAATGTTTTTATTTCAGTTAGAAAACTGAAATGGATGTAGAAAAGTTTTTATTTTTTCTTCTTCTACACATTAAGTGTGTAGGACTCCTGTGTATGCGAGGAAGTTTGTAGTCACACAAGACTTCGAACTTGAGTTATTTGTTGAACATGTTATTTTTTGCAGTGCGGCTCGTTAGATTTCTGGACTTCTCCCAGGAAATGAAGTGTTTTTCTTTTTTTTTTTTGGTTTACGTTCATATCTGTGATGTTGGAAATTGTTTTTAAGGCTTTCCAGGGTGAGCCATACAGTGTACTGACTCCTGTCAGATCTTAAACATATCTTTAAGAATGTTTTGAAAAAAAAAAAAAATCTAATCTTATGTTAGCTGTAATAAAGGGTCAAGAACTGTATTGTATATGTCCTGCAAGGCCATGAATTTGTTTAGGTACATGTACTTTTTGGGGCGGGGAAATAAAATAAATTCTAAACATTGATTTGACTGACTGTGGTAATGTTGTTATCACAGCTGTTTTCCTCTCATCAGTACAAGTCCAAACCTGAACTGTCTCTCTGATTTACAGCCTCTCATTTTGGCCACTCCCGACAAAAAGTCTTGACGTCTTTGACTCTTCCTTCCCGCCTTTGTATCAGTAAATGGACTGAACTTATATAGCGCTTTTCCAGTCATTTTGACCACTCAAAGCGCTTTACACTAGAGTCACATTCACCCATTCACACACACATTCATACACCGACACGCAGACCGGTAGGCAATTTTAGGGTTAAGTGCCTTGCCCAGAGGCACATCGACATATGGCAGGAGGAAGCTGGAATCGAACCTACAACCTTCCGATTGCAAGACGACAACTCTGCCACACAGCCACTGTTTCCTGAGCAAAGATCATAGCAGGCTACGCTAACATTTCCACCACTTTATTTAAAAATATTATATTTTATACACAAGATTGGTTTCAGATATAAACTACTTTTAAATTGCGAATTAGAATATGAAGTTAATAAGGGGGGGTTTGCTGTACGTTTTTAATTTGAAAAGCAGGAATTAATCTCTGCACTCAAAACGTTCATATCTTCTCCACGCTCTCGCAAATTTTTGTGTTCACGCTCTGATTTTCCTTAGTGTCCTTGTATAGTTTTTCAACCTTTCCTTTAGGCAAAGTTGAAAAGAAAAAAAGAAAAAACATCTGCTCTATGTTGAATGCTTGTCTTGAAAGGAGTTTTTCTGTCTATTTAGATTTAAATGCTGAAAACTATATTCTGAGGTCATAGGTACCGACTCCAGCTCTACTCTTTAGTTCCCCCACCAGGGTTTTGATCTCCTATGGAGCCCAAGACCACAACATAAAAAAGCATGACTTTTTTATGTTGTCATAAAAAACTCAACAAATCATAAAAAACTCAACAAATTCATTATATTTGTTGAGTTTTAACAATTACAATCACATGAAATGCTGCCTGTTTCATCAGTGTTGCTATTTTAACACAGTTTGATTATGAAACAAAAGTCAAATAATTACAAATGTACAACTTGCATTAGGTATTCTGGGTTCATTCTGCCAATGTTATGATTTATTCTCATGGAAATGAAGTTAAATCACCGACAGACGTGGTGATTTGGCGACTCTGATATAAACAGGGGCTAAGAAACTATTTTGCGACGACGCTGCTTGCACATTACATTGACAATGTAAATAAAATATAAATATAAAAACATTTCACAGTTTCTTATGCACAAAGTCATGGCTTGATATGGAACATGAAATGCAAACATGCAGTAACTGCAGCCCAACGCGCCGCTTTCAAACGGGCCGGTTCTGCAGGAGTCAAAGAGAAACAAAAACTGCAGCTAAAAGCAGCTCTGTCTCAACAGTGTTACAACATAATATACATTAATTACAGTTACAGTTTTACAGTACATAAAAGTGCCAGAAGGAAACAAGTGAATCCCTGTGAAATCCATAGTAGGGTGCCAAGTTCAGTTTGTACTTCCTGTTGGGGTTCAGGTGTACTTCCTGTTGGGGTTCAGGTGTACTTCCTGTTGGAGTTGATGAAAACAGGACTCTGTCCCTGTGGCCTGCCAGCTGCCTCCAGTTGGAGACCAGAGGGAAGGTCTCCAGGCTGCAGCTCCACATCAGGCCTTTGGGGGAAGTACGGGTCTCAGAGCCTGAGATAAAAAATAAAAAATTTAAAAAAAAGATTAATTCATATCATTTATATATATAGGGATTATATTTACATTTATGCTTTAAAGAAAACAACCATTTATGCCTCTGTATGAACTGAACATGATTTCCTGGGGGTTGGGCAGCAGACGCCTACAACTCCCCCTTGTGGTCGGCCCTGCTGGGTCACTGTTCCGTTACCTGTGGCTTTTTCTGTTTTAACTCTCTGAGCATGTTTATGTTGGGTCATGTTGTCTGGCAGCTGGTATTTAAGTGATTTATTGATTGTCCAAGTCTGACAGTAATGAGGTTTGGTGACAATGAACTAAAACAAAGCTGACAAATTCTTTGGGTACAAATCGTTACTCACACAGGGCTGGGTTAGTTGGGATGACTTCTGTCTCAGTTAGTGATTAAAATAGTCATTTTCAAATAGGCTTCATCCTCAGCAAACTACCAGTTCTCTCAATTTACACTTTAGCTGGATTTCTTTTTCTTTTTGGGTTTTCAGCATTACAAACATTTCTTTGGCCTTAGCTGATTATTTATTTATTTGCAACGTGTTACTTGTTGCCAGACTAATGACAGAACAGAATGTTTGGGGGAAAAAAAAAAAAAAAAAAAGCAAGAAATGTGAGATTTACAACACCTGCTGCAATAAGTGGAGCTGGGCTGTTAATGAGAACCAGTGTTGTGTCTATGTCTGTTCGTGCTGCCCTCTAGTGGTCACTTTTGATTTTCACAAGTTTTTTTTTCATTTCTAAACAAAGCTGTCAGTGTTCGTGTTGTCACTGGTTATTACATCTATAATAGACATTTTACATAATTCTTTTTTCATTTTAACATGACGCCACCTGCCAACCAATCCAGTGGGTTTGTCAGTGGGGAATATGCAGTTTCAAAACGCTTTATCTACAGAATTTAGTTCACAGAATATTTAAGACAGATCTGTGCCTCTTACTGTCAAATTATGGGCAAGAATATTTTTGTTCACAAACTGGGGCTTTGAGCTGCGACGCAACTGTGACGGGTTGGGATAGAGTCTCTGCTCTGCACACACAAAGCCTTCTTTTCAAGTCTAATGACGTTTGCGGTTGGAGTACAGATGAGTGCTTCACTATTTGAGCTTTTTGAGATGATGACTAGCATTATCATCTCCCAGTAGTAAAAATAATACCTCTTTGCCATGGATACACATCATACCAACTGCCTGAAACTAAAAAAGTAAGAGCAAAAACAGACGGGACAACTGACCTAAGATGAAATCCCTCAACAAAAATCAACCATGAATAAAAGTCGACAGAAAGAATAAATCCAAGGCACCATAACACTGAATAACCCTCATCCTGCCTGATTTCAATATGTGGGGAGAGGAGGTTGGTTGGTCAGTGTGGTAGATTCCTCAAACACTCACATCATCATTCCAGAGATGAAGGAAAACTGTGATGTCACAACTAGAGCCATGCTTGTGATGTCATCATCACTGTATGTATGTAAGAAACTTCTACATTCGGGTCATTGCTTGCTGCACTACTGACAAGTTCAGACCTTCACAAAACGCTTTCAAAGTTGAACATGGAGATTGTTTGTGGATCAAAAGTGATTTTAACAAACATTGTTTTGTCCAAACATGTTGAACCAAAGGACACATTCGTCCAACGGTGAGATGAGACCCCAGCATGGAGCCTGGAGAGCTGGACAAAATCTGCAAGGCTGGATTGAGAACAGAACGCCTCCCATTGAGTTACAGAGAGACATCCAGAGACTTGGCTCTCTTTTGGAAAAGGACAGAGCAAGATGGTTTGAGGAGAACCAAAAGCTGCTCAACGTGCAAAGAGGACTGGAGAAAACAAAAGCTGAGTTACAAGGACAGAAAAGACTCAAGGAGATGAAGAGAGAACTACTGACAGGAGAAGAGTTTTCTGATTCAGAGTCTCTCAGACGAGCTACAATCACTTCCAGGAAGCACAGAGACATAAAACACAAGACGAAAAGGCTGCTGCAGAAGGAATTTGAGCTCATATTGTTGGTGAGGAAGCATTCAGGCCACAAATCCAGGCAGAGAAAGAGAAAAGTGACGTCCTCCAACAAGAGCTGGACCAAAACTTAATCATTTTCCAAATTTGATTTTGATCTCAAAATTTGAGCTCTGGAAATTTTTGACTTTTTTTTCTGGAAATTTTCAGGAAATGAAAATTTCACAAAATTTCTGATTCTTTGAACATTTTTTTTTACTACTTTTGTTTTCTATCGACAGTGGCCTTAATTCCCCATGGCAGCTGTCCCAGAGGAAGTGTTTACCTGGCGTGCAGCGACGTAGTTCTGGCTCGGTGGTTTGGGTTGGTTCCCTGCTGGAGGTGGAGGAGGTGGAGCGCCTTTGGGCTTAGGTGCCTAAAATTAGAGCCATACAGTTAGTGGTATATTGAGCAGTTGATGTACAGTCCTGCGTCACGATGCCGTGGTGATACCTGTCTGAGAGGCCTGGGCTGACTGATGGTGTATTCCTGGTTGACATGAGGCGCAGAGCTGCTTCCTGCTGGGGCTTTTGTCTGCCTGTGTGAACTGTCAGGAAGGAATTGGTCATCATCACGACGAACAGCAACAATAAAACCATCTGTGGTGTGAATGTCGCTTACACTGGCAGGGCTGGACCGTGTTTCTTCCTACACATGAACCCCACAACCCCGAAAACCAGGCCGAGGACCACCAGAATGACAGCCAGGGAGATGGCGACGGCTGCTCCTGCAGGAAGGAATCAGACATGAGTTCATCTGAATCCAGGAATTGTGCCGACGAAACACCTGAAGACGGTTCTGACCGGTGGACAGAGAACTGAAAGCATCATCCTTTGCTCCGCAGTTAGGAGGCAACCAGCCGGGGAGGCACTGACACTCATCTCTGTGATTGCACACCTGAAGAGAACACACACACTGGACCATGAACACACACCACACTATTTCACTCCAAAGTCCCTAAATCATGAACTTATTGAGTTAAAAAATTATTCCAGTTTAGCTGAACTTGTCAACAGTTTCTTATTTTTCTGGAGCCACAGAAAAATCCGTAATTTCTGTAACTTTATCAGAATTGTATATGAAAGACTAACACAAAATTGTGGATGATGGAGACTTGGGGGGGGGGGGGGCGAGGGTGATGTATTCTTTTTAAATGATTTCTGAAATGATGGAATAAAAGCAAAATGCTGCTGTCATTGAAGTATGTAGTGGAGTTGCTCTAAATCGGACCTCTGAGACGACAGAAAGCCGTCTCAGAGGTCCAACCAGCTTGGTGCAGGTTGCACAATGTTTGTGGCTCCAATCTAAAGACAGTTTGGGAAAGCCATCACGCTGGCGCGTACTCACCGCGTTGCCGGGGCATTTTGCTGAGCAGTTTGTGTTTCTGTACGCACTCTCCAGATCCATGCACTGGTTCTGGCTGCACACCTGGAAACACACAGACACACACACTTTGAAGCTGCTGCGCTCACAGGATGATAAATCTAAAAACTCGGAAACAGAATGAAAAACGAGTACCTTTCCCTCTCCACACATGGTGCCTTCATCCACCTGCCCGTAGTCTTTGGTGTAGTCGGTAAAGAACGCCGCCTTGCAGTTTCCGATTGTGACCATTTGGCCGTAGATTGGGTTTGCATTGCCGTCCTGGCAGAACAGCTTCCCACACAAAACATCTCTGCACAGAAAGAAGAGGCTCGTGTTTACGAATGTCCCAGAATGGGAAATATCTCAACGAATTAGAGATGCACCAGTCAGACTTAGCAGTCGACTCCAGTTTTCAGATTCCTATGAGGTTTCATTTCAATTTTGTAATAGGGCCATGGTAGATGGGGAAAAACTGGGGTAGATATCTGCCAAAAAAAATGAAACTTTTGAATTTAATTTCAGAAATTTTCTAGAAAAACTGGTAGAACTGTGTATTTATGCAACTGTTTTTGCAATATTTGTTTTATGATGTGAACTCCAGGAAGAGTCCACATCATTGTGGTTGACCTGCATTGTAGGACAGAACTGATAAGATCCAGTTATCGGTTGAACTGCATTTACTGAACAGCAGTTTATTTCAACCAACAACTGTGTCTACTATGAGTTACTGGAGATTTGTTTGGTGCATCACTAGAGTTGGGGATGATAACAATGATAGAAGGATTGTTCCGAGACTCACTGGTTTTGGCAGGGAATAAAGTTGGTGTTGGAGAGGCGTCTGCAGAAAGCATAGTAAAGTCCTCTGGTGTTGTGGTTGTAGCAAGACGAAGCAGCCTCATTGGCGCCTGGACAGACAAGAATCAAACCGTCTCACAGCCGACCGCGTCGTTGTCATTGTTCTTCTCACTTTTGAACGTCGCCCGAAAGCAGAGTCGCTTACTGTTGCCGAAAACCTTCTTGCACTGCGCTGCCCTCTGTGGACACTGACCGTTGTAGCAGTAGCCCAGGCCTGTATCGCACGGCAGCCCGTTCACCGTGAACACGTCCTCGGGACAGGTGGCGCTCTTCCCGTCGCAGTACTCCGCCAGGTCGCAGTCGTCCTGCTTCCTGCGGCACTCGATGGAGCGAGGCTGGATCTGCGTGGACAAACCCCGTTACCGCAAAACACGACGCCAACTACTCTGGTGCTGATGGTGGATTTAAGGCATTCAGGCGTTTGCTGGATGCAAAGCTGTATGTTTTGCGATGTAAACCTTATCAAAATGAAGAACAATGGTGCAGCAAGCATCTAGAAATGCCTTCTAAATTTCAGATCTGATGGCTCCAATGTGTGGGTCATTTCTAATCAGGAAAATATTTTGTCTATATAGATTTGAAAAAGTTGCGGCTACAGTTTTTCATCACACCATTACTCAGATTGTCTTCGTCTCATATTGGAATTTGCTTTATGATCTAAAACAGGAATGTCAAACTTATTTTCAGCCATATCCAGATCATGAATGTCTTTGAAAAGCCGGTCGTGGCAAAATTTATTGGTGAAGCTCATCAATAACCTGCTAAAATATCAATAAATGGTTCTTAAATAAGGCCACATACGTGGTTCTGGCGAGTTTGACATGTGATCTGAAACATTTAAGTGCGACACAAAGCAAAATTACTAAAAAAAAAAGTACTATTTTCTAAAAAATATTTGTTATAACTCAAAACGTCCACAAGAGGACGGTAGTGAGCTGAACAATTATGTTGCTGATGTCAGAGGGAGCGTTGCTGTGGGGCTGACAGGTGATGAATGACGTCAACTCACCTTGCAGTTGTGGCAGCACTCGCCTTCAGCGCATTGCGAGCCTGTGGTCAGGGTGCAGCTGGTGGCGTTGCAGCATGGGTTGGTGCACTCCTGCAAACAGCAACGTGTTCAACTTGAAGCATCAGAGAATCTCACATATGAAACGTTGCATTAAACCCCGTCACATTCTGTATCAATGTCGTATTTTGCAAAGTTTGTAGCTTATTTTTTGCGGCGTTGCATCACGGTGAGCGATTAGGGGAACGTTCAGTCGTGGCGACGTTGAACTTTTCACTCCGGTCGTGTACAGAACGCTGGAAACAAATCTCGCAGAAATCTCTCTCAGTCCAGTCAGAGTCGCTTAAAACCTGTCTTCATGTTAGCAGTGTCGGCTTCTGACAGCATGCTGCTCCGTCAGTGCTGCTCCAACAGGCCACCGAACGCAGCCATGTGTAATCGTGAGGTATGCTGCACATGTAGCCAGTAAATACCATCAGAGCTGATAACAGGTCCAAGCAGAACTCTGAAAGGAATGTTCTGCTTTGTGAAACCGACTGTGTGGCGTTATAGGAAACCTTAACCTGATGTGTCAAAGGCTTTCAGCAGCCTTGAAATGACTGAAGCCCAGTTCCGAGGACTTAAATGTAGCAGTAAATAAGAGTCTAGTAGTGAGCAGTGATAACTGGAAGAAATAAAGACCAAACAGTAATGAGGGAAAAAAGAAGTAGTATGAGAGTTAGATGCCCAGCTGCTGCCTGTTTCCTAGAATCACCAGCTTGTTAACGGCTTTAAAACAGAAACATGTCTTTGTTTGTCAGGAAGATTCCAGATCATAAAACCTAAACGTCAGTGTTCATGTCATGCAGAATATTTTCATTTGAATTGAGGTGTCTACCTCTGCTGCTCCCTGTAGCAGCAGAGGTTTCCAGCAGAGGTTTCCAGGTTTTCTTCCAGGAATTTTCTGTAGCTTCAGACTATAGATCATTTCTAAGCTTCATATCCTGGACTGTTGTGTCTTAATGCATCACAACATGCCTGCAGAACACCCACGTTGTTCTTCCCTTTTGCAATGCAACAATAATGAACTCTGATATATTTTTACAATGACTGAATCATATCTGTATTAAACAAAGGCTTCGTTTTCTGTCTTTCAATAAATTTGAGTTTAATTTGCATTAAAACATTTTTAGTTTGGTTTAAGCACGTGTCTGCTGGCAGAGGTTTTGGATTTGCATCCAAATGAAATTGAAATCTATCCCAAAGTATCCCTGACTTATTTGGAAATCAACTTTCCAAGAAAACTATGACTAAACCACAATCCGAAATGTCCTGTTTATTGTGAATAGCAGCATAGCAGTTTTAAGTAAAGCCATTTTTAAAACGTTTCTTATTTTAAATCAAGGGCTGTTCTCTTGTACCTGCACAGAGCCACAGTCGCATTGCTCTCCCTTTTCCAAAAATCCATTCCCACAGACTCCTGGAGCCTGGATCCTGTTGAAGTCTGGCTTGTCGAACATGCAGCTGGGGTTACCATTTGTCAGGTACCTCTCATAGTTGGCGGAGCTGCAGCTACTGAACGTCCGTGGAACATTATAGCTGCCGAGAACAAACAAAGTTTTGGGGGGTATTTTTTATTTCTAAAGTAAGACACCACAGACCTCAAGATTGCCTGGAAAAAAATAGAACATATGGTTAAAAAAAACCCAAAAAACGTTTGATAAAATATAAAAATACTTAATTTGGCTTTACAGTTTACAAAACGATGGTCTTAGCACTCGTCCCTGAGGGATCCCAGTTCTGAGCTACAGAGTGGATCAGCAGACCAGACCTTACAGCTTTCTGCTTCATCTGTCAACACATTCAGGATCTAGTGGAAGTTGGGCTGGTTTCCTGGTCTTCTGATCCCAGAGCGTCATGATGAAGTATGATGTCAAACATCTCTTATCAAAGAGTGACTCCATTGCTACTAGTTTACTTTTACATTGCTGATTATTTCATTAGTAATTATAATGTACCACAAGATATTAAAACAGCAGTATAGTTCTTGTCTGACACTTGCCTCCCCGAGTGCCACGGCCAAGACACATCTACTGTACTTTAGTAGGTGTGTATAAAGTCACATCTACTTTAAATTGGTGCTGCAGAATTAGCCTGTTAAAGCTGCAGCACTCTGATCTTTTCTTTACAGTCCTGTTGCCAAATCAGGAAAGAAATGTTCCAGTCTCCAGTTGTATTATAGTTTACAGCAAATCCCCTGTTTTTTTCTCACAGCACACACACATACACACACACACACGCGCAGTGACAGAACTGGATGTAAACAAGGCGATCTTTGACAGAATCGGTGTCTGACCTACTTTAACAAGCACACCCTTTGAGGCAGCTGGCCACCTCTCCTTACCTGAGAGCTGCCGCCATGATGCAGCTGTCCCCAGAACAAGAGCAGGCGCTGGAGTCGTCATGACTCATGCCCAGGTTGTGGCCCATCTCATGGGCCAGAGTCGCTCCCACTGCGATGGCTCGGTCGGTGTGATCCTAAAGACGAATAGAGGCGCAGATGAGCCCAGAACCTGCAATCTAACCACTAGCAGTGTCCGCATTACTGTAAAATTCTTTCAAGTGTGAACATAAGTATAAATATTAGCTTGCTCATCCTCAGGTCGCGTGTTTTTCACAATCCCATTGAACCACTTTTAGAATAATGGCATTTTTAAAAAAAAATAATTTTTTTTATGATGGCTGCCATTTTTGAGACTTTACTCATAGAATGTTACCCATTTTACCCACTTGCGTGAACTTTATGCCTCACATGTTTTTGACTATGGTAACATGCAATCTTCATAAAACTTTAAACATGTGCCAAAACTGAAGACTTTGCAAGGAGATGAAGATGTGACAGTCGCCTTAATGGTTAGCATTAGCTTCCCCTTATTATTTTAAATATATATACATATTTTTTATGTGAGTAGCGTTATAGCATTAGAACAATAACTATTCTTGTTTAGAATATTGGTGATTAGTGAACCTACATTTTTGGTAATCTGGGAATAACTACTGCAGATTAATGCAAACATTTGTCCTCCATCACATCTGTGGCAGCTATTTTGAAGAAATGGCCCCAAGAAAAAGGAAACAAGAGCTCAAGAAAATATATATTTGCTATGGTTCAAAGCATGTAGGCTGTGCTTTGACACCAAACACATTTATCTAAGTGACAGTTTTAGAGAAAAAATTATTTTCCATGACCACCCTGGTGGTCATCTTGAAATTTTCAGTCACTAATGTTAGAAAAAAAAAAGAAAGCAAGCCACAGGAAACATCTGTGACAAGTTAGGTTCCTGTATCCGCATGTGAAAGATTTTGCTGAAATATTAACCAAACTGCAATAGAGTAGCTTGGTTTCAAATCAAATCATCAACTGAATTATCCAGTCAGAATTAAAGTGCTGGAGAAAACTATTTGGGATTTCATATAACTGGGTTGGCAAGCATTTTTTTTCCAGTCACGATATTAAATTTTTTTCCAGCCATCGCAGCAGCACAGTCTCAATAATCTGGAAACAAATTAGATCCAAATGATCTGTAGGGAAAACTTGGAGCTGTTTTTCAAGGAAAACAGACTGCTAGCACAGTTGGCTCCAGCTCACCTGCACGACCCCGACCGAGTGGTCAGAGCACAGAGTCCCGATGTAAGCCAGACCCACAGTGGCTCCTTCGAAGTCGATCCCGCTGAAAGACACAATGAGGCTTTCTATCACGGCTGCGTTCCATCTTCTTTATTTGAATAAAAGTAAATATATGCAGATCTGAAGGAAATATGATTATTATAATTCTGCTTTTTTACTTCCTGCACTCATTTTGATATAGACAAACATCAGTTTCACCAATGGATGATTTGGTTATGAAATTTCTTGCTCATTGTTTGGCTGCCAGCTGGTTTACAGTTTCTAATTGTCATATTATTGCATGGTTTATCCGTATCTCTTCAACATAACTGCACTGAAAAAGAGATGTTATGATGGATTCAGTTTTTTTCTGGGACATACCTTCAATGTTCTTTCAGAAATTCTCTGATGTGAACTTAGGAGCCCAGATTATGAAACCGCTGCTGTTTTGAAGCAGACCTTAGCATAGTGATGAAACACGTTGCACAAGAGTCGTGTGGAAACTAACATCATCAAGCACATTCAGATGTGTTCAGATTGCAGTTTTCTAAAAGTGAACCTTCAAGTGCATCTTAATAAAACAGAATATCTTTTAAAAAGGTCATTTATTTCAGTAGTCGTGTTCCCTGCCTCAGGTGTAATAAGTATAAAAAAATGCATGGCTTTAAGTCAATATATTTTTTATTTATGTTAGTTTTGATGATTATTATTGATCACTAATGAAAACCCAAAAAGTAGTGTCTCAGATGCATATAGCTTTTTTGCATCAATTCCTGCATGAATGCTCAACCTGGGGCTAGGCAATAAATCAATAACAGTATATGTCACGTAATAATAACGCTAAATATACACATAATCAATATCAATAGAAAATACATTCAATAGACTGTTAATAATTTCAGTGAACTCTGATTCAGAGCCGAGCAGCATTCTGGGGGATGTAGGCAGAGGAAAGGCTTTAGCCAGTTAAGGAAGGTTGGTTGCATCAGCTGATTTGCTGTTTGGTTAGCTAGCAACAACCCGTTTCTTAACTTGCGCAGCAGCAGTTTCAGGTTTCAGTGCCTCATAACTGCTTCATAATAAACAATGGCACAGAGTGAAGGTTTGGCAATATTTCAGAAATTGAATGTTTATGACTGGGAGGCCATAATCATAACGATTTAACCATCAAAAAGAATGTAAATAAAAGCTAAAAAAAACTACTGCTGCATTTCCATTGAGCTTACCACTGAGCAAAGTGGAATTATGAATATAAATTCACTTAATTTAAACACACAACTTTTGAAATAATTCATGTTTTTTGGTTAAAAAGCTTTTGCGTTAGGATGAGGTGAGTTTCCAGCAAAATTGTTGCAAAATTGCAGCTCATGTCTCTACAAATACATGAGTTAAGCTGTTTGAGTTACTGAAATAGCTGAACATTTTGGTCATTTTGATTTGACAATACACCTGTCTTGATGCAACGTCCTTTCTGTTGCACAACGCATGCACAGTTAGAAAGGGATGTTACTCCATTTGAGGTGACTAAGGACAGAATGACTTGTACTCATAGAGGTTAGTCAGACCTGATGAGGTGAGCATTGTCGTGCTTTATCCGTTTCACCAGCTCAGAGTTTCTCCAGACCTTGAAAGCATCCAGGTTGGCGCCAGCAGGGTTGGTCACAGAGATCTGGTCGTTGTTAGACCAGACCTCCAGCCCCACCAGAGCGATAAACGTCTTCAGGGGTTTGTATGCCTGCAGGTCATCACAACAACAACAACAACAACAACAAAGTGAACTGTTCAGTTTCCCATTCAACAAGCCCTACAGAGGTTTTCCAATATGACAAAAGACAAATGATTAAAAGCAGTAGCCTGGATGATCTAATCAATCAGCTGAGCCATAAAATGATTTGTTATGGAATTTGCCCAGGAAAGACAGCAGCAGCACTGACTCACCATGTTGACAAAGTTGACGATTTCAAATATCCTCTGTCTCAGCTTGGTCAGATCTTTGTTCATCTTTATGTACTGAAACAATATTTGGTTGCATTGCACAAGAAAAAAAGTTACGTCCTGTTTCCCAGCAGCTGATTCACAATGAGACATGTCATGAGAGGCAGCTGTAGTTTTGACCACCAAGTTAAGACTGTGTGTGTGTGTGTGTGTGACTTTAAAAACTGTTGCTGCACTCTGCCTGACAGGAAACATTGAATGACGATGCTAATTAACAGAGCTGCCATTTAAAACAGTGAAGGAAGGATTGTAAAGCTCTTTTAAAAAAATCAAGATGAATAAAATCTGATATGAAGGTCCAGGAACAGAATTAGTGGAGCCATTTTGCACAGTCAGCAGATAAAGTTTGAAACTCATTTTAGTTTTGAGAGAATTCAAACTGGCAAACTTGTATAAACAAAAGGAGAGGTACAAATTACTAATAGTGTAGTTTTTTTTTTTTTTTTAGTTTTTTTGGCTAATGAAAAAAAAATACAACCAGACTTGTTGTATCTGGTTGTGTCAACGCATTTATATTTAATGTATTTTCTCTACTTTATCTGAAAGTATGTCATAATCTTCAACTGCATGTACTCTTTCATAGAAATATATATATATTTACAAATATTACATGAGTGAATGGTTTAGTCATTTTCAATAATTAAAATGCTTACCGCTCGATTATCAGCTACCAGAACTAGTTCAATGTATTTCTCCTGCTGTAGGACAGGAACTCCCTGAAACAAAGTCAAACACGTTTGAGTTTTCCCATGGAGCTTTACGTCACCGCAGTTGTTTCTATGACGTTTTTCTGACTGAATCCCCGCCTCCCAACGTCACGTTTTACCCCCCGGCGGCGAGACCGAGACGTGACCGTGTACCAACCCCGGCTCTCGAGCGGCTCCGGCTTGTTGGAGGTTCCACGTCATTCTCCCAGGAAGTGTTTGTGACGCCACACACCGCAGGCGCCAAGTTCCCGTCGTTGACGGCGGTCACGGCGTGGTCGCCCTCGTCGCCACCAGAGAGAGGCTCAATCAGGTACCGCTGGGCAGACGTCCGGAAGTAACCCCTGAACCCAGGAGTTGTCCTCTTTTGAGAGCAGGTACCAGTAAAACACAAGCTACAGGTGCTAACCAGGCTAACTGCGTTAGCATCTTTTGGTTTTGTGTCCCAACTGTTTTCTAATTCAGTACAATATGACAGAATTTTCTGGTTGGGATAGAAAAACATTTTTTTTTTCCCATTTCAAATTCTCCCATGCCATGACATTTTTCAATACATTTAGGTTTGATTTAAATTGAGCCTTAAAGGACACAGGTTTGGACACAGCTATAAAATTTTAACATGAACTAGTGCACCTGTTCAACTGAAAGCGTCCACTTTCATTTCACACACATAACATGACGAATAGACATGTGAGGCGCTTACCTCAGTCCCTCACACGTACTGATGCTAGCAGATGACTCGCTGTCATTCACAATCTGTCCATGGTAGTAACAGTGATCCTGACCAAGACAGATAATTAACATCAATTTCTTTTTAATTTCATTTTCCAAATACCTGTACATCTAAACTTATGCACACAGAAAAACACTTACAGAAAAACAAACAAAAAACCACTTACGACATCACGTGGGTTTCTGGTTACCCGGGTTCCATCGTCTTGGTAATAGGTTTCTGTGTAGTCTCGGGTTAGTAACTCACTGATGATGAGAAAAATGAAACTGTGTCATCTTTGTTCTATTTGAGGAACTGAAATAGTTCCTTTTATGAAATGTGATAGTTTCTTAAATTTAACCTTGATTCTGAGGAGATGTGATGTTTATTACAAAAAGATGTGAAGGAAAACTTGCACAACTGTGTGGGTGTTTTTTTTTTGTTACCACAAACAGACACGCACACACATACACACCCACACAAGGGAAGTGAGAACATACTTATTTTTCTCAAGTTGTAATTGAATGTCTCTTCCTCCAACAGTCATTGCATATTTAATCGTCTCTGGTCTGAGGTACTGAAGGGGGTAGAGAAAGGAAAGTGATGCGTTCTGTTTATTTTTGCCATTCTCAAATCCACACTCAGAACTTGTAAAAGTACACCAAAGAATCAGTCTGCATGAAATTCAAGTAGGAAGCTCTACCTCTGTGCTTCTTTTCCTTACTGCATGAAGTCTGACAGGTCGAACCACCTCATAGTCTTTCCCCACTTCAAAGGTTGGATTGTGGCTTTCTGTGAACACAAAAGGAGACGGCGGATAGATATCCAAATCTCTTCCCACCACAGATAAGGTTCTCCTCAAGCCATCAAAAGTAAATCAAAAACTCTAAGCCTCGTAAAAGAGCATCTGAAGTGTTAGCCGAACGCTGTGCTGTTTCAAATATCATACGGGATTGGGTTCAGAAAAGTTTTCATCCACCTGAACCCTCACAAACACTCCCATATACAAAAACCTCTGTCAAATCAGTTTGCGTCAAAACAACCACAACTTCCTGTTAGGATTCCAACATGGTCCCAGAATGTTGATTTGGGGGTGAATGGATATATAGGTTGAATTACTTTGAAATAACGTATGAAAATATAAAGTTATTAAAACACCAGACAATACTGTTTGCAAATCAGGTGAAAGCAAGTATGTGGCTGTATTATATTTGTCTCTTACCCGAATGCTTTACATCGCTAAATGTACTATCAATCCCTGTCCTAGCAGGTTGAATGTATTATGTTCCAAATGTTTCCACAAGACAGTATTGAATGAGGACAAACTCTGTCCTGGATTTCTCATGAACTGTTTGTTAAAGTTGCACAGCTTGAAGAGGAAAGTGGTGGGGTTTGTGGTCTCGCTGACATAGAGACTCTAGTTCAGGGTTTGGCTGTAACCACTTTAGTTTGACACTTCAGTTTTCAAACACAGACAGTGATTCACAAAGAGCTGTAACTTTAACTTGGCACACAGATGAACTGCAGGAAGGAGCATTTTTTCCTGGTTTTCTGGCAGGTCTTTGCTAGATTGATTTTAAATATTTAAATCATACGTTTTGTTTATCTGCTCCAGACGACTTTTTGCATTCACTTCCCTCTTTTTACTTTCACTTGTCCATTTTCCTAATTTTTCAAGCAAACACAGCATTTTGTACTGTCAGGATCACGTACAAGGATGGAACAGAATATGAGAAAAAAACCCAAAAAACTAGCCAGCTAGCTGCAGTCTTCATAGCAACAGATTAGTATCATGGTATCCTTGCAGCTTTGGTCGCCTTCCACAGTCAAAAAACAAACTTGATGGGTTAAAGATAAACTACCTTTAAGACTTAAATACATTTTTGCGATACCTGTAGCTGTCTGTGTTTTCCTAAGCTGGCGTTTTGTCCACAGTGTACCTACCTCACCCCATAACTACTAACAACTACAGAAAGTGAATTATTGTTTGTTAATCTGTCTGTTAATCTCAAATACATTTTAGAGGACTGCCTTAAATATTTAGCCTGTTCCTTGTAACGATCGTCTTATATTGAACCATTCATAATTATTAGGGCTGCAGCCAAAAATTATTTTACTTATCGATTATTCTAATGATAAACTGGCTAAAATAATTGGCATATTTTCCATTCAACCCCTTAATCCTTTTTCACATATTAGAAATACGTTAAGAGACGCAAATAAGCAAATAATCAGTTCACGTTTTTAAATAGTAAACATAAAAATGTTATTGCCTAAAATGCGATAAAAGCGGTCCTGTTGTACCTGCTTGATCATTTGTAACAAAGGATTCACGTGCAGCTAAAACAAATACTGTCTACTAATCTGATATACTGTCAGTTTCCTGAGAGGGAATCTCTACTGGCAAGAATCTCTTTATCCCTTCTGTCTGGGCTGATAATCTACCAAACCTTTCAGTCACACAGACACAGACACTGTGTGACTGAAAGGTCACACAGTTTCCTGTGTGACTTTAAACCACACACTCGTATGCAAAACTGAGACAGTGTAATTTGGATGTTACATTTCCTGATTGTTACTTTGATTATTAGTAATAAGATTACTTAATCAAAGTAATCTTATTACTTTGATTAAGGATTAAGGCTGTCTATCTACATCTTGACATTTAGTACATGAAGTAATTCAAAGTTCTGTTATTGTTGGATATTGGTTCCAAATTTCCTTCCAATTCCATCAAAAATGATTAATTTTATTGAGCATTATTGAGTCTTATTAGATACTTATTTTAGATTAAAAAAAGACACTCACTGACTTACACGGTGCCTATCATGTTAAAAAGGTAGACGTTTCCTTAATCAGTAATTATGTTGCGATTAGCTGTTGGAAATTCAGGACTAAGCAATGTGAAGAAGACGGACACTTATCGCCTGTCTTAAGGCCGACAGTTGGAACAACCAAAACACTGAAATAAAACCACTGATCAAATAGAGGGTTTGTACAGATTAGCACAAAAAGCTTCTGTTTACTGACTGGCGCTCGAACGCTTACCTGTCCTGTAATTATGGGATCTCCATTGACTCTTTTGGGCAATCATTGACATATTACTACTAATTTACTATGTGCATAGTAACTGTTAAAGCAATGTTTGGTTAAGTGATCAGAAGGCCAACCTAGCTCATAAAAACATAAAAAATTGGATGAAATTACACATAAATCTTGGTTTTTGTTCTTTTATTAAACCAGAAAAAATGTCATATAATAAGGGAGGAAGATATTTTTAGAAATAAAATGATTTTTGGTTTTTTTTTCATCCAAACAAAACATTTATCATGAAAACAGTCACAAACAGCTCCTCCACACAGGTGCACTTTCCAAGCTACCAAGCCGCCTCAGTTACCCTCTCCTCTGCGGCTTCCCCACTCAGCTCCTTCACACTAGCCAGCAGCAATTAGCAAACACCCAGTGGAACTGCTCATCACCTGATCTCATTAAACGAGCTACTTCTCTGTTCAATGCTGGTAAAAATGTTGTTAAAGGGTTCATACAGAAACCATGTTGTGATGACTTCCCGAAGGCAGTGTCTGAAAGAGCAGGAGATTTTAAAGAGACAGTGGTTGACTTTCAAGGTGTTAAATTACAAAGTTAAATTTCTTTAAAGAGATTTAACTTTGATATATGCAGTACTTTTTACAATAATTGACGGTAACCTACTTACTTGATTACACTATAAAATGTCACTATTGGCTTGTAAATTACATAATACTTCCCCTTTAATGATTCGAGAGATTCCTTTTATGGGCATATCATGTAAGCATCTTATAACCACTGGTTTGTCTTCCCATTACTGTAACAATGTGTTGAGTCTACTGGGATCGCTACTGTCTGCTGCCCATAGTGACTCCTTCGAGAAGTCTGATTTTCTCTACTTGAGTATTGGCTGTTCCTTTTATAAACAGCCAAAATTCAGATTTAACTGAATTTTTCATTTCTAATTTAATCCACATCTTATGCTTTTGGTTTTAGACATAGGCATAATATTTGGATCAAATTTATCGTTTACCTCTAAACCTGTTCTGGTAAGAGCTTACCATATTTGATAATGTGTAGTGTGTGCAGGAAGTTATTCTTTTTTTTCTGTCTAGACTATCTAAAAGGACATGAGGCAATGAACTCATGTCAATTGACGTATCAATGATATTAATTCACAAGAGAATTAATATCAGTCTGTGGCAGACTGCGGTAGAAACGCAGTTTGAGAAACCAGGGAAACTCCAGATTCTGTACTTCCTACCAGAGCGGAGTAGCTTTAAAATTAGTCACTAACTTTCTCTGTGTCACGGTTACCTGAGGATTTGCTAGCACCTGGGAGGGCTGAGGCTTTGTTGTCACACAAAGTCTGCTGCCGACAGCATTTCATTGATGTGCGTTTACTACTTTCAGCTTAGTTATCGGATAGCAACACACAGGCTAAAACCCAACAACAAGTTTCGACATGCGGTAGGCAGTATCTCACCTCAGGGAATATTGACTCTCTCTGTCTGCTTGAGTTATTTATTACTTAATGTCATGCCCTGAAACTCCTTTGGGTTTTGTCTAAAAGTACAAACGTATAGACTGACTCGGATAGTTATCACTGCCTTTGATTCTTGTCAGATCATCTGCCTCCTCAAAACCTTTACAGCACAACTTGTTAGGATCAGAAAGCTGCATTCTGAAAGGCAAGGCTTTAGTTATTAATTAGCCTCGCCGCTGAATACAGGTAACAGTATCCAGTCACTTACCTGAGGGCCTGAGCGAGGCGTTCAGGAAGACGACCAACAACAGAAGAGTCTGTGTCATTGTTGCAGTCCAAACTGCTGCTGATCTTTGCTCTGATCAGGCTTTATGTGGTCTACCTGCATGTTGTGCTGCTTGCCCTGGCAAGGCCACGCCTCCTGGACCTTCTGGACCTGTCACAGATTCCTTACTGACAAGAACGCCACCCCCCGTCCTCCACACCCCCAAGCGACTGGCCTGAATACACCCTTGACTCCAGACAAGGATTCAGGAAGGAAGCGGCTTGAGCGTTGTGGTCGGATTCAAACTTCCAGTCAGCTGTCTTTCACACTAAAGCTCTTTGGAGTTTAGTCGGTAACATTAATCACAAATCCCTTTTTGGCTTTTTTTTCTTTTTCTCAGTTTCTTTCTATAGTCTGACTCGCTGTGACTCAGCCGTGTTATGTACTTAATACTCTAATTTCCACACATAATTTTTCTCAGTGTCATCAGCACATTGTGATGTATGCAGCAGATACTTGGAGTGGGCTCAGTCTGCTGCAGTTAGACACTTCTTCCTTCTCTCTGGGACGGACCCTCACCCACTGAACACATGCCTAGAGTCACAGCAAAGACAAATTGTCTGAAGACAATACGGCTAATGTGCGTCTTCTCTCTCTGCCTCTCGCTCTCTCTCTCTGCGGCTGACTGAGGCGTTTCAGTAAACAGGATGTTTTATGTGTGGCACTGTAAGGTCTTTACAGCAGAAGAGTGTCAGTCTTCTTTTTGATCTTCATCGAGCCATATGAAGCAAACTTCCTCCTCCTCGTTTCAGCTCTGTGACCTAATGTTAGCTGTGTAAATGTTAGCAACGTTCAGGAAACGAGATTGTTGACTCTCAAGTTAAGCAAGTCACTGATGAAAGCGTTGAATTCTGTTCCCTCAACATCATTCAAACACTTTAAAATGCTTCTGTTAAATCACTGAACGGCTTAGCAGCACGATACATTAAAGATCTGCTGTTTGTTGGATCAACCTTCCAGAACCTCTCTGGTCTTCTGGTTCTGGTTCTACTCTGCATCCCCAGAACCAGAACTAAACATGGAGAAGCAGCATTCAGCTTCTATGCACCGCAGATCTCAAAGTTCCAGGAAACTGCAGAACAGCCAAAACACTGAGTTTAAGTCATTCCTCTTTCAGGATTTTGTCTTTATTGTTCCTTTTTTTATATACTGGTTTTTCAGTTCTGTCCAAAGAGGAACAACCCAGAGCATGATGCTGCCACCACCATGATTTCTGTAGTTGGTGCTCTTTTGTATGTTTGTACCAAACATACATTGTGGAGTCCAAAAAGTCCAGCTGTTTATTCCTCAGATCATAATACACTTTCCAACAGGCTTTAAAGGGAACAGATTTGGTGTAAAATTTTGCCACGACATTGTTTGTCTTTATAAGAAAAAGCTTCAATCAAACCTGAATCCATGGTTCCAAAATAAGAAGAGCATGTTGGCTTATCTAGTATATAACCCAACCGAGGCTAACAGAGATGTATGTGCTGTTGTTTTCCTCTAAAAGCCTTCCTCCCCTGTAGTGAAGACTGATTCCTCACCTCTGAAGTCACTCCAGTATCGGAGCTGTGTCTGTTTTACCAGATTTTGTCCTCTATCTAGAGAATGTCTGCACTGTCTTCTTCAGACTTTAATCCAGAGGAATCCATTGATCAACATTAGTCAGAGTGTAATGCAGGATAAATCCCACCAACACAAACAGAGCTGGGAGCTTGATTAATCATACAGAATCCATCCAGGAAAGTAAATCACTCGAGATGAAGAGAAAGTAAAAGCCGTGACTTTATGAAGGAACCAGACTACATTTTGGTGCAACATGTTTAATATGTGGAATGAAAAGCAGTCCTTTTGGGTGCAGTAACTGTAAAGGTTTGGTATCAACACGTTCACATTCTTCTGCTCTGAATCTGCTTGGCTCACACAGAATCTTATTAAAATTCTGTCAAGTATCATCATGAAATATTTTTGTTTAACTCTGCGTTTTTCAATTTAATGTATGATCGCCTCTTAGGGATCATACATTTTTTCTGATATTGAAATACTGTTGTGAATCTGAAAATATTTAATAATGGACCTGTAGAAACCACAGGCCCCAGCAATTTATGACAACTATTGTTGTTTTAAGTCTCAAAACAATTTCCAAGTTCAGTTTATTAACTCAATCAGTAACATGTAGTGGAGGCTGCTCAGTCCAAAAGAGAAAAGGTGCAAATGATTCGCAGGAATGTGTTTTTAGACTTAACATAGAAAACCAATTTACAACTGTAAACATTGAGGAAGAGGGAAGGGAGGTCTAAGAAAGACAAAACCTTAAATGTGAATCAGTCTTGGGAAATAAGTTAGGATATTGATCTTATTGCTGTTGGAGTCTTGCCAATAAATTTCCCTCAATATGTACATTTTAAATATACAATAGAATAACTATGAAGCCTATGTCTAAGATGAGGCTCGTCAAATTAATAGTAATGATCCTTTAGACGTGCTAAGAAAAATCAATATGTTGAAACATCTAGTTAAAACGGTCGAAAACCGTGTCAAGATCCAACAATATTTCCTGTGAAGAATCATCACAATAATATAGCTGCATTTTATTGTTGAATCAAAAACAACAACATTGGATTCCATAAAACTCAAAACGTTAAGGAATTAAAAAAACAGAAAAGTTTTGCCCATGTTGATCTGTGATCATAAAGCCGCTTCGATAGAAACCCATCTCAGCCTCTGAGGACTTTGGTGGTCGTTCTATATCCCGATGTTCGATTGACTGTCTGTTGTTTAGCAACTTTTGTGATCAATGGATCCAGGAGATTTTAAAACCCACAGAACCAGGAACCCCCAGCCCAGAATGAACCCAGTTTGTTGAGCGAGATTCTCTTCCTGATATTCTGGCTGATTTACCACAGAGACGGTGTCTGTTTAAGGTGTGGTTCCAGTCACCTGAGATTTTGTAAATTAGGCAATCAGGAAATGACAATTTTGTGACATCCTCATAGTTATAGTGCTTCCAAACTTTTGATTTGAAAGAAAATCAAAATCATCTAATCATTTTGATTAATTCATGATGAAAACATTAATACCAGCACAAAAGGCCAAATAAACCAAAAATATTGCAGCTACTTTTTTGTTTTTTACAGTGAACCTTTACAAGCAGCAGTTTGTCAAACTATCAGGAAATGTTCTTTGTTCCTGAACAAAACACAGACTGTATACCATAAACTGACTAGTATACTCAATGATGTTGCAGAGATTTCTGATCAGAAATCAGTCTTTGATCACTTCATAATCAAAGACTGATTATGAAGTGATCTTACTAGGTTGAAATCATCATGTTGCCTGATAATTAGTCATGTATCCATAATCTGATCCAAGTGGTTGTATTGTGCTGCTTTGCTAATGTTTCCTAGCATGTCAAAGTGCTTGAGAAGCTTTTATTAGTCACCTTGAAGCAAATTGTGACGGAGCAGCTCAGCTGGGATGATGCTTTAACATGACCACTGTTAGCTGTACACACCACAAACCCAGCCGTCTATGGAGAAATATTAAGAAAAAAGCCTGAGAACCATGAAGCCAGCGAGTGGAAAAACAAACTGGTCAGATGAAACCACGACAGAACCGTTTGGCCTTGGATGCAAAAGTGACTTATATGGCACTTCCTTCTGAACACTGTCCTCTTGGCAAAGGAAGCGTCATGCTGTGGGCTTCTTTCTTCCCTATCACAGCTGGTGACGATGGTACAAATGGTAATGGGAAGACTGGAGCTGAATAATGGGAGATCCTGGAGGAAATCAGTGAGACTTTCCATCCCATTCTGAAACCCGGAGCATACAGTTCCAGTGTCCTAATCAAAGTCTTGGATAATTTCAAGACTTGGACGCTCATGTTCACAGTGGCTCTCCAACCAATCTGAATAGATAAACAGGAAGTTAGCTTTGTTTAATGATCAAAAGATCTTTAGAGCCAGATGACCTTCAACTTGATGTAGAGCTTCCTCCTGCGTTATGCCTTTGTTTCTCAGTGCTGCTGCACATCAGGAGGAACTTGTGCTTGATTATCTTTCTAGTTGTGCTATTCATGTGCTCCATTAAAAAGCCATGAAAGCCTTTAAAAAGCTCAATATATCAACACACACACAACTCCACCTTATTCACACATACATCACAATCATTCTCTTCCTTTTTCAAAGCTTTCGTCATTTCCTGGAACAGCTGAGACTCACCATGTTGCTCAATAAGCAGTGAAGATGCATTTTGCTGCAGCTGATTCTGTTCTTGGAAAGACATTCTAAGTTCTGACCCATTTAAAGAAATGAGAATATTAAGAAGTCCAAGGATAAACAGTCCTTTAGCACGTCTAAAGGATTGTAACTATTGTATTTAATGTCACCAAGTTAAAGACATTAAATAGATTAATTCGAACATCCATTAGCAGAAGGATGTTTGAAAGCATTTACTCCCTTTAAATGATAATTTTTTACTTACAGTTGATGAAAACATATTTAAGATTAGAATATTGTGTGTGTGTGTGTGTGTGTGTATAAGATATTTTTAAAAACATATCACAATGCTATTTATTGTGGTTATGGTTTTGGTTCTCGTACTGGGATCCCGGTTCTGTAGAGACTCCTGACTCTTTCCCAGGATCTGTTCTCTGTGTTTTGGTTCTCAGTATTCTGTCTTCGGATTCTCAGCATTTATCGCTTCATTCCTCCTTAATCTCTCCTCCACTGTTTGTTAAACTACAACAGAAAACAAACAAATTCAATCAAAAACTGAATTAAAGCACATTTTATAGAAGTGTTTTGAAAACGGAAACATTTTGAGGAAATGAATAGAATTTTTTGTTTCCGTGTTTCGAAGCTGCCAGATAATTTATTCTTGTTTTTGTGCAGTTCATGCACCTCTAGTTATGCACACAGTGCTTGTTACACTTCTCTTACTGCAAGTGACATTTTTAAGTCACAACCACAAAAACCCTGCAAATTTTGGCAGGTTGTTTTTTTAATATTGCCTGAACTCCACTGAACAGTGGAGTTCACCTTATGGGGCCCAATCACAACACAGATCGTT